TATGAAAGTCAAGCTTTGTTCTGCTTTTTTTTGTTGTTGTTGTTTTTTTCCTTTTTACCGGTACAAGGGATCGAACTCATGACTGCCTGCTTACAAGGCAGGTGCTTATGCCACTGAGCTAAATCCCCAGCCCCGAGCTTTGTTCTGCTTTTAGGGCAGAACATCCAGGTAAGAAAATGGCAAGAAAAAGTATCAGGATTACTGCAGATAAAAGACAGTAGGGTTTCTATAAAAGAGGAGAAGTAGAGGTAATGAAAGAGGCAAGGAACCTGGAAAAAGAAAAAATAGTTTGATTAATATGAATCACTAATAAAAACTTTGCAGACTTTTTTCTGACTATAGTTTCCTAGATGTATTCACTATAGACTAAAGTGGTTGTGGGGCACAGAAAGCCGCTGTTATCAGGACCAAGAAACCTGGAAATCACTCCTTTTGTTCCCTATCAGAGTCTTGATTATAATGGAAATGCTGCCAGACCCTTAATTGTGAAAGTACAATTAATTATATATTAATGAATTAGTATAATTCATCACCTGTTAGAGCACTTCTGGGCTATTTACTAGAAATCTATTAAATATGACACGACAGATTGCACTCCATTTCTTAATGTGGCATTATAATCAGCATGTAGGCTCAGGAAAATGGTTTCTAGACCCCTTGTCTGTATGTCCTATCAATTAACCTAAAATCTGAATAAATGTGTAGCTAGGCAGCAGTTTTAGCAAGATATGTTTTTTCTTTAGTTCTCAGCAAAGGAAATTTTCATTTTGAAATATCAGTGTTGTTTTATAGGAAGTTCATTGCCATGTATTATACTTATCAAAGCAAAGTGAAAGGATTATAAAGCAGAGTACTTACTTCATAGTTGTGTTATTGAATGTTGAAGGATTTGTTTTTATAGGAACGTGTGTACATTTCCTTGACATCCTAATATAAAAGTCTTTTGTACAGATAAGGTCAATATTAATGGTTCAGTACTATAATCCTATAAAGTATCCCCTGATGTACTTTACAGTACAAATACTCTTTAAGCTTTCAGTTTACAAATGAAAGAAAATTCATTATGTATTATGCACATACCAGTGAAAAATTAGATTGTCTCTAACTTTATATGGAGAGCACTGTATTTCAAATACATGTTATCTCTTTGTGTTTAAAGTACATCTTTGCTTATATTTGTTTATTTTTATTTCACCTAAAGAATGTTCCTGAAACTCTTCTCCTTAAGGTAGCATTATAGTTAGGTCTTCACTCTCTGTAATACTCTATTATATTAGAAATGATGAACCATGAACTAGCAATCATGCTTTAACATTTTTTCAAAATTAGCTGTAGTCTTTGTACATTTTTACTAATAAAGTCAAACAGTTTTCTTCATGGAAAGGCATTGTATTTTCAGCTGTAAGAAAGGGAAAGATACTCAAATACTCAGCTGCCAGTGGCTCTAGAATAAATGTTAGTTTTTACTTACTATGTTTATTCCCTCTTACACATTGACAAGAATATCAAAGTCATTGTTTCTCTTGTGTAATATTTTCTGCCCTCTGTCATAATTCATTAGGCCTGAAGACCAAAAAAAAAAAAAAAAACTGCCACTGTAACTGAGATTTCTTCCAGGCAGAGAGAAGTATTCAGTTAGACCAGTGAGCTACTACTCACTGCCCTGATGAGCAGCTTCCCACTTCCATTCTTTCGGTTCTACTCCACCTAGAGGGCATTCCTGTAGAAGAATGTACTGACCATGGTGGTGGTCGCTCCTTGTAAATATGCTCTTGAGTATATCTGTGACCAACACGGGTGTAGAAGCAAAAGGAAAAAAAACAGGTTGGTATCAGGATTCTGGCTGATGAGTCCTTTGACTGTGACCAGAATCACATGCATAGAGTTTATTTTACTACCATATCTCTTATTTCTTTAGCTTTCTCTCTATGTGAATGCTGGGGTTCTTCCCACTCTTTTAAAAACATTTTTCCCTAATCTTGTCCATGTGCCATCTTCTTATAATCATGTCTCATCTCCTCCATGAATTATAAGTTCCCTATTAACAATGAAGGATAGATTCACATTTGTAACCCACCAGAATTTAATGTAATCTTGCCAGTATTTGAAAATGGTAAATAGCTACTATATGTAAAATATTATTTTTAACTAAGACTTGTGTGTAGTTTTAAACTTGTAAACCTTCAGAACGGAAGTTAACTAAAGGGCTATCATGACAACCCTGCAGATAGGAAGATGGTTATTTTATCGAAGCTTTTTAATCATTTTGCTCACAACAAGATTTTTACCATTCTAGAAACTTTAACACTCTGCTTTATGGTTTTCTGATGCAACATTTGCAGAAGGAAATTGGAACTTCTGTCACTCTTAAAAATTTTGAAAAAGGGGCCAGAGATTTAGCTCAGAGGCATAAGCACCTGTCTGGCAAGCACAAGGTCATGAGCTTGATCCCTGGTTTAAAAAAAAAAAAAATTAAAAAAAACAAAGATTGTTCATTTCATTTGATAGCAATGATTATTACTCTTGCTTCTTACTGGGCTTGTGATACATCTTGGTGTACTCCAAATAAACAAACATTTCTGCCATCAAAAAAAAGAGAGGATTAAATTTGAGGATTTGTTAGAGCATGCAAAATATATTTACATTTGATTTTTTATTTTCTAAGTTTCTTTTCTTTGGAAATCTTAAATATAAGAAAATACAATATATTTCTTAAAATCCACAGGCATGAAAACAGTCCTTTTCATTTATTCTGTTGTATCACATGTTCTAAAATTGATGTTCTCTAGAGGATAGCTAAGGACTTATGATGAGTACTTGTTAAAGTAAACTACAAAAGCCCTAGTTAGCTGTTAGTCCCAAAATAGAAATGGTTATTATCAACAATCAAGACCCTCTAATAGATTCTTACTATTTTAGAGACATCCACAATGCTTGCTTCCTCATTTCCAGAAAGGGGCTTGTGAGAGAATCAGTTCCTAGAGTCACAGCTGTCAGATTCAAGAGTCTCAGCAAGGGATCCTGGCTTGCAAAAGCAACTTTGCAAAGGGTCACAGAAGCAGAAACTGATTTCTCACACGCCATTACACAGTATAACTAACATAACAAATGCCAAATAATTGCTGGCACTAATGAGTAGGTAGATGTTTACTTTGTGTGGTTGCCATGGATTTTCTTAACATTGATGAGTTCACTGATTGAATTCCTAGAACTTAAAGAAAATATTAATGATATAATTAGCTTGACTCTATAATTTGGAAAGGTTTGAGTGATATGATAATTACAACTTTATTATATCTGCCTTGCTTTGATTTAATATATTATCATATCTGAAGGAAATTACATGAATCCATTTAATCCAAGGAGATCTATATACGTTTCATATATAGTTTTGAGTTATTGAGTTCACTGATTGACACACAAAGGTAGTGGAACTCTTAACCAGAATAAGCACTTCACATGCATTGTTCCATGTAGTCTTCATAAGATATGGCTATCCCAGTGTTATAAATTAGAAAACACAAAAGTTAATTTGTTGACAAATCACATTAATAAGAACCAGGTTTTAAGCCTCGTTGGGCCCCAGACCAATCCTGTAGCATCAGCATTACCTATAAGCATCATTATTACCCTCTAGAGCCCCAAGTGAATCAGAAACACGGAGAATTATGCTGTCGTGAACAAAACCTTGTCTTTAAATTTATAGTATTCTACTAAATGACACTAATGCATCATGAACCCTGCAAGAGAAAAGATAGGCTTTTCTATAATTTTTGTACAGCATTTAGTACTATATAAAATTAGCAAGTTGACCTGGAAATTCTTTTTTTTTTAATTTTATTTAAAAGGAAAAAGAGAAAAACACAAAACAAAACAGAGCGGTGTAAAGGGTACACGTAATACAGAACTACAAAAAAAAAAACAGTAAGAAATCACCTGTTAATAGATTACATATTATCATCTTAGAAATAGTTGCTCAAATCACAGTATCAAAGAATACAAAGTGGACATTCAAACAGTGAGACTGCAAACAGCTGTGTTCAGTGATCCAAAAACATTAATATAGTCAGCTATTTAACACCCCTAAACACACTTGCTGTTATATCCGTTAGAGCTCTTTTTTTCCCCCTCTCTTTTTTACAACAAAATTTACACATTTTGGATTTTATTACTCCTTAGTTCTTATTACTTTTTTGCGGGGGAGAGAATAAAGTCAAATATGGCAAAACAAAGCTGTCAGTCAAAACCAAGGATAGACATAGCACATGATGTAAAACAGAGTACAAGGTTATCAACAATGGTTATCAACGATGTGTCTTGTTTCCTTAAAAAGAATTGTCTATCTCATTAGATATTACAAAGTTGAACAAAACAGTAGAGAACAAGGCCAATAAAACTTGGGCATTGTAAACATTACAGGACTTCCAAAGGAGACAATAGTCAAACCAGAATGGGCATCTTAGTGAATCTTATTGCCTTCAAAGTAGTTGCCTATACCCTCAAACTTGATACTATCAGACAGAATGGAACAGAGTCTAATCAGTCAAAACAAGATCGTGGGAGTATTACAGGACTTCAAAACAAGTTAATAGGAAATCAAAAAAAGTTACTATTATATATCCTGCTAATTTTTTAAATTTTTCCCCTTAATTAAAACAAACATAAGAAATAACTAAATAATTTTTTTAAAGAATAAGGGAGAGATTGAGATAAAAACAGGACATAACAATATAATAAAACAGGTCAAAGCATGACTGTTTCAGCAACCTAGTGCTTCACCACCAAATAACCCGACTTAATAGGAGTTACCATAGTGTCTGTCTTTTTCCTTGAAATATTTGGATAAAACTTCATATACTATAGCTTCAAATATTTCTATATCAAGAAGCCCAGAATAAAGCCTTTCCAATTAATAAGTGAAAACTTTATAAGGCTTCAAGGCCACATAATGGGGAATCATGATTACCACATATTTTTATATATTTGAATCATTACTTACATTAGGGAAACTATTCGGTATTCACACATGCGAGATTGATTTATTTCACTTATGAGTATGGTCTCAAGCTGCGCCCATTTATTGATAAATATCTCAATGTGATCCTTCTTTATAGCTGAATAATACTCCATTGTATAGAAATACAACAACTTTTTTATCCATTCCTCAGTTGATGGACACTTGGGTTGTTTCCAAGATCTGGCGATTACAAATTGTGCTGCTATAAACATAGGTGCACATATATCACTGTGGTATGATGCTTTCAGTTCTTCTGGAAATATGCCTAAAAGTGGAATAGCTGGAATAAATGGGATTTGCAATCCCAACTTTTTGAGAAATCTCCAGACAGGCCTCCACAAAGGCTGTACCAGTCTACACTCCCACCAGCAGTGCAGGAGAGTTCCTTTTTCCCCACAGCCTCTCCAGCATTTGTTGTTGTTGGTTTTCTTGATCCTGGCCATTCTTTCAGGAGTGAGATGGTATCTCAGTGTGGTTTTAATTTGCATTTCTCTAATAACCAATGATGATGAACATTTTTTCATGTATTTATTTGGACCTGGAAATTCTTGATAAACTGAATATTGTTACCTTCAAGTAGGCAAAACAACTCAAAAAATATTTTCCTCCTATATTTCAGACATTCTTACACCAAATCCAGTAATTGCAGATGAAAAGGAAGTCAAGGAATGGGAAGAAAAAAATCTAGATAGAAAATCATAGGTTTTTCCTCATTTTTAATACCTAACATGTTCTTTATACTTCTTATAACCTATGGAGATAAAATAGACTTTTAAAATAAAGATTTTTTTTAAAGAGAATGTAACATAACAAAACATCAGAACAAAATAATGTAAGCAACACCGGGTTTCAAAACAAGACAGCAGGAATTCAACAGTGGCTGCCATAGTGTCTCTTGTTTTCCATAAAGGCATTGTTTTTCTATATGGCCGGATATCAGCCCAAAGCGAAGTCATTGTACATCATGTAGAACATCTGGAGATTTATGATCCCTTGCAGGATGCTAACAGAAATATTATAATCTTCTCAAAATTATATTTGGCTTTAAGTTCTTTATATTAATAGATTTTTTATTTGTCTATAAAAATGATATCTGTTTATAGTCTAATCTGTGAATGACTTAGAAGTCATAGGTTAAAAATCACCAGCACCAGCATTCAGACATACTCCCATTGTAGCTTCTTGTTGAATTTCCTGCTATAATACATTCTAAGAATTTGAGTACACCAATATTTAAATTAATTTCCATATTATATAATCACGTTAGAACATGACCTCCTTTTGTATAATTATCTTCATGTGGAAATATTAAACATTTTTCCCGCAAAGTTCATATTACCATTTATTATATCAGCCGTATATGTTTCTTTTCTGAAAAAAAAAAAAACATTAGGCTAAGATGATTGACTTAGCTAAGCTAGAAATCTTAAGAGCAAGATTCTACCTTAAGCTTTGAAGATGGAATCTTTGATATATTTAAATCTTTAAAAAACAATTATCCCTGTAATAAAATGGAACAATTAAATTTACATCTAGATTGATTCAGAGTCTGTGTGTCCTTATTTATTTTGAATATGTAATTTTTTATGTCTTCTTGAAGAATGAGGTAAATTCATTCTGCCCATTTTCATTCAAAACTCAAATGCCACCAGTCTTGATGCCACCATAATGAAAATCACCATGTAATACAAGGTATCCAGGTCCCAGGACAATGGTATATTTATTTTGAATTTTTTAGTATAACAGTGCCAAAATAAATCAAGACCATGTATATTTTTTAAATCTTTCTTCTATATCTTTAATCTTGAATATTGCATAGAATTTTAAAAACTCAGTATTTATTAAGAATAGATTAGAAGATGATAATATATTAGAATTGAAAATAAATATGGTAGTACTGTTTCTCAACGAACTGTTACTTCATCGTGGACTTAATCCTGTTAATGACATAGTCTTCAAGAATCATAATGAAAAGTAAGATTACTGTAAGCAAGAAAATTTCCTAAAATTTTTGGCAAGCCTTCCAAGTTAGAAGATTTGTATTACCCAGCCTGTCTTATCCTGGAGGTGCTAATTTAGCAATCAAAGCAAATACATACAGGGAAGGAAGAATGAGGAACACACTTAAGTATATTTACAGGCAGTTCATTGCTCAGTGTCTAGAAACTGAGTATCTGAATAGTGGTTTTATAAAATAGCATATTTTAAAAACAAGAACTTTCTCAAGTTCTTTTGCTCCCAGAACAAAGCCCGACATTTTTTACTGTATTTTTAGTACTCTTGTCTAGGGCAAGCTTTGATATAAATAAATGATGCATTAACATTATATTCAGACAGAAATGTGTATGCCAGCAGAAAACTAAATGGGAAAGAATTGTATGTTTACACAATTCCAAGGTCGGTTCACTAACACTTTACTGAACATCACCACTCATATTTTTTTCTCCTTTTGATATACATTCCTTTTACTGTTAGCAGATATCCCTTTATCAGACATTCCATACATCTGTTAAGATAAGTTTTTATAATTATTTCAAGTTATTTCTTTAAAGTTCTATAAATGTCTGACAAGCAGTTGCACAAAACGGCTTAGTCATATATAATTCATTTGGAACTAAAAATAATTAGAAAATAACCAACATAGAAACTATACAACATTGAATTTTCAGACAGTGAGTGTTTTGATTAATAACACTGTTCTTTAAGAACATTGCAGTTGTTGCTAAGTATATTGTTCATATCTTTTGGTGACTGCAGCATTAGTGATAGAAATATCTATTGGAAATTGCTCTGGGATCAAGTATTTTGAGTAGAAATTAAGTTTATTTGTCCTGTTAAAAATTACTAATGAAGAAAGACTTCATAACTCTTAAGAGTAATTGCTATACTTTTTTTGTTTAACTACGTAATAGGGTATAAAGTTTATAGTTTGCAAGGTAAAGAAGTCTTTTTAACTGAATTCATTTAACTTCAACTTTTTTTTTGGTTCCGGTAATAGAACCTAGGACCTCAGACATTAAAGGTATGCATTCTGCCACTGAGTTTTACTTCTGTCCCCAAAAGTTAATTTTAGTTTTTGCTTCTCTGTATAGTTAATACTTTCTTGAATCAATCAATAGCCTAATCGCATGACAAGAGCACTGTTACAGCTATTAGACTGATCAGATCCCTTTTCTTAACTTCATATATTGATCTAATATATTTTTCTCTTTTTACTGTAATTTTACATTTTAAAGGGTTGGTTAAATTTTGGCACTTTAAAAGTTCCACAGTGATAACAACTATTATAATAGAAGAAAACCTTTACAAAGCATTGGTTTTAATTTTATTTTCATGCTTTGCCAATAGCAAGTATTCCCAAAATGGTGTCATTTCCTTCTCTGAACAAAACATTAATCTGCACAAGCTAAAAGAAAGCAGTGAATAGAATAACTATCAATTTAGTATCCACTTTAATTCAGCCTATAAATTGCTATCCCTTATCAATAAATAAGATTTTCTCTTACTAGTTCCCATCATAATTAGGTAAATGGGATTTACTCCCTAAAGTCCTCATTGTAAACCACAGAGTTCTGTTGATTGGAGATCAAGATTCAGTCCTGGTGCTCGTGTTTGATTCCATTCTGCATTTTCATTATTTCTTCAGTGACAGAATTAAAGGCATACTGATTAAGTTTGGAGATTATGCTAAGCTAACAGGAGCTACCGAAACTTGGAAAGCTGAAACTAGAATTCAAAATCACCTTAATAAATTATATAAATCACATTTTAAAATACAGAACAAATTCAAGGTTGTATCCTGAGAGAGAAAGCAAACTATCCTGTCAGCAAACACTGTGGGCACAGACATGACAAGAAGATGACTGTGGGCTCAAGGTGAGTCAGGGGAGTACTGCTCACTCTCACACAAGACTCCAAAGGCTGGTTTTACTTCTTAAAAATCACGTTTGCTACCTGTGACCAGAACCAGAGAAAATTAAGACAAGGTACTTCCCAAACAGGCTATGTTCCCCAAGAATCCAGCGCAGTGAGGTGGTAAGAACAGAGCATTTTAAACTCAGCACAACTTTGAACCTCTGTCCTTAGAGAGAGTGGGTGCCAGGTCTTTTTCAGAATCCTGTATTCTGGGGTGCATGATGACTAATAGGCACAGAAAGATATTACAAGCTCATTGGCCTTTAGTAAGGCATGCTACAACACTCATGTGATTCTGGGATTTAGGAAATTAGGAAATAATTTTTTGTTATGTTTGGCATTGTAAAACCTTTTATTAACCTGTTTGACTTTGAGTTTACACATTTTGAAAGGAAATATGAAAATTGGGAAGGTCTGTAAAAGAACAGCAAAAGTGCTTATGGGATATAGAATAAGTCATGTTGTAAAAGATTAAAGAAGTTTGTTTGCTTAGCCTATAAAACAGAAAGCTAAGAGATGACTTAATAACTGTCTTATATGATATAGAGCCTTATCATAAGAATGCTAACCAATTCTCCTTCCCTATATAAGAAATAATAAAAGAAAATTAGTTTAAAATGGCAAGGGAGACCTGCTTTTACATTGGAAGGAATTTCTTGACTATAAAATAATATTAAGCATTGTTCAAGGGTAGCAAGAGATTTGTTTAAAATGAAATGAACACATACTTGGTTGGAAAGTTTAAGAGTTGACCTGCTTGATGGTAGTACTGACCCAGGAAGTCTCTGAAAGAATTTAACAGTTCTATCCTTTTTATAAAAATATCACAGTTCTTTTTTCTTTTCTTTCTTCTGCCTAAAAAATTGAATTTTCATTATTTGTATTAAGATTCACTTGAAATTTTCAAGAGATTACTTTCTGTTTTTCTGTCTCTAAATAATTACACTTTTTGTTTTCTGTCTCCTTTCATTTATTTGGCAAGTATCTACTGAGCACCTGCTCTGCACAAAGCTCATGACTGTGAGTGATAGAAAGAACTGGACATTTGTTTGTTCCACTTTCCCAAACATTTACTGGCCACTTCCTGTGTATTAGACACCTATACTACCATTCAAAATTCAGATTGATGCACAAAGTTCTAAAAAGCTCACAGTCTAGTGACAGAATAATAAGTAAACAGACATTCATAGAGACTGTGCCTAGGGTATGAACAGGCGTCTTGGAAGCATGTGAGACATAGATTAGCTGGAGAAATAACATTCTTGCTGAATTGAGATGGGTAGAGAAAAGAGCCCAGTGGGCTCTAGAATGCCAAGAATCATGAACTAGTTGTTTCTGCTCAACAAATGAAAGCTTTAGTAAATACAAAAATACTTGCTTCATTTTATCAACTAAAATGCTAATTCTGTCCTCTATCCTTTTTTGATCTTCAATATAATAAAATCTGATCATAGTTCTAAAGTGACCTAAGGATTTCTAGTTATCATCATGCTCTTCACAAAGTTGTAGCTTATAGAAAAATGGGGTTAATGGTAACCACTCAAAAACTTTATCAGAGACATACAAAGTTTTTAAAAGATGCATACCTAATTAGATGTTTACACATGTGAAATGTTTAGGAAATATGTAATACTAAATACTAGACTACATATGTAGGGATCAAATGTAGCATTGTATCTTTTTTAAAACCTAAAGTAAAATCAGATTGTGGTAAAACAGTAGAGGCAGGTTTGTCTAAAATTTGACATAAAAATAGACCCACAAATACAAATGAGTATGGTTCATAACAAGGCATAAAACAGGAGGTGAAATGAGGTAGCTGGTAGAAATTCGAAATGTGTGCTTGCAGGTGCTTGTGAATTTCTTCCTAGTCTGATGCACCAGGGTACAATTTTCTGTATTCACCTAGTGTTTTTGACAAAGAAATCAGTGTAAGCAAATGCAGCATTTGCATTATGTTCAATGGTCTCTAACATATCGAATCTTTTAGAACAAATTTGTGATTTCAAAACAAGCATTACTGCAGAATTTACTGCACATTGTTGCAAATTAATCTCACAGTTTCTCTCTTTTTTAACTTTATCTCCTGATATTTGTAGCATACTACATTTTATTGGACATAAAGGAATTCTTCATAAATCTAGTTTTCTACTTAAGTAATGCTCATATAAACAATTTCCATTCTCATAGAGCAGTATTTTCCACTGAACTTCTCTAACAATGGAGCATCTGCAGGAAATTTGGCAAGACAGGTGAATGCCATGCAAGTACAAATCTTTCACAATTGGAGCATTGTGCAGTAATGCTTTGAAAGATGCAATAACAAAGGTAGCAAGGTGATTTTTTTCACCCTAGAAAGATAAATGGCCAGAGTCACCAATTGTAGAATGGCAGGTTCTTGGCCATGGATCAGTCTCTACCTTCCGGCAAGCAAAGTGAACAGTGCAGGAAGAAATCCATGCTGGTTTTTAGTAGGAAACCAGTGGATCCCAAGAAATGTTCCTTTCTTTCTGTTCTCTCCTGATTACTGTGGTCATGCATTTTGGCTTAGGGAAAGAGGAAAACTGTGCTAGAGGAGTTTGATATTAAAGGTGGAGAAAGTAACCCTTAGGGAGTCGGATCAAGCATTGTCCCTGTCTGGGCACCTGTCCTCCTTTTGCACTCCCCCTCCTGAAAAAAATTTTAAAAGATTGTTTTGATATATATATATATAATGGTATGGTAGTTGTTTTAAAATCTGATTAAAGTATGTCTGCAACAAAAGCAACTCAGTTAATTTGTGTTATCTAAAGCAGGGGAGAAGAGAATTTTGATTCTGTGTTTGGTACAGAAAGTTATCACTGGCAACTTAAGATGTGTTCTTGAAATGACCAGGTTGTTGCTTCTGGGCCCTAAAGTCTTCAGCCCAAATAGAAGGGGGAGTTTCTGTCCAATAATCAGACTAGATCATGTCTACATAAAAAATTGAGAGTTGAAGGATTAAATTGCACCAGATGATAAAATTCTTATGTAGCCTCAAGCAAATATTCAACTGACAAAAATGTTATTGTATGTTTTCTCTTGAAAGCCTCAAGATATGCTTAGGTTAATTAGATTTCCAAGTATGCAAATATGCCCTAGTGAGATTTTTCTGAAATGCACCATTTTAAATTTATGTAGCATGGTATTAGTGTTCAAAATATTGAATTGTAAGACTTTGCCCCAATAGCTTACTAACATGTCATATAAATTCATAGTTGATCAAACCCATTTATTCCCCACTGTCCACATTATGCTGTTCAATTTGGGTTAGAAAATTTTATGGAAATTAGGTTCCCTAGCATGCTTTGGGGGAAGATCAAGGAATAGTTTAAGTTACATCAGTTTTTCAAAAATACCAGTTCACTTGTCTGGTATCAAGTGTTTCCAACATGCTCAGTTTAGGGAACATGAGCTTTCTGAAGCCCTGAGACTGTGGCTCGCCTGAAGGGAATTAGAGCATAAACTTTGATCTTTAGGGGAGAGGTATTTTAGCAAGGGCATGTGAAATGATTTAATTTTGTTCACCAAGACGTATCAATGAATAATTTAAAATTTCAACTTTTGAATTTTTGGAAATATTTTAAATGTCGTTTGTTTGGATGTTCTTATACAAATGGCTTCTTACTTAACTGAAATGTTTATGCTGTGTCAGTTACAAAATAATCATTTTTCCTGGAAACCTTCCTTAAATATGTTATTTTCTTCAGTGCCTTACTTATTAAGTAGTATATACTATTGTGTGCTAAACATAAGCCAGCAATTTCTGGATGATGCAGATATATCATGCCTACAGGACCCAGTGAGATGTATAAAGCTATTTATCCATGCTTTCAGTAATCCAAGTCACAGAATCATAAGACTTTTATGCTAAGGAGCCAGATAGTAAATGTTTTAAGTTTTATGAGACATGTGCATTCTTGCTACAACTCAACTCTGCATTACAATGGGAAAGTAGCCGTAGATAAGATATAAGTGAATAAGCATGGCCCATCTCTGTTTCAATATAATTAGCACAGCAAAAATGGAATTTGGCCTCCAAGCTGTGATTGGACAACCTTTGGACTTTGCCATCGTCTTTCTAGAGTTATTTATGAAAGAAGCTCATCAAGGTCATGGTATCTTGGTGTTCTTATGTTCTTCATTCTAGTAATATTTCACTCTTTGTATTTACTGCTTTTGATGTGCTTAGAACTTCGAGGAAGAAACTAGTTTATAAGAATTGTATCTAAAATAAGAGTCACTAGACTCCAAGTTAAGAGCATAATTCTGTCTCTTAAAGTACATAGTACGTTTACTATAATGCTCCTTCTCAATATATGCTCACAGGCCACTTTTATTTATTGTTGGGTTTGTTGATACATACAGTAAGTTTTGTGTTAAAAGAATTTTGTCATGAGTCAATGAGTTTTTATGTTTCATAACATACACTAAAAAGCAAGAACAAATTTTTCAACTACTTTTTCATAGGCATAGTTTAGTGTCTCTTGTCTAGTGTTTTCCATTTTTATGAATAGTTTATTAAGAGTAACAAATATTTGTACTCAGAAAGAAGAGATTACATTGCCTTTTTAGATGAGAAAAGATGTCCCTGCCCTCAGTATGAGGGCATAGTACTATCATATTTTGTGCTTATTCCTGGGTTTACTTTGTGTATATAATAAGTAAACTTTGTTTTGAGGTTTTGGGAATTCCTAAATCTACACAAATAGCTGCTGAGAACATTGGATCTGGGTTCAAGTTTTGGCTGTATCACTTATGGCTGTGTGATGTTAAGCAAGTGTCATAAATTTGTGAGCTGCAGCTCTTTTACGTATTCCATAGACTTCTACCTAAAAGCATTGTTGCTCTATTTCTTTGATGCCATTCTTCTCATTATTTCACCTCTTTTCCTGTAGTGGCACTCAAGTCACTTACCAGTTTAAAATTTAATATATAATCAAAACATTATATTTATACTTTAAATATGTTCAGGTTTTTTGTTAGCTGTCTCAATAAAATTTGAAAGTCTGTATCTCAAAAAATAAAACAACATACTGTTTAAGTTTTACTACCCTGTTGAATACCTTTCACTTTTCAGTTTTTCATTGAAGTACTTAATACCTGAGATAGAGAAAATAATTTGTTCACTTTAGAATAAGTGATCACAGGTATACATGGAATACAGGAAACTAGAGTTTATAAGATAGAAAGCTATATCCAATTACAATGGTAATTTTTGCTATAATATTTTTAGATATCTAAGACATTATTTACACTTAATTCAGTTTGCATATTAGTTAAGATATTAAAACTGTACTAAAAATTTCCTAAAATACAGTCTGCCAGCTTTAGGAAAAAGAACTACAAGCTTAGCTGTCTGCATTGGTCAGCAAGTTCTTCCATGCCTCAAAATTCAAGAAGTGCTTGAGATTTATTTGTATTTTTCAATTAATTACAGTCTCCACAAGAATTTAAGATCTAGCTGACTAATCAGCAGCTGCCCAGCAGTTAGTGTTCTAATATTTACAGACACACCATCCTCATTGTCTTTAGTATACACAATTTAAATCTGTACCAAAAATAAGGGGAGAGTGCAATATTGATATGACTAATATAGTTGATAGACAATGTCCTGGCAAAATTATTAGACGAATTGTGTCTTAATCTCATCATGTTACTAAATCACATTGGTACCCATTCGAGGTAAAAAGTTGTTCCATCCAAAACAACAAATGGATTTTGATTTTACATTGACAAAATGAAGATACTTTTTTCAGCGTTTTCTCATAAATCATCCTTTACAACAAAAAAAGAAATGTAAAACTGAAGTTTAGTTGTGATTATAGTACATCCCTGTAGAACCAAAACCCATCTGCGAAGCTAGAAAGCACATAAAGAATAATCATCTGAGGTGATGAAAGAGTTTTAGAAATTATGACCAAGTTTGTACAACATTGTGAATATGATTGATGCCACTTAATTATGCATTTAAATAGTTGACATGATAAATTTGGTTATACATATTTCTCTACCAAGATGTTTTTTAAGAGATTAGGGCAACTTAGTAGAAAGAAGTGAAGTCAAATAAAAATGCTTTAAGGTTATAAGTATCAAAGAACAACTAGCCAATTTGCCTTCCAGAAAGATCCAAGACACTGGAGGCCAAGTAGTAACAAACAATAAAGGTAATCATGACAAAGATTACTTGAAAGTATATACAGATTGCATCTAGACTTCCCAATCTCCTTTGCCTCCAAACCCTTACTAGCCAAAATCACCTAACTTCACCATTTCCTTCAGGAAAGAGACAATGCTCATGGAAAGTTAATCAGCGTCTCAAGACTCAGAGCCTGCAGGAAGAGGGGCATACTGAGCACAAGAATAAAAGTCTGATCCTAAGTTTAAAACTCCAGCCCTTCCCCTAATGAGTTTCAAAACATAGTTGGGCATACTCCTGAGCCTTTCTGGCATTCCATCAGGGGAGTCTTAAGGTGATTTAAAAATAGGGAAGTGAAGAGCCAAAGCGGTGACCAAAGAATTGAAAGTAATTTTCTCTGGAGAGAAGGAAAGGAGGGAATGGGACAGATATACTAAAACTTTTAGTAGACTTTTTTATTATTTAACTTTGTTATATGCATATAATACTTTGGTTTTAAAATGATTAAAATAAATCTAAAAGATATAAAATACAGATCTCATCCTGTATTTTGTTTTAGTCATATTTAATCATATTATTCTTTGTAGAAAATAGTTTCTAAACTCGATTTTCACCCCAAGAGGAAAATTATTCACCAAAATAACTATTGCTAAAGAGTGCTAATTGATGTCATCATATTTCATGTGTAATGTATGTTCATATTTAGATACGTATCTCTCCTCTAATAATTGTAGGTGGTATACTAGTCTACATCTACTAAAAGACACTATGTTGGTCCTCATTCAGAATGTTTGACAGTGTAAGTTGGACTGGGTCTAGTTTCATTAATGATTTTTTTTCTGTGAAGGAAGCTTTTATCAAATAATGGAATGGGGTGTGTTTAAAGGATATTTGAGGAGGAAATTTCCCACCTAACATCCAGGGGCTTGGCATTTGCATGGGAACTGCTGGTAATTTCAAAGGATCTGATCTGTACCTCAGAGAACAGCTAAGATTTTGTATTTGCAGCATCTTATTTCCATATAAAAATATCTCATTGGCCTATATTTTAATGAATCTAAACATGAGTTGATTTAACAAATATAGTTAAAATAAGTACTTTTCAGCAGACTTCTACTGTTTTGTGTACTCTTTTATGTTTGCTCCCATGAAAAGACCATTTTCATCTTTTGTTTTTATTTTCCAAATATGCAAGGGTCACTAAACCCTTTTAGAAGTTGCTTTTGAATAGTCATCCTTTGTGTAGAAAATCTACAGTATATTCCTTAAATGAAATTCAGTCAACTACTTAAAAGACATCAATGAAAGTACTCGTACAAGCTCTTAAGATCAAGGCATTTATTTCAGCTGACTTTAGTATGTACTTATCCATTATGCACCAAATGATGAGCAAAATAGCCAGACTTTTAATAAGCAAGTACAATATAGACAAAAGAGAACACTGATTTAAGGTCCTTGTGTCAAATGTGGTAAAACATTCTGTTTATAGCAGGTCAGGCTTGGGTTTACAATTAGCACTAATTACTGAGGAAAATATCAAAACCACAGCTTTAAGGAAGGACACTTTTCACTATAAGATCAAAGCAGTCTCTGTAGAATAGGGAAGCCTCTACCACTTAATTGCACTGAAGTGCTAATTGGATTGTAAGGTACTTTCATGAGTTCTTCCAATTAGCCAGCCATCCCTGACAAAATCCAAAAAGAAGAGATTATGAGTTCTTTGTGTTTTTATCTATATAGTTGTGATTTGTATACATGAGTGAATGTAGCTTTCCCTTATTTTTGTATAAATTGACATTAGCTTTCTGTAATCTTGAAGGTAAAGCTATCTATTCTATATAAAGTCCTAAGTATGTATTAATGATAATGGGAAGACATTTAATATGAACACTCAATTTTTAGATTCTTAAAATGTGAGAGTTGGGTGGGTGCAGATTCTTGGTAGTGTTGTCATTTTATGTAGTTAGGATCCAGTTAGGATGTTTATATTGCATTTTATAACTTAAATTTGGGCAATTTTCAAAAAAAAATCAGTAATTTCATGTTGTTCTCTAAGAATAATTCATGGCTCTAATTGAGTTTTGCTCATATACTGTATCACGTGAAATATTTATTGTTGTTTGATTATATAAAATGGCAACAATTGTGCTGACTTACCACATGAAAGCTTATATAATAGTCATATCTGGTGGTAAAAATATCCGTTTGCATAAGGCAAATGAGAAGTTTTTCATGAATGCCATGCCATCCCTATACAAAGTAAAATAAAATGTTAACAACTGTGCTGTGAATTCACCTGTCTATATTAGATTGAAACCATTATAAATTTTAAAAATCTCTTACTGACATAAAACTATTTTAGAACTTTATTTGTATTCTTCAAATTTTACTTGGATTTTTGCCCAAGTAATAAGTGTTCTAGGTCTCATCTGTACTGGTGAAACAAGACAAACAATTTTTCCAGGATTTAAATGTTCTGATGATTAAGTTTAATTAGAAAAGAATCTACTTTCCACAATTTACCTTCAGTTTCATAAAACCTGTGCAGTGGTATAGCACATGTGCCACAGCAAACTATTATCATTGAAAACTCTTAAAAGGTTCACCATCCCTGGCTCACAGTGAGATTTCAGATAACAAAGTCATTCATTTGTGTATTCAAAAGTTGAATATGACCCAAATATGATAGAGAATTAACATGATTCTCTATGCTTCCAGAATTGTGTGCTCTGTGCTTAGTTGTATCTTACAGTAAATGCAGGTATTATAACAATAATGGTACCAACTCATATGCAGTTTTTACTATTAGGCATTTTATATACTTTACATTACTCTTACATTAACCCATGGGAAAAAAACAGTAATATCTTCATTTCTCAGTAAGAAAACCAAAGCTTAGAAAGTTTCACTAGCACAGCTGTTAAAAGTAATACAACTGGGCTGGGGATTTAGCTCAGCGGCATAAGCACCCTGCCTTGCAAGCAGGCGGTCGTGAGTTCAATCCCCGGTACCGATAAAAAGGAAAAAGACAAAAAAAAAAAAAAAAAAAAAAAAAGTAATACAACTGCAAGAACCAGCATTAAACCCATTTTTTCTGACTTCAGAGCTTTTGCTCTCACTTCATTAAAATTAGTGGTAAATTAGATCCCCTTACATTTAGTCTTAGCAACTGCTGTGTGCTTCTTTTATAGAATCAATATGTACAAATATATGTGAATACTACATATATATTTTGTGTGTGTGTGTGTGTGTGTATATATATATATATATGTCTGTACTATGCACACATCTAGTTTTTGGCTAACTTGTTTCCAAATTTTGGGAGCAAGACACTATATGTGCTGTTCATCTCTGCCTAATAATTATATCTGGTCCATGGTAGGATCACAATGAGTGAAAGAGTATGCCGGTACCAGAGCCAAAAAGAATCCTAACTCCCAGGTTACTCCTTTAAATGTTCTGGTAAAATTCTGGTATTTACTATAGCAGAAGATCATGACTCTAAAATATTGGAAATAATAAGAAAAATCTTATTCTTTATTTGATGATATTGGTTTTCTATATATTTTGTCTTGTTTTTTCCCCTTCACTTTCCTTCCCTTCCCTTCACTCCCCTCCTTTTTTTTTTTGTTTTCTTTTTCTCTTCTTTTCTTCTTCTCACCATGAATATATACCTTTCAGTTTAAAATGAAAACCTTACCTAAAAGAGGATAGGTTTTGTACCATGAAATTACTCAGTTTCTGTTTAATTAAATGTGGATGACTGTACGATTTAAATAATTTTTCTCTGTAAATTTTATACTTTTGCTAAATTTGGGTCTAACTAGGACTTTCATTATAGACCTTGAATTAACTGTAATCATTAAAAGAAATTCATCAAACTTAATAAATTCATCGTGATTCACTTCTTCGTTTAAATTTATCAAGAAATAATTAGCCTGTGGATAGGAGTTAAGTGAAGTAAATCAGACACATAAGCTTAAATATCTCATGGTTTCTCTTAAATTAAAAACTCAATATATAAGTGAAAGATAATAGAAAAAGGAAAAAGTCATTGTTATTCAGCATGGACAATGTATCTAAAAGTGAACCTTGATTTAGTATTATTGTCTTGTGTGTTTTACATGCTTTTTGGCCTATTAGTCTGATTGTTAATCTCTGTATGTTTATAAGTGTATACATATATTTGTTTTGTTTTGTTTTTGTACCGGGGATTGAACTTACGACCTTGTGGTTTCTATGTAGGCGCTTATGCCACAGAGCTAAATCTTTGGCATATAATTAACTTTATAATAACATAAAACAATGAATATGATCATGACAAAACAAAGGGGGAAGTGGAGAAGCAAGGAGAAAATAAGAATTGAAATGTGTTTTTGTATAGGTACCAATTCCCTGCATTGAGTGTAAGCATTATGTATTGCAGACATAAAGTAATAAAAATTAAAAAGAGAAAACAAAGCATTTACCATAGTACTTTATTCCTGAGAAAGAATAGATATATTTTTAAATGCATTTAGTAGCGTAAGAAATAACATCAAAATTCCAATTGTAATTTAGCGTAATAACAGTATATTCTATGTAAAGATCTTATACAATTTGCATGTAATGGTATTTCTTATCCTACTAGTATGTATTCTTTTATTTAAAATAGGAATAACTCACCTGTAAACTCAGCCACTCCAGAGAGTGAGATGAGATAGTCACAGGTTTGGTCCATTCTCGGAAGTTACCAAGAACTTAACTTTAAAAAATAAATACAAGGGCAGAAAGTAAATAGATACATATGTAAATAAATGGGAATAGCACCAATATGAAAATCATGTATTGTATGACTGACCTGAAAAAATATATGACCAACAATTGGTAGCAATTTGTATAGCAAGATATTAGTAGACTCAGTAATAGAATGGGATGCCATATGTCACTATTACTGTTTTACTCTACATAAAGTGGTGTACTGTAAATCATAACCTTAGGTGGTTTTATATTTTCTATGGTTGTTTATTTTGCCAAAATATATGTAATGTTACCTTTTAATCAATTTCAAGTGTATGATTCCATGTCATTAAGGACATTTACAGTGTTATACAATAGTCACCACATGTTTACAACTCTAAATTATGTATTTTCTTTTTAATTTCAAAATGATTATTGTCTTCAAAGAATTAGAGAACAATAGATGTAACAGATCTATAGTGAATACAACATTATTGTTGCATTTATTATTCCAAAGACATTTCAGTCTCTTATGAGTCACGTTTGCTATAAAAGATTAATAAATCAATCACTATTTATCATTATAACAGTATTGATCTTTTTCCCCTCCAAACCCTCAAAGCCCATTTTCTATCCTTTGTGTTCTCTCACCAATCTCCATATACATTATCTCCTGATCATTTGAAATAAAATTTAGCTGAGAAAACTGTACAGCTGTGAAATACCTTTTCTTACAGCCAAATGCAAGGATTTTCAAAACAGGTATCTTTTAAAAGATAAAAAATTTTCAAGAAAATGTTTCATTATCAGTTCTATTTTATCTTCATCGTGCTGGTTTTTAACTCGTTTTGTTTTAATCTTGAGTGTGAATCATGTGATTTCTTCTCCTGTTCTTGTCCTACTCCATAGCCCCATTACTTTGGTTAGTGGGAAGTTGACTGCACTTGATGTTCCCAAGTCTGTGCCTCTTGCATATATTGTTTTTTTTGTTTTTTTGTTTTTTTTTTTTGTCTTAAGTGTCCTTACCCAACTTGGATCTCTAACTAGAATGGCTTTTATCACTGTACTCAGCAAACCTCATCTTGTGGCATAAGCTTTTCTGGCACCACACCTACCTGTATCGCCCATATGCTCCAGAAGCACCTGTGCATACCTTCTCCTAACCTGAATCACACTCTGCTTCAAATATATATTTAATTGTTCTTTTTTCCTTTTTGATTTGGAGCACATTGAGTTTTGGAATGTGATTTTAAAATATGTATATATTTTAAAATATACAAATATTTTGTATATTTGTATACAAATATACAAATGGAGGAAATATACAAGTGGAGGAAACAGCCCCATAAATAGTTACTGAATGGATGTTACAGAGTTAACATTTTCACATTTTTCTAGTTGTAGATTATCCTGTCAAATTCAGGTAATGCTGTACAGATTGTTTAATTTGCAGGATTATACTTAAGAAGAAAGTAGGTGAAATAAGTAATGTTACATAGAGAGACTCACTGATGGCAAGTTGTATCCCAGAGCCATGTAAATGAGTAAGCTGTGCCCCACATGTAAAGCACAGAGCATAGACCTGTGAAAAAAGTTGAAAAGAAATTGAGACCAATCAAGAACTAGAGAATTCTCCAGATTTGCTTTCTGTGCTTATCATTCTCATTCTTAAATATCAGTTTCCAAAACAAAATAAGAGCCCAGAAATGTGTGTGTGAAATGGAAAGTAGGATAAACAGATTAATTATAATCATTGAGAACATATCTGTTGAAACATTCACCACAAGTAAGTGTGCAGTTTATTATAAAGTGCTAAATAAACCTCCCAGAGCTTTTCTTATCTTTCTGAGATTATGTTAGTTCCACAGATGAGAAAATAATGTATAAAGGATTCAGAAACTCAGAAGCCATTTCTAACCACAACTTCAGCTCACTCCTGTAAGTTCTATTCTGCTTCAATGCAGAACAGGTTGCAAGGGACCTGGGAACTGCAGTGATTTTAGTGCCTAATGCCAGGCTCAGTCCCTATGTTATAAGATCTGTTATAAAACTTTATATTTTGGGGTTATGAACTTTTTTACATAATAAAAGCCAGTCCTATTAAAATACAAGATGAGTGGTTAACATGCTTTTCACAGACAGCCACTGAAATGTATGAAGCAAATAAACTAGTGAATTTGATGAGTTAGTGAAAGAGGGGGTGAGATTGATTAGAACCAGGTGAAAGCAGGTGAGGCAGTCACAAAATGTATACAGAAATTAAACTCATCTCAGCAATAGTGTGTGCGTGTGCACATGCATGTGTGCAGCACTTGTGTAATTATGCAGTAGCACTATATGTTAATTAATGACTATCTCTTAAAACATGTTGTTTTCTGTGAAACTAAATTGAAAATACTTAAGATACTTCTAAATCATTTTTAATATCCCTTTCTATTCTTTACACAAGTTGATCTTTTTAGTTTGCTGTACTCAATGTCCTGTAATTTCTAAATTTCAGTTGTCAGCATCCCTAAAATTAAAAACAAGCCCTGAATGCAGAATGCTTCCATCAATGAGGAGAACAATTCCATGGCCCAAACACTTACCAAAATTATCATGGCATATTTTGTGTGTAAGAGATACCCCTTTGATGTAAGTGCCAAGGCCGTTACCATGGAAACCACATGATTCAAGTCACTTCCTAATTCTAAAGCACCTAATGTTCACATCTACACTAATTTCCCCAGAAGCTTGACCATACTTGACATTTTAAATTATAATATGGCAGAATTTATTTTAAGAAAATGAATGATCTATCATTCATAAGTTAGAGATGCAAAATTTTGAAATATGTGGAGTAACCCATATAAAACTTAGAATATGAAGCAATGTTTTATTCATTTAAAAATTTTTTTAGTATTATGACAGTACAATTCTCTAATTTAAAGTGCTTTTCTTTTAACTGAGATATCTAAGATAAAAGTTAGAATGAGTCACAGTGTATTATCTGGGAGTCATAGTATCTTGAAAACGCAGGGGCTGGAAGAAGAAAAAGTTATTTAGGGGCATGTCAAAAGCATCTGTGTAAGTATAGATTTTATAGATTTTAAAACCCTTAACCATTCCATAGTAGCTCATAAAAGCATCTGTAGGTCAAATAGCTAAGTCATTTATGTTATAAGCTCTTTTTAAAGACAAATTAACTTCTAATTGGCATAACTGTATAGGGAAAGATGATTTAGGTGTTGTTTTCATGACAAATAAAATAGGAAAGACTATTCTAAAAAGTTGATTCTCAGTCTCATAGCTGGCTACTGAGTAGTTCACTCTGAGGTCCGTATAGTGCATTTTTAGTTCTAAGAGTAAAGATTTTATGTGAGTCCATAGGAATCATAAAGATAAATAAAGGGAAACCTTGATGGCTGTGAAGGTAGAGAAGATGTTTACAGTTTAAAAAAATAATGGAGCAGTTCCATCTCTGTCTAATAAGAACAACTGATAAGCCTTTTTGCCTTTTATTTCTAGTCATGATTCACTCGTTTTAGTTTTCCTTATCTCTCTGTACCATAATTGACTCAGTTGTAAGGGAGAGGATTATGCTATTTGTATAACATGATCATTGAATTATTTCAGTGGACATTTTCTGTACTATATCAACAATTAAAATGTTATTACATGGGTACAGGGCTATACCTTCTGAACAGGATGCTTGAGTCACATGATACTTAAAGCTATATTCCACATGTAAATGTCTACCACACTACAGGATTCACTGATCATCTTAAAACTGGGAAAATGGGAAGTAGAGAATTTTTGTTTCCTTCTCAATTCTACTGACTCACTAGGAAGTTTCTGTCAAAATGGTATTTTAAATATATGCATACTCTGTTCTTTACAGCCAAAATAAAGTAGAAAATACTTTCGTTTTATACAAACACACATGCATATGAATATATAAAATCATGTATCACCAGTGAGTTAAAATTTGTATGAGGCTGTGAAAAATAATGTGCAACTGTTTCAGCACTGATACCGGTTTTCAGTCTAGTACTTTTTAAAAATTGTGTACTTCTAACTGTATATTCTAAATAATAATTAAGGATTCTGTCTGAATATTTTTTTGTAATCTGGCCTGAAGCCATGTTTTTCTAACCAATGAAAAAAATCTTAATCATGTTTTCCTGTTACTCTATTCCAGTGTTAGAACTGTTTATTAGCATGTTACTTCCTGATTACATTAATTGGCTGAATACAGAGAACAATCTGTGGAACCAGATGTTGTTTACTCCCACTCTTCCTGGGCCTCTGTCCCCATTATCCTCACCTGGATTACTTATAAAGCCAAGGCTCTTTGTCCCCTTCACTGTACACTTGTGGCATAAGAAATCATAGTCAGTGACATGGAAAAATTAAGAAAAAAACAAGGAAAAAGGGAATAATCAAGAAGTGACTAGATTGAGCAAGGCAATGAAACCATGTAAATTTAAAATTCAAGAAATTTATCTCATAGTCCTCAAAATGGCAAATTTTGACCTAATTTTAGTTTTGAAATATATGCAAATTAGCTTGCCACTTTCTCAGAACTATCAATTTTGAATTGATCACTGAAAATCCATTGAGACGAACTATTTTCAGTGCTTTTTCTTACTTTTTTTCCCTAAACTGTCTGGCTAAGCTCTTGCCTACCCCTACAAAATTAATTTTGTGAGATATTAATAAAAAATTCTGAGGTTTCAAATCACTTGGTATAGGGAGTTAGGAGCACACCACTCCAAACAGGACAATTGCTTCCATTGGTTGCTGATTTGAGATATATTGTATGGACCTCAGCTGCAGAACAAATTAATTGTCACTGTGGGGAGTGAAGTAATTATCCTATCTTTCAAGGACTCCACTGTGTCACATTTAATATAAATTTTGTTTAAAACTCTAATGTACCTTTATGAAGTCTTAAAAATCCTTATTTTCAGAAGCCAGATCTCAGCGTGAGTAAGTTGTCCAAAGACAAGTGGACAAAGATAATAGCTAAAGCTAAAAGTTGGTGCCTTTAGTTTATCTAAACTCCGATCACTATATGTATATCTTTGGAAAGAAAGGTAGATGTTACCAGGACCAAGAAGCAAGGGAAGTGGCCAGTGAAGTCCCTCCACAACTACAGTTCTGAAATTAGGTTTTACAAAGAATCCCCTAGGGAGCATGGTAATATTGCTTGTTCTTTGTGATACCCACACAGATTTCAAGAGCCTGAATTTTTAACAGATATCCCAGATAATTCTGTTGTGGATTGCAACTTGGGGAATCATTTTCTAAAGATATTAATAATAAAATTCTATCTATCCTTCCACCAGTGCATTCATTTAGGTGTATATCTTAGTTTCTGATTTTTTTTTCCTTGAAGGAGAAAAAGTTGACTGCTTTCACCATATGATGGTTGTGGGGTTTTTTTATGATGGTTGTTTTTTATAGCTTTAATTCCTCCATTGTCTCTACTTTTCTCTCTACTTTCTTCCTCCCAAGAGAACTGAAGAGTTGATTATGCTTTCTTCAGATTAATTCAAAAGGTGTTTTATATTTGTAGAGTAGCTATTTTATGAGATGTTGTTTTCTTTTTGATAAGACCAACATTTAAGATGGATATATATTGTTTTGAGGAACTTTTCTTCTGACACTTTTAGTCATATACATTGACATTAATTAGGAGGCACAGCTTATTTAAGAAGTATGGCCTGTACTGAAATCAGACATAAAAGTAGGTGTCCTTGAGAGTGCATGTCTCCAAAATAATAATAAATTGGGAGAAAATACGGATAGCAACAATTTTTTGTCATGAGACAAATTTTTAATTTACGAAATTACATTTTCCATAAGCTGATACATTTTTCATGGTAAAGGGTTATTGGTGACACTTACTAAAGTGCTGCAACATTTTGCTAATTTAAAAAAGGTCTGCTTTAGATCGATTGTGACCTTATCAATAGGATGATCTCATTCATCTCCTTTGGAACCTCTTGTCACAGTGAGCAGCAATATCTCTGAGCTGCATCTCCTGTGATTACAAAATTAACATTAAAGAGGGTTTCAGAATCAGTGTGGAGCAGAATGAAACATTTTGTGATCTTTCTTAGTTATTAGTTTTTAAAATGTGAAACATCTTTGTAGTCATTCCTACTTTAAAAAAAAAACTTTAAAAATACGAACTCATAGTTCTGATTATTATCCACTCTTATTTTTTCCTAAAGACGAAAAGCATTTTAGACAAGACGGAAAATTATTTTGTAACATGTTTAGAATCTGTGATTCTTTTGCCCAGTACTTTTCCTACTTAGAGCATTAATTTTACTCATACATACATTATTCTTTGTGTTCTGTACAGTTTTCAAATGTCAGGAAGTATAACAAAAGATGAAATCTGTTAGTTTTCTAGCATTTTTTCCTAAGAAACTGTTTCTAATTAAAAATAGTTTTTTATATCTTGAAATTACTTACAAAAGGAGATTCAGTGTTCAAAATGCATTCTGAATTCCATACCTACACCTTTTTAAGGTGTGTCAGTAATGAATGAACGTGAATTTCTTCTGTGGCTTTGGGAGTATAGCTCTGACTTTAAAGTTGTATCTGTTTCAGAGCAAAGATTGTACTTTCTATTGTTCTTGAGCCTAATTTTATAGCTAATAATAATAATAAGTTCATTTTCCTATAATTAACCTTCTTCCCCTTCTCTTCTGCTCTTCATGTTTATTAATTTTGTCCAAACCATTTCAGCTTCCTAATAGTAGTATTACTTTAATTTTCCTTCATTTCTAGTCATCTGTAATCAAAACCATTTTTTCTCCATCTGCTATTTCATTCATCTCTCCTTTTAAATCTGCTTCTTCTCCTATAGACTCATGAATGTGCCATAATATGTCAACTTCTTTGACTAATTAGAGAGAGAAAAAGAATTCTCTACTTTGGAGATTGTCATTCTCCCTGCATACCAGCCTAAACAATTAAAATCAGCTGTCTTTGCCAACTAATAATTGTTCAGATTGAATGTAGGACATTGAAATACAAATTTTTAAGACCTCTATATTCTGTAACCATGTTCTATCCATCAATCTACATTGCATGATTCAGCCTAATTTCTAAACTGATATTTCCTAATGAGACAGTACTCGCTCCTTAAAGCCATAGCTATTTTAAATTACTTGCACATGATTCAACCGTGTCAGAAAAAGTAGTTATTTAAATTACCTGTTTTGGTGATATATTTTATATTTATTTTTTACCCATATCCATCTTATTTTCTGCGTAATTACTACTTATCTTTTCATTTAGGGCTAATATGAGAACTAAAATGCTCTTCTAAGAGAAATATTTGTTCATAACTCAGTGAATTTCTTTGTTTTTAATACTCAAAAGTAAAAAAAAAAAATAAGAGCATTTTATTCGTGTTTTAGAAACTGTCAGCTAGTAGCAGCAAGTTACAAAGAAGCATGATAGACCATAATGAGAATTTATTGAATACCTACATATACACTTCTATATGTATATAAGTCTTATGAGAAGTATAAAGCACTTCAGAATATGATCATTGGTGACACAGTAAGATATGTGATTAAGTATTAAGATAATCCTAGAGCACTCAGTCAGTGTGCTAAGAATTTAGATGAAAGAGAAATCAATATAAATTATTTTGGAGAATTTCACTGAAGGGCTGGTATTTGCATTTGTCTTTGAAAAATGGAGATAACCTCAGTGTATTATCCTTTCCAACGTCTTATTGATTACATTTAGACCATAAAACAAATTTCAGACATGATTTTAAGATTTCAGAGAAGGGTAACCTGGAGAGATACTCATACTGGAGCTAACTGGAAACAAAAAGTAAAGAATTTGAAGAATCTGGTTTGGGATGTTGTAGTCATGATTTCTACTAAAAAACCACATGAGACCCTAGGGCTAGAAATGCAAACAATTATATAAAAGAAAACAAACAGCCAGGCGTGGTGACACACACCTGTAATCCCAGCACTCAGGAGGCTGAGGCAGGAAGATTATTGCAAGTTCAAGACCACCCTGGGCTACAAGTGAGCTTATGGCCAGCCTGCTAGACCAACTGTTTTGGGGTAGGGAGGGAGGCAGGGTGGCAGCAAGGTAGGGAGGGAGAGACAGAGAGAGAGAGAGAGAGAGAGAGAGAGAGAGAGAAAGAGGGAGAGAGAGAGAAGTGTTTTAGAGACTCGTGAATAAAATAGTCAAGGAACTTGATAGCCTTTAAATTCCATTTTCAAAAGTATAAAATAAAAATCCTAAAATTCCTTAACATTGCATAAAGAAACATCTCAGAGTTTTCCATGCACAAACAATTGTTGAACCCATGAAAGAACATCAAGGACAGAATTAGCCAGCATGATGTGACAGTTTATGTCTCTGACATCCTGTCCACTGTAGTGTCTATCTACATTGGAGCAGGATTTCTCAGAATGGAGCAATCACAAATCCCTATATATATGAATTTTATCTGGTTGTTTACATTAATGTGTCAGGAAATTAATTTTTGACTATTCTAAGAAAAGCTGAACTTCTTTAGGCCAAATCATATTCACATACCATAATGTGTGAATATTTTAATATACTATTTGTGCTATTTAAGTAGTTTAAATAATCTTGCTACCATCTCTGATTATCTATTGTAAGTCTACATTTTGGAAACCTTCTTTAGTTATCTTAATTTTCTGGTGATATATTAAAATAGCACAGTCACCCTTGTCAGCCCAAAGAGATCCTAAAACTTCTAATAATACTTTTTAACCCTTTAAAAAGAAATGATTAAGCTGTGTGTGGTGGCACATGCCTGAAATCCCAACACTCAGGAGCTGAGGTAGGAAGATCACCACAATTTCTATGCCAGCCTGGGCTGCATAAACAAGTTCAAGGCCAACCTACACTGCATGGTGAGACCTGTCTGAAAGAAAAAAAAAAGTAATTATACTAAAACATTCATCACTTCTAACCACTTCTTTAACCCAGTCTACAAGTAATTTATAAGACTAATCTCTAGAAGTGATGCAGAAGTAGTTTTATTAATATGGGATACAGATGTGGAAAAATTTTTAATTTTTGCTGATTAAAGAACATAAAATTATAGAAAATCATTATAGGAGGATACAAGGAGTAAGTGCAAAAATGCTCGAAAGGACCACCAATTAATGATTATATGTTTATATACTTGACATATATGTTCATACCTGTTGTTTGTGGGGTTTTTGGTATATGTTTTTATAATACTGTGTTTTGAAAATCCAGCTGAACTTTTCTTTTTCAAAACTAGTTTTGTGCAAGTAAACTCATAGACTGATGTACAGAGAAATTCTATTGCTACAGTTGATCTATAAAAGTTACTGTCTTGGACTTTTTCTCTATCTTCTTATTCTGTATTTCCTAGGCAGCTTTCACTATTATAATGTATTTTGATGCAGTAAACTACCATTTTTAGTACAATTGTGTGCTGAATACTTTAATACATTATTTAAACCTTACAAGAACTGTTTTTGCAAAGAGAAATTGACACTTCACGAGCTAAATAAAGAAGTTGCCTGGGATCAAATAGACTAGTGATCAGCAGAGCCAGGATTCCAAACCCATTTGTTTAACTTGCTCATATACTACCCTTTATTTGTTGGGCATCTGCTCAGAACACCAGGCTCATGCTAAGGATGTAAAGTGAAAACAAACAACAGAAAACCTACATTTTCCATCCTCATCATATTCAATCTAGCTGTAGAAGGGTGTTGCCTTTCCTTTGTGGCCCATCTGGCAATACCTGACTGGTGCTTGCCAGGGTTGGTGTTTTCCCTAATATCCAGTGACTTTTAACTAAGCACTTTTTGTGCCAGAACCTGCACTGTTTTTCAGTGCCAATATGACTGTTACCGAAAGCAAGCCACACAAAATGTTTTAATTATTTTGACATCATTAAGTATTTTCCAAGTCTTCTGGAATTCTTTCAGCAAAATAGAAAAGAAATATTGCAATGTACAAGAATTAAGCAGCAATATCACTCATATGCATTAAAAACGTGTTTATGCAGTGTGGGTTAAAATTCTCAAGCACATCCAATACCAGGCCTGAGCCAGTAATGAGACTTACTTTTTTCCAGCCCCCTTGACCCGCTGCCTAGCCAGTCCATTATGACAATAGCAGAAGCAACTGTGCTCAGTGCATCACAGGATGACAGCCTTTCCGGTGTATGCCTACCATTTATTAGCATATTAGTGGCCAGCCATCCTCCAGATGCCCAGCCGTGACTATTACACAAAGAAAACATTAGCTTTCTTGGATGTAGTTATTATAATTTGAAAATTAGTTTTGCCTTCATGGCTGCATCACATTTGGAATCTGTCTTTGATGTTGTTATTAGTTAGTGCTCGTGGTGCTCATGATAACTGTCATACATTAATCACATCCATCATGTGACTCTTAATTTGCTCTATTATGATAAATGGATTTAGACGCAAACTTGCAATTACCTATTTTGAGGTTAATAGCAGATTTGGGGTTGTAATTGGTTCCAAATATTCAGTTTAGAGAAATTATTTCTTATCCTGGTCTAAAATATGTTCTAAATGAGCAAATTGTATTTTTTATACTAGCACTGAAAAATTGTGCCAGATGAGACCATATGAGATATCTGAACATGGTAATCACACAGAGTTTTTAACAAAACAGAATATTTGTATTTTTCAGGGACTGTTCTGCTCTCTGCCATTCTCACTTATTTATCCCATTGTTACCTCAGTCTCAACTTGTTCTAAAATATACATTCTCTGTTTATGTGTAATGTTATATAGTGATTTTTTTTAAATATTACTGGTGTTAATGACATATAATTAAACTGTTTTGATCTAATTGCAAGAAAGGCATTTGTAAAGGGTGTAATATACTTACCCTTTTTATTTTTCTTGAGTCTCCTTGCTAAGTATTGCATATTTAAAATGACTGCATATCCAAAATTATGTCAGAAATCTCTTTCCAAATGAGCAGAACAGTCTTTGTTAGGTCCTCTCTGATTACAGCAACTTATATCTTTGCTTAGAAGGTCTGCATGGGTTACTGTTTTTTTTTTTTTAAGGGGAAAAAAATGGGTTACTGTTTTTGTGCTGCAACTATCTCTTCTTATATATGAATTTCTATACTATCAAGTACTACTGATACTTCATTAAAGAAAAATCTTCTCACAAACCTTAGTAACAGGAAATCATGGGCATATGGACTGTCAATAGTAATTGAGACGGTTGTATGAGATGGCAAGATGGGACTTAGAGTTGGGAAACATTGAGAACATTGAGAAATCAACTAGTTCAGAGTAGCATGGAGCCTAAGAGCCTAACTTGGGAGACAGTCAAACTGGATTTACTTCACATTTCACCTACTTACTATTGGACAGTAAACACAGCACTTGTATCATTTTCCTTAGCAGGGAAAATTAAAGTATCTATCTTACAGAGTTGTAAAGATTAAATAAGTAATTGTGAAAAACCCTTAGTACGTTGTTAGATATTAGTATTATTATCTTACCATTTAGTCTGTGCTGTCATCCAAAAAGGGAATTCATTCCACGTGGTTTAGAGTTTGATTATTTAACCTGTACTTAAGTTTTTCCTCTGAAAAGTCACCGTTATTCTCCCAAGTGTTTTTGTCACATTTCAAATAGTTCTAGAATAACAATTCAAGTCATCTTTTTTTGTAATTTGTATACTTTTGATCTGGTCCTATTCATTAAAATAAATGATATTTTGTACAAAAAGTTTTTCAAATGTTTGAAATCTATTCTTCCAAGTGTATTCATAAGGTTAAAGACCTCAGGTACCTTAATGTTCATGTATAGCATTGTTTACAGGTACTTTATCTTTGGATACAAATTGGGTATCTTTTAAAATATATGGTACCCAGAATAAAACTTAAGTATTATTTTTCCAGTGTAATACACTACATTTCTTGCTCTACTGTTTGGTTTTTGGTTTTTGCAGTACTGGGTAATGACTGGTCTTCTCATTCTGCTTACATCCTTAGCCGAGTTATATTTGTTTTTGTTTTGAGGCAGGATCTCATTAAATTACTTAGGTTGGCCTTGCACTTGTAAGATGCTTCTGGCTTAGTCTTCAGAATAAATAGGTTTACGAACGTGCATGTTGCAGCTTGTTTTAGTTACTTACGGTCTCATAGTCTTAAGTTTGTTTAGGTTGTCTCTACAGTGGCAGGGAGACAGTATGGAGATCACTGATGCTCTCTCTTAAGTGCTTGTAGTTCACCAAAAATCCTTAAGATCTTTTCATACTAATGAAATGCCTTAAACCATTTTTAGTACTATTGATATTTATCCCCAGTACAAAACTTTATATAAAAATAACTTAAGTGCCATCATATGCTGGTTGACATAGTAATGAGAAAAGGGTATAAAATTGGGAGATCATTTTTACATTGTTCACTAGTTTTCTGAAGTGTCTACCTTAATGTTACACACAAAATAGATGCTTTGTCTTTATTGACTGTTAAGTGTTCAGAGTTACACCCATTGAATGCTTGCTCTCTTTAGTGCCTTATGAATAAGTCCTGCTTCTTAGCTGCATTTTATAACATTAAATTTGTTATATAAAGAGAAGTCCTTTAACTTGCTTAAGCTCACATTCATTCATGGTAAAACAAAAACTGGACAGGAATTGAATCGTCCATAGTTAGGTGATGGTTTGACGTGAAAGCCACTGTTAGGGCATTGAAGAGTGTTCTCAAAGGAGTGACACAGGCAGCTTTATGGGTTAAAAACATGGCTGTGGCTGCTGTGTAGCAGAGATTGAAGAATAGCTGAAATGCAGACAAGGAGGGTTCCTCGAGGCTGTCTACAGTCTAGGTAAGAGAGGGTCATGCCAGGCAGAAGGGCACAGAAAAGAAAATGTTTTGCAGTCTGTTCTGAGTTCGAATCTTCAAAATCTGGTGACCAGTCAAACCTATACATTCAAGGAAAGCAAGGATTCTAAGTGACTTCAGGTTTTTATTCAGTCATAAGATAATAATTACAATGCAGAACTAATTAGTTAAAAAGACTTAAGTGTATAATTATGATAGGTTAGTCCTCAGGAAATAGTTGGATGAATAAATAAATGTGTATGTTAAAGTTAAAAGATCTACTTTCAAATGTTTTATTTCTCTATTACCCTATATTTTTAAGAAAAAATTATACGGGTTTATGACCTTTAAAATGGGTCTTTTTCTTTTTAACTATAGTATCTTAAGAGATTTTTCTCTCTCTAGAAGAAAATGCCTAACCCATGAGAAAGTTGGCAGGCAGCAATTCACATTTGTTCCTTTATGTTTCCAAAGCTTTATAATCTTTTCAGATACATTTCTATGAGATTAAGTCATGGGTACATGTGTTTAAATGCATCTGTTCTGTTCTAAGTATGTTTAGAATGTTTTAAGTGCAAAAGGACTAGAACTGGAAGGATATAGGAGGAGAGGATTGGAGGGAGTTACAGAATTTTATCTCTATAAAGAAGCTTAGACGTAAATGTCTACTAAACTGCTTACCTTAATTAATGACCATGGAAGTTAGTCTTCATCTAGTCTGGAGCCCTAGATATTCAGGCTAATGTAGTTTTGCTGCAATGATTATTCTTGAAGCTATCTTGGTAAACTTTGCTCTTTAGACAAGCTATATAAGAGAAGAAATTAAATTACACTTTTAAGAAAGTAGTAGCATCCAGTAGTATAGTATATCACTGAGTACTTCACATTTTAACAATCCGTAGGTTATATAATTGAGAAAGGAAGGGACAAGAACTTAGAATAGATGCCTTGGTGAGACACAGTATACAATCAAGGTCAGCTAAACTGGAATAATGATAAATGAGGTCCAGTAAGCACCCAAGCACATGGAGGCCAAGATGAGAAAAAGTTGTCAAGTGGAGTAGTAACATATTCTACACACACCAAATAAGCCTAGGAACCTTAGAACCTAGGCCAGCTCTGCACCATGTCAGAATTTCAGGCCCATTAGCAAAAAGGAATAAACTTCTGGCATTTCATTTTTTGAGCTAAAACCAAAGTCATAGTACACAAGAAAAAGAGACCTTAAAATTGCCACTATAGAAATGCCAAGGTAATAACCATTGTACTCCTCCAGGTCCTGTCAGATACCATTTTCTGATCAACTCACATAAAATATGTAGGTATACAAGAAGCTGGATTTAGAGCTCACTGAGAGAACAAAGTGAGAAAAAAACAATATAGTTTTCATAATAGAAAAGCTATCAGTGTATCTCATTAGATACTTTGCTTTTTTAAATTAATGAATTTTGAATAGGATATGCATTTATAGAGTTAAAAGTGTAAAAATACTAAAAAAAATATATGTGGAAAACCATATACTGTTGTAGGATGTACTGCCAAGACTCATTACTGTGGACTGCTAAGCATTGTTCATATTTATCCCAGCATGAATTGTTTTGCATACCCAAGTAAAACAAATACAATATTTTTATTTCCTTTCTTCTTTTACAAAAGAATGCTATATTATACATACTGTTCTACAGACTTATTGTTTTCATTAAATCACTGTAAGGAATTTCTCATTAAGGCCATGCGAAGTCCAAACTGAAAGTTCAAGACTTTCTAGATAAATGTTTGCAATTCAAGATTGATATTAAAACTAAAAATGCTAGAATTTTGGACACTGTGTTTAAAATGGCTTTATCTAAATACATTCTTTTGTCTAGAGGTGTTAAGGAATTGACATTAACCATTTACATTGTTTTGTTTGTTTATTTATTTGTTTTACAGATGAGACAAAAGTAGAGTGGCTAAATTTTGAAGCAAATTCTAATTCTAAAACTAATGATACTGTATAATAGCATAAAATCTGTTCTCAGGGATTGGAATAAGTCTGTCAGATTATCATTACAGAGGTACATATTTATAGCAACCACCTCCAAAAACAAATATTTTTAAAATGAGTTTTTTAACCTGAGAAAATTTTAAATATTCCAAAATGCAAAAGAATGGCATACAAACATCAATACATCTTAGCTTTAAAAGTAAATACTTGCATTACCTTTGGCCTTTTGGCTAAGATCAAATATAAAAGTAAATGCTTCCAAGGACAATTTAATCCCTAGTTATTTCCTGTTTCTCTCAAAAGTAACCACCTCACTGATTTTGCAAATTATCATTTCCTTTTGCTTTATCTGAGTACTTGTAAACAAAATATAACCTTTCCTTTGCAGGTTCTGAAAGTTTATATAAGTGGTATGTCATTCTGTATATTCTTCCACATCTTCCTTTTTTGTTGTCCAGCATTATGCTCTTGAAATACATCCATATTGACATATGTAGTGCTAATTTATTTTTGCCCTCATATACTATACCACTATACAGAGCAAATCAAACTTAATTTTCTATTCTCCATTGATAGGCATTTAGGTTGTTTTCTATTTTTGTTACTGATAGTGTTACGATTAAAACCCTTTATGTATCTCTGTTTTAGTTACTTTTCTCTTGTTGCTGAGATAAAATACCTGACACTCAAAATGAAGGAACAGGCGATTTATTTAGCTTAATGTTTGTGGAGGTTTCAGTCCATACTCAGCAATCTGCAAGGCAGAGTGACATACTGAGGGACAGCCGTTCATGGTGACTGCTGCAGACACCAAAAGCAACAAGAGCAAAAGGGCAAAAAAGAGGAGCAAGCCTCTTTCCCTCCCTTATAATGTATGCAAGCTACCTGTCTAAAGGCAGGTGCAGCACTCACACTGCCAATCCCAGCACTAGACAGTCACAAACTCTAAATTCAGCCACCTTTGAAAGTCCCTCATGACCATATGAGGTTTTGATGGTGTTGTGGGGGGGGGCATCCACGCATAAACCAAACCAATCTCCCTATATTTAAGAATAAATGCAGAAGTAAATCTTCCACTTTACTGTATATTGCCAGCTTTCCCACCAAAATAATTTTTGTTAATTTATATTCCCATCAGGTATAAAAGTTCTGATCTTGCAACATCTTTAGCAGTGCTTGGTATTGCAAGATATTTTGAGGTCTGCCAATCTGGTGGATGTGAAATGAGTATCATTTATGGTTTTAATTTATATTTACTTGATTTCTGATAATTTGGACCATTGTAGTTATGTTTATTGAATGTTCAATTTCACTATTTCAGATTGCCAGTTTATATACTTACTTAAAAAATTTCTTTTTTCCTATTAATTTATAGTCATTCTTAGGATGCTAATCTTTTGTCAGTTATATGTTTCGTAAGTATCTTCTCTAAATCCAGGGTTTTACTTTGATTTTTATGCTGTGTTTGTGAACAGATTTTTCCATTTAATGCCATTATAGTTACCTCTGGTTTAATGTAGTTGAAGTTATTTTGTTCCATTTTGCCTTTTGAGGACTTTGTCCAAAATTTATAAAGTTGATTTTCTCTTCAAATATCGGTTTGTATTATGTTATATCATTTATCCACATGTATCCAGTAGCCTATTGAGAACTGTGACTATCTGCTTATTGAGTACTCTATTTTTTAATGTCATTTATTGAATGACATTATGAAACTTTCCTATCAGAGAAAGCGCACATGTGTTTCAGGATTGCTGTTGTTTTTAAAAATATTTTTAAATTTTTCTTTTAAAATTATATTTAAAGCTTGCTGTACATTATTTAACTACCTACCATCATTGGCAAATATGTTCTATTTAGGTCAGATTTGATTTTTGGAAAAGATTAAAGCTTTAGAATATAAAAATAACTTTTGGTTTAATTTGAAAGGAGATGTAACTCTTAACAAAATATAAGTCATGTTCAGAATGAACATAAAGTCATTCCAAAGGCAGAGACATAGAAATATGAAAACTACTTTGAAATAACATTATTTTAATGTATATAAGGGCATAAAACCTTTATTATATTCATTTGAAATTTAAATATAAAGGCAAGTTCTCATGACCCTTCAAGCAGCCAAATGTATAAATAAGTGAATAAAATTCTGAGAGGTAAATGCAAAATAGACATATATAAAACATGGTAAGAGTGTATGAGGGAAGATCTGACTTTTCAGAGAAGTCAAGGAAGGCTGCACAGTGTTGTCTTTTGAACTGAACATGGGAGGGTGAATAGAAATTAGTCATATGAGAGACATATAAGACATGCAGCATAAGCAAACACACTAAAGGATAAAGTTGACATCAATATTCAAAGCACCTTGAAGATCAGGAGATTTGTTTAATGTTATCAAAGTGTTATATTTGGTGACATAGTTTGGTCTCTCACCACCAAACGTGGCTACCGAAGAAGTTTCAGCATGAAAGCATTGTGATGAGATTTACGTTTTTCAATCAGATTTATCTTGACAATAGAAAGATCAGAAAACTTCCTTTAAAGAAAGGCTGTTAGTATTTTTTTAATTTTTTGAGCTGTGTACTCTCGTAGTGTACTGTATAGAACAGAAGCAGCCATAAATAAATGCAGAAATGAGCAGGAAATTTCTTTCCTCTGATTAAATTTGTATAGCAAAAGCAACAGGCTGCTTTGATCCTGTGCAGTCAATCATGAACTACTACAGAGGAGAAGAGTTTGAAGATACTTTAGAGATTGGAAGGTTAACTAGAATGATTGTATTACCTTATAAGGAAAAAGATGAGATTCTAAACAAGGTCTGTGAAAATAGGGGTGAAGAGAAAGGGATTACTGAGAACAGTGTTGCAGAAGTATACTTGGCAACGCTGCTCCAGAATGGGTGGTAGGCTGGTGATGAGGAGAAGATAAGACCCAAGTTGAGCAAAGAGTGGTTAGTGATAGCTTTAATGAAGGAAGTAAAGTAAAGACAGATAGAAATGTATGCAGTTGTTTGTCAGTTTGGTTGGTTGGTTGGTTCTGTTTTGTATTTTGTTTTTGCAGAGGGGCTTAGTATGAGGGAAGGGGGCTTAGTGAAGGACCTAGCAGAACAGAATATATTTCATTTCTGGACTGCTTAATTGAAAGGGCTCATAGGAAAATGGACATTATTTAATTTATGGATCTGAAGCTTAGGAAACCCTAGTTCTCAAAGCATGTAGTTCATTGAAGTCCACATGATGCAGAGAGCATCAATTAGGACAAGTGTTATTCAGTAAGAGACAACCAGTGACGCATCTGCCTTACAGGTAGCTAACGTTATGGAAAAGATAGCAGGAAAATGTGACTACCCAGAGAAATACCCAAAACACACAATTTAAAGAAGGAGAGGTCTAATTTGCTTCATACTTTTCATGGGATTCAGTGCATTATTAATTGTGTCCAAGGAAGCAATATAATGGTAGAAGGGCATGGCCCAAAAAGATGCATAATTCATAGTGGCCGAGAAGAGATGAGGACAAGGCAACAGTGCCAGAAAGGAAGGGATGAGACCCAAGGCCATGTTTCTATGATCCAGCCAGACACACCCTCCAATGTACCCCACCAATCTTCTGGGAAGATCCCAAACTCAGTTAAATTGATCCTCCTTAGCTGCCACAGTTGGCATCAGTAATAGTTTAAAGGTAAAAATTTGGTGACTAGAGAAAAGCCTTTGATTGTAGCAGAAATTACACATGGAAAGGGATATAAAAGTTTCAAAAATAGGCTGTAGGACCTACCTCTGCAGTGTCTTAAATGTCATGGTCTTTCTCTTCCACTCTGCTCTGAACTCTAAGAGGATGAAATTTTGGTTTTAGAATCTTACATAATTTGAGGGACCAAGGTGGTAGAAAAGGGTCAGGTGGCTGAATGGTAGGTACTATAGGTATAATCATGGGCTCAGTAGATATGTTGGGTTATCTTTGTCCAGACTTTCATGTCTTCATCCATGTTCTAAGACATGGAAACACCACAGAACATCTGTGTCCCTGGCCTTCCATAGATGGTTACCATTAATGCACCTTTGAGATGGCAGTGGACCCTGTCATACGCAGCTGAGTCCTTAAGCCATTTGAAAAGCAGTAGTCATAACTGCCCAGGGCCAGTAGTTCAATAATAGAACTTCAGTCATGACAGTCACTAAGTGAAATCCACAAATTCTGTCGCTTTGTCTTCCAACAGCTGAAATGATTTAGGGATAGTCTGCCCTATGACCTCTCCTGGGAAAGGAGGTGCATAAGATGCTGAATTCTGTTCCTTTTGAATTCTTTAGTTCTCTTGATACAGAAAGTTTTTTCTTATCTTTTGAAATGTGAGTGCTAACTTGAAGTCAGTAAAGAGTTTCTCTTTCTGTATCTCTCACGTGGGATCAAGATTACATCCGTCCTCAGCCACCAAGTCTTGAGTTAATGGAACTAAAACACTCTAGGGAAGCATCCCAAACCTATTTGATGTTCCAAAGTATTAAAATTTGCATTAGGACTTTTACATTAGCTAAGGTGTCTATAAAAATACATGCTTGTAGACAGTTCCCCAGTGGCTTCACATCGGAAGAAATGGTGATACATCCATCATTCTACCTAAGGGCCGGAATAACTTTCACTCCTGCAGATACTTCTATTATGTAACCCAGCTGGTATTCTGTGATTGTCACTGGTAGAGTTTAGCTATAATTTTGTAGAATAATATAATGATATCATTGATTTTAACTTGTCAAGATACATTGATAGGAGCTTCTGGGATATAAATAAAAGAAAGACCTTAGAATGAGTGCTTTATTTTGTCACCCCATTAAATGCCATGGCTTTTCCATATTGTTTCATACTCTAGATTTCTGCATTCTGGCACACACCTTGCCAAACTCTGCATCTTTGGCATACAATCACAAGGAAAGTACTTTTTTATTTTTATTTCACTAAATAATAATTTGTTTGATACATGATGTAGAATCATATCTTACATGAAATCTCTGCAAGTAGTTTTGTTGTTTGTATGGCAAATGTTTAGTAAAGCATACTTTTTTCTTTCATAAATAAGATACCAGAAGCTGTTTGCTCAATATAGGCTAAATATTTGAATCACTTAGGAGCATTTTTATATACTGATGCCCAAGTCCTCCCTCAGATTAATCTAGTAACATTCTCTAAGGTTAGAGTTGATTTTCCCATAATTCTTTCTCTGTGTTTAGTATTTGTTTATTTGTTTGTTTCTATAAATATTTACTAAAAGCCTACTGTATTCCCAGGCACTAGCTGAGTAATGTACATATAATAGTGAAAAATACCAAGTTGATGTATCTTTCCCCCAATAGACAAAAAAGACTTTTGGAAAAGAAACATAATAGCACAAAACTTTCTTTTTTAATTTTTTATCTTCATTTTAAAGAGAATAAAATCAAAATAAAACAGAATAATGCAATCAAAACAAACCAGTAGGAGTGGCACAGGATTTCAAAACAAGTAATAGGAAATTAACAGTGGTTACCTTAATGCCTTCAAATTAGTTGTCTTCAAAATAGCTGCCCATATCTTCAAACATAGTAAAAAATCAAACGCAACAGAACAGAATAGAATAGAACCAATAAAAACAAAACAATAAATGCAATACAGAACTACAAAACAGGAAAATAGTAAATCCAAAATGGCTACCATAATATATTTTGTTATTTTTGAAATAACTGCCTATGCCTAGCTATAATAAAATCAAACAAGACAGAATAGAATAATACCCAACCCAAGAAAAACAATGAAAATGATACAGGACTTCAAAACAAGGTAATAGGGAATTAACAATGGGTACCACTTTCAGGAGATCGCCCATTCATGCTGCATTGCATATTATTATCCTGTGAATAGATGATCAGACTATCAGCTTTAGACCTACAAAGTCGGTGGAAACACTAAACACTGAAAGCATTAAATTGTATTTTACCTCATTAGCTATCATTGCAGCCCTGTGTTTCTCCACGTCAGCCAGTCACTTAATGTGGCAGGGATGGGGCGGGAGTCCATTTGCTTGTTTCCTAGCTTACATGCCAGAAAGGGCTGCCATCTTGTTCTCCCTGCAGTGACCTGCATATGGTGCCGACTCACAGGGAAGGCTTGCTTCTTGTTGACTGCTTGTGTTCTTCCCCTGTAGTCCACAAATGGCACTGACTCTAGAGAAGGAGCTGGCATCTAAAACTTTCTTTTCAGTGAACTAAATGAAACTATTAGTATCAATAAAACAAATCTGCATATAAATTGAAAGACTTTGAAACAACAAACTAGAGAATATGAGGAATAACTTGAACTTCTCCATACTTCCTATTTCTGTCTTCTGTTTTGCTCTTTACTTATTAAAACTCATATTTTGAATTTCCCATATAAGAGAAACCATGCAGTATTTAAAAGCTTATGTGTCTGACTTCTTTAAAAATTACCCAGATAACTCTAATGTGCAAATATGTTTGAGAACCTCTGTTTTCAAAATAATCAATTGTGTGTTTCCCTAGTTCAAATCCCTTTCTCCATAGAAAAGAGTTTAACCCCTTTGCAAAGATATTTAATTTGCTCCCCAGAATGACTTCACTACTCTTCCAGAAAAGTTCATGGTATTTCTCTGTTTATATCTTCACTCCAATTACATATTCTCAAGAGTTCTAAGTCCTCTCATCATATGTTAACACACACTTTGAGGAAGGGACTCTATTCTTGCTTATTAAAACCTTATCTTGATACTATCAAACAGAACGGAACAGCATAAAATCAGTCAAAACAAGGTAGTGGGAGTAATACAGGGCTTCAAATCAAGTTAATAGGAAATCAAAAAAGTTACTATAATATATCCTGCTAATTTTTTTATTTTTTCCCTTAATTAAAAAACAATAAATAAATAAATAATTTTTTATGAAAAAGGGGGAGATTGAAATAAAAGAGGACATAACAACATAATCATACAGATCAAAGTATGACAATTTAAGCAACATATGTGTTTCACCACAAGACAACCCGACTTAATAGTAGTTACCATAGTCTCTTTCCTTGAAATACTTGAATATAACTTCATATACTATAGCATCAAACATATCAAGACAGTGTGAAACCATTCAAGAGGATGAAAGTATTACAGGGTATTTAGAACCAGCTAACGAAAAACGAACAATGTTTGCGGGTATAGGCAACTACTTTGAAGGCAATAAGATTTACTATGATGCCCATTCTGGTTGACTATTACCTTCTTTTGAAGTCCTGTAATGTTTCCAATGTTTAGGTTTTATTGGTCTTTTCTGTACTGTTTTGTTCAATTTTATTATACCTAATGATATAGGCAATTCTTTTTAAGGAAGCAAGAGGCATTATGGTAACCATTGTTGATAACCTTGTATTCTGTTTTTACATCATGTGCTATGTCTATCCTTTGTTTTGACTGACTGCTTTGTTTTGTCATATTTCGTTTTATTCTCTTCCAAAAAAAAAAAGTAGTAAGAACTATGGGAGTAATAAAACCCAAAATGTGTAAATTTTGTTGTAAAAAAGAGAGGGGGGAAAAATGCTCTAAAGGATACAACTGCAAGGGTGTTTAGGTGTGTTAAGATAGATGACCATATTACTAAGTTTTCATTGGATCATTGAAAACAACTGTTTGCAGTCTCACTGTTTGAATGTCCACTTTGTATGCTTTAATCCTGTAACTTGAACAACTATTTCTAACATGACAATATGTAATCTATTAACTAGTGATTTCTTACCATAAGCATCACTACATTACTTCAAACCTCCCTGGTTCTCCCAAGCAATGTTTGCCTCTCTCTATACCTTGACCCCATTATCACTTTGAGTATGCTTTATGCCTCATATAGTTGTACTTGTGTTTATATCCTCTTTCTACAAAACAAAACAAAAACAAAAAATGAGTTATTTAAGGCTTGAATCCATGTCTTGATTTTTTGTATTATTTTATAGTACCTTACATGAACATTCAAAATTTGAATAAATAAACTCTATTTTGAAAATTTGTAACATGAGGATCAGAAGTGTGGGTTCTAGAACACATTTAAATGACAACTCCACCATTTAGTACCATTGTGATATAAACAAATTACTTAATGCTTCTACTCCTCAATTTCATTATTAATCAAATGCTTCAGAGGCATTTGAGAATTAAGTGGTGTACTATTCTTAAGGTAACTAATGTACTACCTAATGTACACTATGCATTACATAAATATTTGCTACTATATATTACTTTCTAATTGATTTCTATCTGTATGGAGCTATAAGTACTATCTGTGACAGGGATGGAGCATGGAACAGGTAAAATACAGTTAATAAGCTTTGTATCATCTGATGATCTAAGTCAGTTGAGCCCCCCTGCCCTTTTCTTCCAGGATCTTATTGGCTGACAGTGAAGAAGTTCATGTGGGAATCAGAATAGACTTTGGAAGACAGAGGATTCCATCTTTAAAAGAACATGATATAGCAAGAAAGTGAAAAATACAATATATGAATAGAATTCTATATAATTTTATATTATTAGTAATATGTAATAACAGAAACTCAGGAATCCCCCCAAAGTCTCACATGAAACGAGAATCTACAGAAAGTAGAGGGCTCTGAATTTCCTGCTGTAATAAAATAAATTAAAAAATGGATATACACTGATACTTCATGGCTTTATACCTTATGGATACTCATCCAGAGGCATCTGTGGCAGCCATTTCAGCATGATCCCTGGTCCATAAGCTGGTTCTGTGGAGTTTTTAGTAGTTACAAGGGAAAGAGAGAATACTGAGGAGGAAGAAAAGAGCAGAGTGTCAGAGCATTCACTTACTTTTTCACATTGTACACTCTTACAAGCACTAGGATTGTCAGACCTTAGATCTAATCTATCTCTATTACGATGAGTAAGAATTATGAAATAATGTATCTATAAGCATTTTTACTACATTTTAACCTACTTATTATATGAAAAATGACAGACTAAAGTTGTAACAGTTTTTGAGAGGTTGCCTAGCATATAGAAGACCTTGAGCTCAATCTCCAGCTCTGAAAAAAGGAAAAACAAGGCATATCCTATAGTATAATACCTGGGCTGTCATATGTACTTGTAACTATAAACTGTTATTGATATCACAGGCTGATGATGGTTATTAATTATCAATAACTCATTCATCACTAGGACAAAATTACTCCCGGGGCATATTTAAGAACATATAAGTCATATGAGGACTAGTCACATAGCTCAGCAGCATGGCACCTGCCTGGGAAGCACAAGGTCCTGAGTTCAATTCCTGATACCAAAAAAGACTATTGCTGGCAGTGATGCACTAAAATTTATATTAATTTCTATTTGATCCAATTGCAAATAATAATGCTATCTTGATTTTTGAGCCTGAGAATTTTAATATCATAGGAAGAAAGTTTTTAGGTCCGAGGGATAAAATGTTATTAATAATTGGGATTATATTCAACTAACTTTAAAATAATTATTTCATATTTAATGTATCTAAATATTTTTAAAATTTTAGATTCAATAATGACAATAGGATAAAGAAGGACTGTTATTGCTGAGGTACAAAACTGAAACATATGGCTGTTGTAGAGGATATGTTTGTGATAATATAACATGTGTGGCATATGGAGGAAGCCAGGTTGGAAGCCTTCTGAAGATTGGACTAATATTATCACCACTAAGTAGATGTAAGTTGCAGTGCCTTAGTAACCAACTATGTCTCTTAGCAATTAATAGAGCTTTTTAATAGTGAAAGCAAAGGTATTTTTAAAGGTAAAAATCATTTAGACACGTATTTACATAGAATTTATTTATTTTTATCTTAGTACTTAAAGATCATGCTGCTGGTTCTGACTAACATTTGTTAAGATTGATATGGCTAAAAGACAAGTGACTAATAGCCCTTTTCATTCTAGATACATAATAACTAATGACTTCGATGCCTAGAGTCATGTTTTCCCACATAGTTTTTCTCAGTGTGAGCTGTGTGGTTTCTTGATTACTGATAAGCAGACTGATCTCAGCTTCTGTGTTTTCCCTGAATTTTTTTTTTTAATTTAGTAGCTTTCCTATATCATTTTCAATGGTACTTCACTGGGTTCTTTAAAGCATTTATAACACTCATCCAGCTTACGTTAATCTCATTTCAGGTCACCATAAAGCAGTTGTTTTGTCTTAATCGGTAGGCTTGCATAATCCACAAGAAGTCTATTGTCAAGTGTACTTCTTCTGGTAAATTTGCTGCATTCTGGGATTTTGTTGCTGCTCTCTTATTGTTTACAATTATGTACAGTATTTTATGTGATGCTGATGAAATTGTGCATATAATCAGATGTGACCAGTTCAGGTCTCTAGCCATGTACTAGAAGTTTAGACATTCATCACTTTGATCTTGACCTTGTTGCTACAATGTGTGCACACACTGTCTGTGGACTCAAAGGTCACACTGGCCTTCTTGATTTGATTTTCTACTCTGTCAGTCAGCACACCATTAAGCAGAGTGCTGCCACTGACCCTTGTAATCTCAATATTGCCAGTGAGAGGTGTGTAGGGTTCCGCTGATGGGGGCAACTACGTGATCTCATGCTGTAATTCAATTCTGTGTGTAATTATTGCACACCTAGTACTTGCCAAAAATATACAAATAGAAATAAAGTACAACTTCTACCTTCAAGGAGCTTACAGTGTTAATTTTATGTTGACAAAAGTCCATCTCATGATTAAAAGAGACAGACAGTAAGTGCTGTTGGAGGTCAAAGCAGACTTATTAACATTCAACCACTGGTCTTACTCTACAAAAGGATTTATAATCGTGGCCTGTCTTTATGTGTGTGCATTGTAGAAGCTCCCGCAATAGCCTATAGCAGCAGCCCTTGAATGAGTCTCACGGGCTTTTAATGATATTCAGTTTTGTTAAGTGTAGTTTCCCAGAGGACTAAAAAATCACAGTCTAACACTGGCTCCAGAATCTTTTATTCCACTCTCAGAGATTTACCACACATAGTAGGTTGGATAAGATTAGAATACTTAGTTGACTATTGGGTGGTTCACATATATTGCATAATTTTTTGTCACTAATTCACCACCTTTTATGATTATATATGAGAGTAGGTATTTGTAGGAGTTTCTCATTACACAAATATGTTCTTGGCTTTTTTTAAATTTTAGAAATACTTTCATTTTTTCTCATCCATTTTTATATCCATACTTACTTTTAGTGATGAATTGTTTAATCTAATTTTTAGTTTATTTTATATTACTAAACTCTTCTTAGACTGCTTCAGCTAATACACAGTAAGTGCAAAAATAAAAGGTGTTTATCTTGTTTGTGTTGTAATTTATAACCAGAAGAGTTTACCATCACAAATATTTAGCAAAGTGGTCTTACTATCTAGCCGCATATTTACACATGGGATTTACTGGTGTTAGGTCAAAAGTCAACATAAAACAGGAAAGGAGATTCTGATGTCTCTGCCCTTGAAAATCTTTTCAGAAAATTTCACAAGCAGATCACTGCACTATGAAAATAATGGGCTGCTTAGCACATCTTCAGTCTTCACCTACATAGGGGCTTTTGTGTAAAACATCAGTCATTCTTCCAAGGTAGCGTCATCAGTAGTTTTGAATTCAAGAAAAGTAGGATAAAGGAATACTTGTTAGATCTGCCAAAGTAAAAGGTGACAAAAGAGGAAGAGGAAAAGTTAGCTAAAAGGCAAAAGAAAAATAGCAAACTTAAGAGGGTTCTCAGCCTTTGGGGATAATTTTAGAAGAAATAAATATTGAATTAACTGATAAGCTTCTTTGACCTCATTCAACCACAAGTTGAATCGTCTTACTGCAGAAAACAAATAATACTAAGGAGAAAATTGATTCTCTGACTTTTTATGACTATTAAGAATTTTAAATATTTGAGTGTGAAATAGTTCTATAAACATTAAAAAAATGTAGTGCCTTAGTGAGAGATTACTAAATACTGTCTGAAAATCAAGTTCACTTCCAGTCTCATCCAATATTGCAATTGAATACAGACTAAAAAGAAATTATCAATGCGATATAAAATGGTTACTATAGTCACAGTAATAACATAAATAAATGATATTTCTTTGAAGCAGATGGCATACAACAAAGTGGCCAATATAAACTACAGTATTATTAATATATAGATGTTGAAAATATAACTTATGAGTTGCGAATTTTCAGTTAAGTTTTTCTGTGTATTTGACTCTAGAGTCTCACTCACATTCTCTAGGATTTCTTGAGTTTGCAAACAGCTTAATTGATTAGCAGATGGCATGCAATCCCCTGTCTCCCCACAAAGCCCTCTCAGGTTGCTATATAGTCTTAACTTACTCTCTCATTACTTCCCTGTTCTATCTGATTTGTAGAAAGAGATCTTGTGAACCTACTGGACAAACTGGTGCTAGCATTTATATTCAGATATACTGCATAACATTCCTTTATGGCTTAGTAAATGCAAATGGCCCTGTATGTGAGCTTATGTGTTTACATCTTACAAAACTGTCAAAGAAAAAAATGACATAATTCTATTTGATGAACCAATTTACTTTATTGCTGGATATTAAATGTTTTCAAGGCAAACTGTGAAAGTATGCTCACCTTTCTTAAAAATTCTTGCCAATTACTGTAAATTTTCTTCTGTTAATCACTGATGCCACTTTCTTTTTAAAAAAAGTTAAAGTATTTTGAGATGAAGCACACACCATATACATAAACACCTTTTTTATTATTCTAGAAAAGTTAAGGCAAAAATCAAATTTATTTACCTGTGTTACAGGGTCTTGCCAATGTAAAAAGGCCAGTTACTTTCAAACCATTTCCTAAGAAATCTTTATTCTCGAAAGCTACTATTCACACATAAAAAACAGTGATGTGATCTAGGCAAACTTCACATCATCAGTAAAGAAATAGATATTTAATATGTAAAAATACCACTTTTTATAGCACCTTTTATGTGTAAAGGAAACCAAAACAAGGCATCATATCGATCTTCTTTACCATCCCTTTCTTTAGACAGTGGGAACAATAACCTTAGAATAATCTCATTTCACAGTCTACCTGAAATACAGCTCATGTTAACAGAACACTGATTTCACCTCAAATTTAAGGATACTGTATTTTGTGTTTTTTTTTTTGTTTTTTGTCTTTTTCTTTTTTATCGGTACCAGGGTTCAAACTCACGACCGCCTGCTTGCAAGGCAGGTGCTTATGCCGCTGAGCTAAATCTCCAGCCCCTAAGAATACTGTATTTTGGACCAACATTTTGACATCTGCATTTTTAACATTTTGTATACATTACACAATATATTACTGTAGATGACACAGTTTGTATAAATAGGAAAGTAGTTCAAAAAAAGTTACACATTTCCAAGGAACATCATAAGTAATAAAAAATCTCACCTCTTAGGCCTCTTGTGGTCAAGGGAGTGTCTGAAAGACATCCTAGCAATTGCTTGGATTTACTCTTTACCTTCCCAGCAAAGATTGCATAACCAGAGCCAGTCTGCTAAGCCAGAATGCTTTGTGAAAGAACTAGATAAAAGTGAAATAAGAAAATAAAATAAGGATTAAAAACAAACTTTAAAATTAAGATTGTGTTCCTAGTTTCAAAAAAAAAAAAAAAAAAGCCTTGGTGGTTATACTACTCCAGAAAAGGTTCTAGGCTTTAGTGAAGTTTTCAATAATTTTAGTGCTGTAATTTTGATCACAGTAGCATGTCCTCTTGTTTTGCTATGTTATTTTAAAATCAAGAAAATAATTTAATGTATTGAATAAGAATCAAAAATGATTTTTAGCTAGAATTGTTCTCTTTGAAATCTGCAGTACAGAATATGTAGTTAAATACATCATTTTTGAGGCAGCATTTCTATTCAAACTTCACATTTAGACATATACTATTTTACAGTGAAAACAGTTCTCTTCCTCAGATCTAGATTTGTTCTAGAAAGTGAAAGAAGTAAACAAATCTTAATCAAATATAAAGAGTAATATTTCAGGTACATAAAAGACACAGTTTTTCAGATCTCCCAGTGTAGCACCTGTGACATCAAAAGACAAGTAAGGTTGTTATGGTCTCTTGCAGTGGTGAAGAGCCAAAATTGTTATCTTTAGGAATTTGTTTATTATATACTACGAAGCTAACCGTTAAGAGCATAAGTTCATGAACTTTCCTTCTCTCACCTAATCTTCATCTTTTTTCTTTTTAGATTGTTATGAAAATGTAATAATGAAAATCAAACAGGGAAGATACATTCTGAAATAAATCACAGATTTTTTGTTTTTAACATTACTAAAAAAGCAATACAAACTCCAGATGAAAATTTATAGAATCAAAGACAAATAATAATGGCAAGCCATTGTTACAAGGCACTTTAACAGATTGTAGCATGTTCTCAGAATAAGCCTGTAAATTTCATGCTGTCTCATATGTTAAGTAATAAAAAGTGAGATTGAAACAGAGGCTTGGCCAAAACTAGACCTCAAATTTGTAATCTTCTGATACTAAATCTTCTTTTTTTTTTTTAGTGCTGTTTCTTCCTGTCTTCTGATTACCATTCTATTGTAGCTTGTTAAACTGCTGTATCTTTTTTTTTTTTTTGCATTTTTGTAATAACTATCACCTATATTCAGTTCCTAGATTTCCTACTTTATATCTACAGTCAAAATTGAACTAGATATCTTATATGTCCCTTAGCAGCCACATTGCTTTTGGCAGTGATAGATTTTTTTACTCTTGGAAGTAATGTTTAGATACTAAACACTGTTTTAGATAGTTTATGGTTTTTTTCTCCTGTTACTCTCACCAGTTTCTCTTTAAATTTATTTTACCACATAACTTTTACTTTGAAGTAAATTATTTTCAATTCAAATTTTTTAAAGATTGCCTTCAATTCTTAAAAGATCTTTTCACTGTACGCTGAAGAAAAGAAGACTTATCTACACTATCAGCATATCACATAATATGCAAAGTACTAAAGGAAACTTTTAAAAAGTTAGATAAAATCCTTCTGCCTACGGGAAGCCTAGACTGAGGTCTTGTAGAGAGTGTTTCTTTCCGCCAGCATCCTAATGATCTGTGAATGTTAATAATGGAAATTCCTAAACTCCATCCGAGACCTAATGAATCATAATCTACAGGTAAGCTACAAGAATCTGCACTTCTAATAAGTAAGTCAGTGATTTTGAGGCTCATTAATTGGAAAAACATTTGTATATCAAAAAGAAAGCCAAAAATGCAACTTTGAATGATAGTTATAATAGAATTACATCAATAAATAATGTAAATTTATGTTTCCCATGAGTGTGAATATGTGACCTGTCCTCATTTACAGATTTCTATGCCTTAGGTGCCTTTAAATATAAACAAAATAAATAGATTATACTAGAGATTCAGTTTTGAACTAGAAATGTCAGAATGAAGTTTTGTTTGCAAAAAGTAGGAAGTAGATCTAAACTATAGACTTGTTTATATAAGTTAATCAATGAGAAAAGAATTATTTAACATGAACAACAAAAACTAGTAACAAGATCTTGGCATTTTTGGTATTTTATGGCTATAATAGCATTAAATAGCTCTATTGGAGACCAGCACTACAACCAGTAGTTCAGATAACCTGTTCAGCTGAAAAACTTGTAGAATCTCAGACATAGCCATCATTTGGCTTTGCTCTTTTGCTCAACCAAAAGTAGTAATTCTCATTGCCAATAAGGATTATATATATAACCGCAAGGAAAATTGTTCTTATTTGCTTTCTACTCGGCACTGTAAAATGTTAAGTAGAGTTAAATTCCAGAATATTTTTGAATAATCAGTAGAAAGTGTCAAGATAGGGAATATTGACAAGTTAATGTAAATAAAACTTTTTCAAAACTTAAATGTAACTTTCCAGTATTTATTATTAAAGGGATCACTGTATTTATTAATAAAAGGGTACATCAGTCATGTTATAGATTTGCATACAGCAACAATCTGTATCATAGGTCATAATTCTATATAAAAATTTCAAGTAAATAGATAACATGTGAAGTAAAATGTAAAATATGTTCAAGGTGCTGCTGTATCCACTATGTATCATGTTTCTTTTTGAGAATTAGACACTGGTCATTGAGGTTACTATTTAGAATAAATGCATAACACTGATTACCACTTGAGATCTGCATACTATTTGAAGGAATAATCCATAAAGTGTGAACAAATCAAGTATTAGTGGAATTTTCAAGTTTAAGAGAATGTACAAAACTCTGTGACAAAAGGAAGAGGTTCAGGATCTAAATTTTGTAGAATTATCAGAGACTTCTAATAGAAGGAATCATCTAAGTCCACAACTCAAAGATGAGAAGACAGCCTACAAGATCTGGGTAAAGATATTGCAGGAACAACAGCCACAAAGTCCTTGCAAAGGGAGAGAATTTGGTGAAATGAAGAAATTGATGGAAGGCTGATGCAGCCAAAATGGTAAGGATTTGGGTATTTAGACTGGGACATGTCTTATACAGGCCATAGTAATGCCCTTGGCTTTTTTTTTTTTTAATGGTAAAAAAGTAAAACAAAATTTCATAACAAAATAATAGGAGAATAACAATAGTTAATACATTACATGTTGTTATCTTTAAAGTAGTTGGCTTTTATTCTGAATGCTGTGGGAAGCTGTTGAAGGGTGTTATGCTAAGAAGTATAATCAGAAATACTTTCTTACAGTTTTACTCAAGCTACTATTCATAGAAAGGATGGACCTCTAAAGAGGGCCATTTTAGAATTGTTTGCTGTGGTACAGGGGGATAGGGAAAAAAGCAAAAGAAATGGCTGTTTTTTATATGGGGTTGTTGAATGTTGTTTTATGGGGAATAAATAATCCTAGATGTTATGGCTATGGAAATGTAGGGAAATGGAAAATAGAGATTTTTGTAACTGCTAACTGCCATCATCCCTCTCCCTTACACTCTGTCTGCAAAGGTCATCTTCACAGAACCATTTGCCTCTGTGTGTGCATGTGGGCAAGTCGTCTTCTTCCCATAGAAATCTGTAAACATCATGGGTTCCTAAAGTCACATCAACAAGTTTTTTTCTTGGAACCATTGTGTTCCACAGATAACTGATTCCACTTTTTGCCTTTATATTATTCGTATTTTCAAGAAATCAACATTTCAGATTGAGAGTAAAATTCAGAAAATCTGTTGACACTTTGAGAAACTTTATCAGATACATTTTATGTACATATCTACTTAAAATATTGTCATTTGTACTGTAGCACACTATATACAGCCTGTCATAGATAAACATTGCTTTTATAATCTAATATGTTTTCCCATTAAATAGTAGTAAAAGTAATTTTGGAACATTTAGAATGATTTATCAGATTTAATATTAGAGTATTCTGGCACAATAGAGAGCAAAAGTACAAAATGAACAGGTTTATTGAGTTGAGGATGTGGAAAGGAGCACACAACCCATGGCAGCTGGGCCGTCTCCTTTGACCAGATGCAGAGAGGCAGAAAGTTATATGATCTCTGATTGAAGTGGTGCCATGGGGCAGATATTGATGACTGGTGAGGAACCGATAGGAATTCTCTATGCATGCAAACAGGAAGGGGAGTTACAGTTAGGGCTAAAGAAAAAGCAGGAAGTGGTAAGCGTTCCCACTTTAGTCTTCCACCCTGTTAGACCACCACCATAACTGTACAGTAATTTATACTAGGGCAAGAACCTTTCATTCCTGTCTTTGTATTGTTAGGGAAAGGGTGAAGTCTCTCTTACTACTTCCTGCTGAAAGAGGCTCCATATTGGGGTTTAGGAAGGTTGACCGGATGACAGTTGATACCCATGTAGAAGCTGGTGCCAGGTGGTTTAGCCAGGACAGCTTTGTCATTGGTGAATATTCACATGCTAGATTGGAGAAACAAAACAAAGAGACAAGGTGCTATGAGGAGGCAGACCACTGGCATAATTAAAGGACCCAGGAGAGGTAGAAGGAAAGGTGCTCTTGATCCTAATGTGCTGTTCCATCAGTGCCATAGTGAGGTAGAATCTGAAAAATAAGTGTGGGGTTGGGAGGGGTGAAGTCATGAGAGGTAATTGTTTCCCCATCTGAAACTATAGGTAGGACTTGTCTTTGCTCTAGGAGTTGAGCTGGAAAGAATAAGCATGAGAAATATAAGGCCTGACAGAAGAATCATGTTTGGAAAATTATAGAGTAGGAGTGGGGAAGGCCGTGGCTGTGTCACTGTAAGTGATACGAGATTTTAGACCTACAGGAGTCTCATGTTTAACTAAACAGCTGAGGGTGGAGAAAACTAAGATAGTTATAGTGAAAAATTAACTAATAGAATGTAAGGGATCAGGAACCAAATACTAAACATAACGTAGCCTGAAATTGTGACAGTGGGGCCTTGGTGAGATGGATACAGGAGATAGAAGATGAGATGATTCAGAGTTAGGAGGTCACTGCTTAGCTTGAGTGATGTGGAACAGGATGGCAGTCCAGTGACTTTGACTGCTATTGAAGTTCCAAGGAAGACCAGGTAGGGGTCACTCCATTTTAGTTGTAGTCCAGTTGAGAGATCTGAGAAATAAAGGCTGGACCGTTATCTGAAGGGATACTCTGAGGTAGACCAAACCTTGGAATGATTTTTTGTAATGGGATTTTAATACTATATCAGCAGTCTCCCTGGTTATGGGAAAGGCTTTTACATATCCTGAAAAAGTACAAACAAAAGTGAGAAAATATTTGAGAGTTTTGTGGTGGGGCATGTGTATAAAATCTACTTGTCAGTCCTGACCAGGGGTGTGTCTGTGAAATTGATGAGTAGGAAGGAAAGGGGTGGTATGTGTCTCTGAGGAGAGGTTCTAATGTAGAGATGACAGGTGTAAGTTGTTGAGACCCGAGACTGTCTGGGTCAGTCTACATAAGCCCAAAGGAATCCTGACAATCACTGTGTAGGGGGGATGATACAAAAGGCATATTTAAGGTCTAGGACTATGAAGTGAGTGGTGGAGGGAAGAATATGAGGGAACATAGTACAAGGGTTTGGCACCATTGAGTGAATTGGGGTAACAGCATCACTGCTTATCCTAAGGTCTTATACCAGAGAATAGGACCCATTAGGCTTGAATACGGAGAATGAGAGTATTGTAGGGTGAATGGATAGGTTTAAGAAAACCATTGTCTGAAAGATACTTGATTATGGGTTTAAGTCCCTGTAAATGTTTGAGCACTTAGGATATTGGGGAACACAAAAACTGAAGGATCCCTGAGACAAATTAAAATAGGCATGGCATGGGTAGCATGGGTGGGCTTGGATGTATCTCAAACTATGGGATTGACCAGAGAAGAAGGAAGAGGAGGGGATGACTTTACAGTACGTTGTGAGAGTGTTTGGAGGACTAGAGCTGTGGGGAAGGAGAAGGTGAAGGAGAAGTTAAGCTTTTGAAGATATCTACCTAAAAGGAGTGGGGGACATGTTGGAATTATTAGAAAGCTATGGATAAAGAAGAGAGTCTAGAACCTGCATGGAATAGGCCCTGTCTGTAGGGGCTGTGACTGTCAACACCACTGCAGAGACTGAGGACTTAATGCAATGACCTGAAAACTCAGGAAGAACACTATATATGGCCTCCATGTCTACAAGTACAGAGAATGTCTTACCTCAGACCTCCAGTGAGACTTGGGGCTCAGAGAAGGATACCTTAATGCGGGGCTGTGGACCCCGAGCCCCATCAATCTTGAGCAGCAAGTCCAAGTAGCTCAGCCAGAGATGAATGCAGTGGTGATGAGATCTCCTGTTAGGGTAAGGCTTTAGAGGATGACTTACCCGCTGTCTGGCAGCTAGGACAGTCACTCTTCCAGTGGCTCTTGAGATTGCAGAGGGGGCATTCTCTTGCCCAGATAGTTATTTTTCTTTTGATTTTTATCTCTGTTGGAAACATGAAAAGCCATATTAAGACAGTTTCCCTGTGGGGTTTGAAGACCAAGTTTAGCCTTTTGTTTTGGGATCTAGCCCACAGCAGTGAGCATCTGTCTCCTCCACGGTCACAAGACATCTGGTTGTCTGTATTGGCTGTGTTGAGGCCCTAGCCTTGTCTAACTGCCTATAATATTTTTAACTGACTTAGCTTTCTGTAGCATTTTTTCTCTGAAGAAATAATCCAAACTGCCGTGAGAGATAACAAGTAGTGACTGATCTGGCTTTTTCAGGCTAAAAGGGGTTGAAGTTGTTGAACAGCAGTCAGAGGTACTCTGCAGAGCTTTTAACTAGTAGCCCTCAGTAAATAGGCGTTTTTATCATGGGTATGTATATAGCTTTAAGTCTAAAAGAGACAAATGCAAAGAATCAAGTAAGCATTCAGGAGCCAAATAATAGAATCAAAGGGATATTTATGAGTATAATTTTAGTAATGGCTTCCCATAAGGAGAATAAGGTTAAGGTTCAGGGAATTTTAGAGACTGACATATCATTCATTTGTCATACACATAGTTAGGTTTTACAGTTCTATAAGTACCTCCTGTGCTGTTAGAATGTCTACTGTCATCTGATTTTGGAGGATGGCCTGTTTTATTAATTTTACTTTTTTTTTATTTAGGAGAGAGTTGAACAGAGTTATTTAAGGCCTGTTTAGTTAATTATGGCCCCAATATGCATCATACAACCTTTTTCTTGAAAAGATCTGGTGGATCTCAGTAAAAGAAATCTAAAAGGAATTTATAATTCTCTCTTGCTTTTAGTTGTTGAACATCCAGAAGAAAAGATTGACAACAATCCAGTGTAGTAAATTCAGTAATCTTAACATAGAATATTAAGTGGAACTATTATTTTCTGTTAATCATGGGTGTTTTAACATTTGAAAAATTTGTGACAATGTTTGGACTGCTCAATATTTAAGCATCTCTAAGTATAACTTATACATTACATAAATTTTTGTTTAAATATTATTTGACTGATGACCTCATGTTGGTTTGACTTGAATCTCTTGGCTGGAGCATAAGAAAAAGGCAAATGATTGGATCTGAAAAAAAAATTATCTTCATAAACAATTTCAATTTTATATTTTAAGGCATGAATATACCATAAGATCAGCAACAATGAATTGTCTTAGCCACATGAACTTTAGTTGGGGTGTCTCCCATTAGGTTATGGAGATTATTGGGGCCTCCAATTAATGAATAAGAGCTGGTTAAAGCTACCAGGTGGCCACTTTCTTATTCAATCAGTTGAAGTCTTGTCCAATCTCTCTTCACCTCAAGGGATTTTGTTTAACCAGTCTTAGCATCATTTTGACCTGCTGACAACCTACGTGGAAGGATGTTTTTTAAATTTACAACCCAAATACTACCAAAAAATGTGATTCATTTTAAATAATGAGACTAGAGTAGGAAAAGAAGCATCAAGAAAAATAGGAAATCACGGAGTAATTAGATTTATGCTTTCAAAAGTACTGGCTCCATACCCTCCACTGTACCCTCAAAAAAGGGCATTTAGAAATGAGCTTTTCCTATTGCATCTGTTTAGTCTTCACCATTTTCAAAATCAACAGTGAGTTTCTTCTCACCACCAGCATGGCAAATTCCTTTCAGGTAGAGAGAGATTTCACTTTTCGTTGCCTTGTGTTATTTCCTCTCTAGCGAACTATGTAAAGAAAGATAAATGGTAAAATTGCAGTGGATGAGATGGGTGCCTTAGACTATTCACTCCTGAATGAGAAGATTGTTTTCTTTTTCTCAGGTGTTTATATACTTTTTAAAAATCTGCTCTAGCAAGAGACTGTACTTGCATAGTTGTAATTTTGAAAAACATAACTTATGTTCAAAAACCCATTTTCTACAAATGGCTGTGTGCACTTACAGTGATGACCATATGATCACCGTATAATTATAAGCAGGCCTAACAGCTGCATAAAGGTGAAAGAACTACACCCAAAAAGTTGGGATACATGACTTTTGCTCTACTTATAGTAATAATATAGTAGGTATTAATTATGTTAAAAATGTTAATCTTTCTCTTCAAACTCTGTCTTCTCCATAAAATAACATTTTGAAACTATTCAGAAGTAAACTACTTTGAAACTATTCACAAGTAAACAGCTCAAATTTGAACATGTAAGATCAGTTAGAAGTAATATGAGTCGTTGAATTTCTGTATTCAAATATAAATGTTATATTATTTCAAAATGTAATATTGTCTCTTCAAAAGGATTTTCTGGTAAGTATTTGAGTGGTATTAGGAGAGTCATCTTTACTGACTTCTTAAAAAAATTGAAGTACTTTGTTGTCTCTTGGAATGCATCCAAGAACCAAATTTAAATAATAAATATTTCACAACTAATGGTGTGATGGGTTACTATTGTACATTTATTTCCCTGAAAACCTGGTCAGTTTTTGTTTTTTGTTTTACTGCCTCTTTAATCTTAATGAAAAATCTTTTCCTTAAAGCTGAGTAATCCTGCTATTTTCTCTTTGTATTTCTATATTCTGCTTCTGTGTACCAGATTTTAACATAAACTCACATTTCCTACATGGGTGTTCAAAGTCATATTTTTCCATATTGTTATAGACATTTTCTTTGGTTAAGGCTTAGAGGAACTACCCAAATGCCTTTTTTTCCTACAGTAGACTTCACATTTTAAAAAATGCTATAATGATGAGAAACTTAATTTAATATCATTTGCTATCTTTAAAGTATTTGGATACCGAGTATCTAAATGCCAAATTAGATCAAAGGACTAGATGAAATTAAAAGAGTAATTACTAACATGGTATTTTAAAAAACCATGAGCAACCTCCTTTATTTTTTCACGAAAATGCATTGCATATTTAAGATACAGTTTTTTCACTGTAATTTTCAGTGTTCTCTGAAACAAAGACTTGAATGCATGTGGTATAATTAGAAAGTTGTGTCTGTTAAGAGAGAAAACTCTATAAAGGGATCAGATTTAGAAAACTGTTAAAGTAGTGGAATTAGAAAAGAAGGCAGTGGGGAAGAGCCATTCAGAAGGCACACTAATAAACTTCCTACTACGGTAGGCAACTTGGGCTCAGCCCCACTGGAAGGTTTCTGGAAGATGACAGAGAGTATGTGTCTAAGTTGCTCCCCCACCCCAAGGGAAAAAGAAACTGGGTTATTTATTAACCATCACCTTTCTGTTATTGACCAAGGGCTAGTGTTTGACAGTTAATTCCAAATATTTGCTGCCCAATGCCATGTGCAATCCAGACATGGTTTGGAGCCAGAGAACATTCTCAGCAAAGACATAGGTACTTACCACAGGAAGCTGAAAGAATGATTGTTGAAGGAATATGTAAAGGAACTGACACCATCTGCTGCTGTAGATCCCATCCAGAAACTATAACACAGGGCGGCAGGTGGCAGGATCAAAACATATAGAAACGTAAGAAGTGTATAACTATACAAATATCAGATTTATATTTCTTCTTTTTTAGAGCAATGATGAGAATTTACTATGGAAACACAAAATGTTGAGTTACAGAGATGAAACGTACTTGAGAGTTCTTTCTAAAAGCATTTCAGGTAATTTGCCCTGAGGAACATTCAGAATGGTCATCACCTTTTGATCAGTTCTTTTGTCAAATTAGAATTTAATTACATACCATCTGTATAAAGAAATCAATCTTTTTTTCCTTAGTTGCCAAAGCACTTGAACACTTTGAAGTGAATTGAATCTTACATCAATTTTTCAGGAAAGGAAAATATAAAATCTTTGTCCTTGAGATTTCACTTGACAGGGTCAAAAGCAATTCTTTCATTGTATTATACTATAACACAAATCAGAAAATGCAAGACTTCAGAATCGCTCCATTTCACATATTATCTTCTTAGCTTGCCTCTGCAACTGAGCGAAGGTGTTATTAGCCACAAGAAATTTTGTTGAATTCTTATATAGGTCTCAAGAATTTTGTGATAGATGCTTTATTCAATTTAAAACAGATCATCTAGAGAAATTGTTTTTAGATTAAAAGGAGAGTTCCTTAGGTTATTCTTAGGGCAGATTTTTTTCAATTACTTGGTTAAATTCAGAATTGCTAAACTATAGAATATGAAGACACTGGGTATATTTGTGGTTAATATGATAAAATGAGAATTTTAGGAGAGAAGAGCAGCCTCAGAACCAAGCTTTGTCTGTTTGAAAGTTTTATACAGGATTAATACTGATGTGACCATTTATTTACTTTTTCCAACCCAGCTTATTCTGAATAATTTAAATCTTAATTAATGATTACTAATTTGAAATAAAAGCTCTATGCAAATACCCAGATACCATCTGGGGCATTCTACCAAATTACATGTAATAAATATTTCTCAATATGACTTCTTGTACCCAATTAGAAATCCATGTGGCTCTCAGCAATAGCACTTAATTTTTAGTGAAACCTAAAGCATATAAAAAGATTATTTATGTTCTTTCATATTTTTGGTATTTCCTAGCAAAGGCTATAAGCTAAGATCTTTCTCAACAGTTTACTTTGAGGCCAGATCCATTCTCTGTAGGTTGACCTTTCTAGTTACCTAACTGAACATAGCTGACTGCCAACCTATCCCCAGGTCCCCTCCACCTCACCCTGTTTACTTTTCTTCAGCACAATCCTCAGTCTTAAAAGTACTTGTTCCTTTGTCTGTCCGTTTGGTTGATTCTTCCCACCAAAATGTTGCCATTGTGAGCTGCTGTCTTTTTTGACTGCCACAGCCCACTGTCAAGAACAGTGCTTCCCACAGCATAGGAGCCCAATAAATTTTATTGAATAAATCAATGAAAAGATGGATATTAACCCTGTGTCCTTGAAAATAAGAAATGTAGTTTTCAAGCATGTTAGTGTTTTACAGAAGACTCTTTAATTCTTTCTAGTTTAAAGAATTGCATTTTATTTTACTATAGCAGTGTTCTAAAAATTTGAAAAGTAGCCTCTCAGGAATAGAATATTGAGAGGATGACCATAGATCTTTGGCAAGGAGCAGAAGGTGAGAGCATGGCCAAGAGATGCTCCTGGCTGGTATGCCAGAGAGTTAATCTAATTCTCTTTGAAAGAATCTGGGAGTTAAGATTCCACAAATCAGCCAAGAGCTGATTTTCAAGAGCTCAAGAAATCCCCACTTTCTAATGGCTCAAACACTGAAACCATTTCCAGGGTATAAGATCTTACTGATCAGAGTCAGGAATAAGACAAAAATACTAGCAGAAAGGACAAAACCTAACTTTGTTAGAGTTAAGTAGACTATGAAACTTCAGACTAATTTAGTCTGTACTTTCCTGAAATGAAGGATCATTTGTTTGGTTAACAAATACTCACTGAGCACCTTCTATGGCTTGGCACTGCTTAGACCCATAACTTTATCCCTTCCTGTCCTTCTCAGCCCCAACAAACTTGCATACCCATTGCTATAGAGTCATTTTGTTTTTAACATTATCATTTATTAGCCTTTTATGGAAAATTTGAAGGATTGTGCCACTGTAACAAGCTTTCGTACACACCTTATTAGCACTGGTAGATGTCGGTGTCGTTCCCGGCCGGCAGGAAGGACACACGACAAAGTCTGGCAGTGGACAACCTTTTCTTTTATTTTCTCTCCGTACAGCCTGCCCTGGGATCGCTCCCAGCCGAAGCCTCCTCTGGTCCGCTCCCCGCGGCTCCTTCCGTGCTTCGCTCCGAAGCCTCTACCGGTCCGCTCTCCGCGGCTCCTTCCGGGCTTCTTCTGCTTCTTCTGCTTCTTCTTCTTTTCTTGGCAGGAGAGGCACTCACTTTTATAGGGTTACAGTGGCCAACCAGTTCAAAGCGCGCGATGCGGGCTGATTGGCTAACATCAGTTGTTGCTAGGCAGACTATCTTACAGGGCGGGTTGTGAAGCAGGAGATCTTACAGGGTGGGTTGTTTACCAAGCAGGAGATAAGCGCCATCTTAGCACACTCGATGGGAGGGGTAATCTAGCTCAGGCTTTGCTCTTTCCTACAGGCCTCACGTCCGCCAAGTAAGGCGACCGGGCTCGGCCGTGGCTCCCAACAGGTAGAAAGTGCTATAGGCACTATACAGAAACACTTGTTCTAAAACACAAAGTGAAAGAAAAATTGTAGTTCTTTATGCCCCACTGTATTCGTCTCTGTACCCCGAAGAAGCTGGGAAACATCTAAGCCTATTCTTTTATTGTATCATTTCTGTGTAGATCTGTGTCTTCAAAAGTGGCAGATAACCATGTTAGAGACATTCAGATGGATAGTTAAGTTTCCACCTATTGTATTAAAATGACTTTGGTTTCTTATTTGACTAAATATGAAAAAGCTGTTGTATTTCCCAAGATATAAGTGAGACAGGAAATTTTATTTTAAAACAATACTGTGATTTGTGTACTTACTGACAGAAGATGTTGGCTTAAAGAAAAAAGACGTCAGTCTTAAACTGAATGCCACTAGACTGTGTTAAACAGGCAAGTCGATTGTTGAAGATATCTTCATACATTGAGTGCTCAGGGACTATTTCATTAACCTATGTATTTTCAAGGTTTATAAAGTCTTCTGCCCACTGTTCCATTACCCAGTGAGACTGAGCTGGTTAAAATCCTTGCATAGTCTCAACATCTTAATCAAAATGAAAACAACTCAATCTGTTTGAAGGTAACAGTATTTTAGAAGAAAAAAAGATAATTGAAAAGCTCTGTATTCATCTTTCTGTGCCTTAAGACATTGATTTTTTCAGATGTTGTAATGTATTATATAGAGAAATTGTCCCATAGACTTTCATACATATTAGTGACTCCAGTGCCTAGAGCACACGTTGCAAACCATCCACATTCAGATATTCAGCATGCCTTGTGGTATTTGTCTGACCTCAATCCATTTTAGAAATAAAATATCCTGTGTGCTAAGGGAACAAGCGAGTTTTACTGGCATCTCTCTGACTTTCCTACCATCCCTTCCCCAACCTGTGTGGGGAAGTGAGCAGCAGGCATCATTGTCTGTAATCTACGTGGTGGTATCCAAGTCTCTGCCTCCAGCTTTAAGGTCCTTGTTTCAGTCTGCTGGCTCTGACAGTATTAGCCTACCTGTGCCCACGGAGGAAATGTGAGCTTTGTATTTATCAAATGCTCTATAGAAAATGAATTTGAAATTAAAATTGAATCAGTATTCAATAAAGCTGGGTCAAGTCAGACTTAAGTTATGCACTGTACTTTTCCTGACTTTCAAGGTGGTTGGAGGAGCAGCCAGTATGATCAAACATCTGTCCAGGGTGAAACACAAGTATTGGGCTGTCCTATTTCACGTATCACTTCCTCCCTTTTCCTGTATTCCCGTAATCATAATTATAGCTGGCTTAAAGTTAAGTTGTACAGTACATGGAATTGTATTTTGTATAATAGCTAATAAAACTTTTGACTTGTTGCTTCCATTTTCTACATTTCTTTCCATGATGGGCTGCTTCCTCTAACTCAGTGGTGGCAAACCTATGACACGCATGCTGCAGATGGTACTAGTTATCATTAAAAGCTCTAAAAGGTTTACCACCACTGCTCTAAGTCATGGCATCAGCCATGCCTTGCCCTTTGCCATACTATCTCCTGCTTCTAAATTTTATTGTTTTCAAGAGCTAACTTCTTATGTTACTGATAGCTTAATACTATATTAAGTGAAAAATTTTGGAATTTGTAGAAATATGTGAACCTACCTATGTGTTCCATATCTTATTTGGCACATAAAAGAAATAGGAGTGTTCAGCTTTACAGAATTTCTGAATAAGCTTTATAGACTTTAATATAGTCACCCTGATACCAGGATGTGAATAATTAATTTTTAAACTGTTGAAAATAAAAACTCAATGACCACCTCCCCAATTCCCTTTTGATCTGAAAGCTCCTGTTTAAATAGTATATCTTGTTTAAACGTTTATCTTTAAACAGTAGATTCTGTTTTTACTCAGTCTAATACACTCAAGCAGTGTTAGTTTTCAAATAGTTTACCCTTTGAATTTTCATATGGCTATACCCTATGGCTTTATTTTATATATTTTTTTTCAACAAGCTGTAAACTAAAATGTTTTGTGAAAGTGGAAATGCATTGTAAACTATGGTTCTGACATGAGCAGCTTAGTTCCTAGTGAGATTGTAGAGCAATTTTCATGGCTTTTAAGGCAAAGCAGAAACTTGTTGCAGTGACAAATTATACCGTGGAGACCTCTTAAACACTTAGCCTTGGTGAACATTAAACCTGTCTCTTCAACAGGTTTATTGCAGGATTAGGTACTTCCTGAAAAAAGATTCACTCTGCTTTTGGCATTGATATAAATTTGGCCTCTGCTGGATTTACAAAGCAGAGGAACTATGTGGAAGTCACTCAATTTTCATGGAAGTTCACTCCAGAATTTTAGGTGTGTGTTTATTCATGTAACAGACATCACTTTATTGTACTTTCAAGTTGACCACCAAAGAAATAGAAATTCTTACTGAGCTCAGTTATTCAAATCCCTCTGGTAATTCATGTTCACCTTAAAATGGTATTAACTCTTTGTGCTCACCAGAGTTTTGCTGATTAACAAAGTCAGTGCTGCTAAGACTTGTGAACCATCTATTAAGATCATTGTTTTTATTTTTTCTCTTTCAAATAACAATATTCACATTCACAGTTTAAATAGGAATGTAAAAGGTCCAGTCACTTTAGTTCTCAATATGCACATTTTTCAAAAAAGAGCCATGATAATATTTGAAATACTTGCTTACTAAATACAAGTCACAAGGCTCAATCCCTGGAACCAAGAAAAGAAAAAGAGGTCACAAGGCTAAGTAATTTTACTGTTTTTCCTTAAGTTTTAAATAGACATTTTCCAACTGTGACATAAAACTAGATTCTGACGTGCTGCACAGTTGCACTACTTAGCCATCATCTGTTCATTATTCTGTAAGCTCCTATTGAACATGATACCCAGGCACTGTCCTAGTGTTCAAGGTAACATAGTGAAGAAAGCTGGCCAAAACTCTTGCCCTTAGGAATTTATACACTAGCATAAAGAAATATATAAAGTAAATTGATAAAGTGATATGAAGACAAGGCAGAGCAGAGGAGATAAAGGAGAGTGAAGGCAAGTGCTGCTTCTGTCAGAAAAGTTTCCCTGATTAGGTGAGAGCGTAAGCTTGAAGGTGATGGGGAGAAAGAATGGAGCATGTCTATGTGAAAGGTTAGGAGGATGAGTCATTTGTTGATGTAACAGTGAAGAGTGTGTGGTGGCGTGGAGTAGGATATGAAGGTACACATGTTACCCCAGAGGAAGTGAAGAGATTCCTGGAAAGGAGGGCCCAACAAGATTTTGCTAATAGATCAGATATGAATATGAGAGCAAAGAACATTGTAGTCCTGAATATTTGTTAGGTAATCAAAACAAGAACCTCTATTTAGTTGGGACCCATGCCATTTTTTTTTCCTGGATTTGGTGAAAATGTATTTCTTTGTCTATAAAAAGAACAACATGACATAACTACTGTTTATTGGAATATCAACAAAGTTTTACTGTACTGTAACATTCAGAAATGCTGCGTTACCAAATGTTAATGAAAATTAGGTTTTCAAGTACCTGGTTCTATAACAAAAACCCTCCCCTGAAGTGCAGTTCACATATAATGAAAGTAGAGAGAGTGTAAAGTTTGAAAGCTAAGTAGAACAAAAACAATACTTTATCGGTGACTTCTTTGGATCATGAGACAAAACCCGGAGAAAGGCTATAAATAAAGACTGGTTAATACCATTATTCAGCACCACAAGGCACTTACAATCCAAAGGAATATGACATTTTGTCTTTGAGAAGGACCTTAAAATCTCTTGAAAGCACTTTGCTTTCTATAACTCAGTGAGCAATGGGGATATAATTTATGGAGATTTGTCACTACTGTAACTATTTACAATAATCGAAATATTAAACATAGATAATAGATAGCTGTCTGCATGTTTTATATGTAAATAGACCATAGGTGTGTGTGTAAGTTTATTCATACTTTGTCCCAAATTTAAGTTGTTATGATTAATAAGAGCAATAGTAAAGTAAGTGTATGCAAACTAATGAAGGTTTTTGTACTCAGAAACTTTAATTAGTACTCAAATTAATGTTATCAGTCAAGAGTCCTTCAAAAATTGGGGCTGGGGGTTTAGCTCAGCGGCATAAGCACCTGCCTTGCAAGCAGGCAGTCGTCAGTTCGATCCCCGGTACCGATAAAAATGAAAAAAGACCAAAAAAAAAAAAAAAATGTTAAAAAAAAGAGTCCTTCAAAAATCTCCATATTAAACAGTAGAATCCAGCTGCTTTTCTAGATACTACAGAAGTGACAATCCAGGTTGTAAACACATGCTTGGCTATGTGACAGCTGTCCAACAAAATTTGAAAGCAACTTTGTGAAGACTCTTAATCGGGTCTCACTTTGTTACCCATAACCCTCACCCACCAAGGAGACAGGACCCTCTTCCATATGTGTGCTGCCAAAGCAAGCTTAGTAAGCCCCTCTTAAGAGCAAGTTGCCATCACACCAGCTGTTTCCCTGCAATGGCACTGAGGGAGGAGTATGCATTCCTGACGGTCAGTGAATCTGCCTGCACTTTTACTGACAGGCTTCTTCAGCACAGAGGAAGGGGACACTGAACTAGCAGACCACAGTGAGCAAAACAGAAGATCTTTATTAAGGATTGTGTACTTATGTTCTTAGAATCCAGGGCCTAATAAAAATAGAAATTTAAACCATTTTTCCTTTATATAGTCATGTATTTTCCTTCACATATTTAAACCATATTCCCTTCAATATATTCATTTATATATTTATTCATATATTCAAATATACTTGTTTCTGATATGTTATTGTGACACTTTATTGTTGCTGCACTCATGTAAGTTCTCATGTAAGTTATTCCTTCGAATCCTAGTTCTAAGCTTCTTTAACTCATTTTGGAATAAGCCAAAAAGAAACAAAATCATAAATTGTAAATTGAGTACTAAAACAGAACATCATTGATTAAATACGAAAGGAAGCATCTTTAGCAAAATGAAATCCAAGCTTTTAAATCTGCATTGAACATTGGTTAATCTTAAACTGTCTTGGCACTAGTTTCTTCATAAGATTTTGCATATCAGGTGTTTACAGACTAAATAGTAGATGAGCTCCAAGAACACTGTGTCATTTAATGTCAGTGAGCTAACTCTGTTTATTTGGCTGTATGCTTAGCAATTGAAATCATCTGCATAAAAGTGCTCAGTATGTTACAATTAAGAAGCATACTTGTGGAAGACACAAGTTCGTTTTTTAAAAAGACCATCTGTTTTTTAGTATGCTACTTGTGCAGGTTTTCCTTTCATCTTTCACCTTCTTTAAGAAAAAAAAAAAATCCACAGCTTTCTAAAGCTTTGTTTCATTCTTAGGTTTTACAGACTGCTCATTTCTCTGGATTTCTAGCTGTGGTTTTACCAGTGTCCTCACAAGATGATTTTAAACCCTCAGTAATCTTAGAATGGAAAAATAGGGACATCTTTTCCCATCTCATATTTGTTCTCTTTCAGCAAGCTGATAATTGCTTTCAGCAACCAGTCATAATAGTGGAAGTAGTGATGTTGATAATAATATATTAATATTTGCAAGTTAACAGGATGAAATAAATTCAAATTTTATAAAATGAACATTTACTAATTTCTTTGAAGAGTCCCTAGGAAAGGATAGAAATGCTCTGACACACTATGCAATAGGAAATTCTAAATAGGATTCTGACCCCAAAATTTGCTGCATCTATGTCTTAATGACATATTTTTGCTCATAATGAAATACTAAATATTTAATATATAATACTGAGAAAAGTTTGACATTCTGAAGTATTTTTAATTCAGAAAATAAACTTCTTTAACCATGTATGTTTTAGGTACTTTCTCATTCAACCTAGTCTAAAGGGGAAATTTTTCCACATTGTGGAAGATCAACAAGATAAAGAAAAAAGTAAAATATTTTGAATTAAATAGCACATTTTATGCCCAGGAGCCAAAAGAAATGGGATTGCTTATTTAAGAAGTTTATTTTCTTATATAAGAAAGAATAAAGATGTTTGTATAACCTGGGCTTGAATAAAAATAGCACATTTTAGTCCTGATTTCATTTAAAATGATTAAACATAATGCCCATTTATTGTTGAATTTCCTAGAGGAAAGAATGCCCTGTTAGAAACTATATATTGCCAAATCTGTTTGGTGTGATTTTTATCTCATGAAATTACATTTAAAAAGTAAGTAGGAGGTGATGCAGCTTAGGGAAATTACAGTATCAGAAAAGAGATTGGAGTGATCCCACCCCATTTAAGGAGCTCACCTGGCAGTGCATATGGTATGGTTCTTAGAGGGATTTCAGTCTCAATTCAGTCTTCCCACAGTTGGTTGTAAATTTTGTTTTAGACTTTAAAAACATGGCCTTAAAACATGTCTAGGTGGCCTTACACTTATTAAAAACTTGTGAAAATAAAAGATTGCTTATTATAGTCCCAAATCCCCTAGTCTTTATTGAATAAATATGGACATAACACCGGGATCTGGGCTTTGTGTTTACTGCACCACTACCCAGTGTGGCTTAGGCAAGGTCTGCATCACACATAAGATCTTTAAAGAGCCAGTTTAAGCTCTTACTAGGCTGCCTCATCTATTGTCTGGAGCAAGTAAAATATTAAATGAGCCGTTATATAGTGAGAGAAAATACTGGCATAAAGTTGTGGTACCTACTGGTGAGAGAAAAGATGTAGTACCAAGTGAAACCGAGGGTTGTTTCTTTGTCTGTGGGCAAATGAGTAAAGATCTTTGAACCAATAGATGTCAGCCTGATTGAACACAGACATGCTAGGGAGACAGCAATAACATTGAAATGTTTGGATAGTCAAGTTTAGATTAAGGTATTTTGTTCTAGCAGCTGAACAAGGCAGCAGACAAGGCCAGAATACACACAAGTCTCCTGTTTATTGATTTATTATAAGTGCCAAAATTGCTTTTATTTTGACATGCAGAAAGGTGCATTCAGGTTCTAAAATTGTATGTCCCAGAACTAGGTTACATAAGAACAATGTGGCTCACTGTGAGTTTTCTTAGAAGGTGAGGGGAGGGGGAAAAAAATCTCATTACTATTGTAGGTTCTTGAAGATTTTTGTATATTTTTTACAGACTACTGGTAGAAATTTTTCTTCATGTGTAAACAATAAGCCATTCCCCTACCTCAGCTACCCAGTCTGGGAAAATATTCTTATGAAATAGCAATCCTCTAAAACACCAAAGGCATATTAACTAGGGTTTTTTTATTGTTGGCACTGAATATAAATCAACATTAAATCTGAGACCATTTTTAGTGTCAGATTCCCAAATCTAAAATAGAGTATACAAATAAAAAAAAAATTGGCAAAAATGTTTTACTTATGTTTTATGCATCTTGTAATGGTTGAGATTCCTCATTTAGAATTCAAACATCCCCCTTCAGAGTCCATATGGAATAAATTTTAGGGACTGCCAAAAATAATGAAGAGATGCTTTGGCCTAAGAAAATAATATAGTTTTAAATTTTCAGTTATAGTAAGCAACTAGTTTTTCTCTATACAGAAGGACACTTATTGTCCTATCCATCAAAGACTAAAACATGGTTCAGTATTTCATCCATATTTGTTTTTAAAACCATTAGGTAAAGGAAGTTGTGTCTGTTTGGAATCTTTTGATTTCATTTAATAAAAGGGAAAAAAGAAAAAGAAAATGGGGAGTGAGGGATTTGACTGGCTCTTGAGTCAGAAAGGCAGTTCTAATTGTGTGAGAAGCCCAGACTAGCCGTCTGTTCTTGCAGTCCTTTCTACCTTGCCTTACTCAGTACAGTAGTGTCATCTTTAGATGGACTGTATGGCAGCAGAAATGGCTATGAGACTTTTAGATTTAATACCTCATAAATAGTATGCTGAGGTAAAAAAAAAAAAATGTGTGTCCTAGCAAAATCTTGGGCCTTACTCTGGTGGCCGTGGTTTGAGGCAGAAGGCCTGCTCATTACATTGGCAGGGTGGGATGACACATGGGTGTGTTTACACCAACCAGGGCCTCCCTTCAGATGCGAGGATCCCACCTAAGTACAGCTGAGAATTTGGCAGTAACTTGATTCTTGAAAGAAAAGCAGGGGTTTGGGGGTTTGTTTTGTTTTGATTTGTTTTGTTGACAAAGGAAAAAATGGGAAAAATTTGGGAACTGCCAACAAAAATCCCTTGCACCTGCCTAACTGTAGTCTTGGGGGAAGTTTATCTTACCATAATTTCCTTCACCCTCCAGCAATGAGAATTTATCAACCCATTATTTGGCGAATACATGGTCTAAAGGAGTACTTTATTCAGCAGATACAACAGGAGCCAACCCCCATGATTCTTATAACTCATGCATCCATTTAAATTGATTCTACTCTGGTTTGAAACACCACTCTGGTTTCGATAAACTACTTGTGGAGTTTTAAGAAAAGCTAGATTTGACAGAAAGTATATTACAGTTTTACCTTTAGTTTTTCTACACAATGTATAATGAAGTATTGTGGAACTAAGCTTTCCTATAATAAACTCATGGTTGCACTTCAGTTATGGTGTAATGTAGAGCACTCATTGCACCGAAAAATAACAAAAAAACAAAAAACAACTTAATAAAATCTAAAGTCTCTTATTTTTTTCCTACTTCTCTAGATATAATCATTTATCTGGCACATGTAATTGAGCTTTTTAAAAACAATTGTAAAATTGTCCTGTTTTCATCCTAATTTGTAGTTTCTTTCCACCCACAGCTGATCCTGTTTGCATAATGATCAGTGACACTATTGCCCTTAGCAAAGAGCATCCCGCCTGTGTTGTTTATGAAGCTAAGTACACAATGCTATACACAAAGCTAAGAATACAAGGCACAGAGGGGAAAATCTAAGGATAAGAATGTATCCAGGATACAGTGCAGTCCACACTTAATGAACTGCTTCACTTAAGATTTAAATGTTTTCTTATCTAACTGGTGCTTTAAGCCATTTGTACCTAACTAGATACAAAAACTCTAAACCTAACTAGTGCTCCCTGAAAATAGGAGAATCTAAAACGTGACACTGTCATCATCACCATGATTATTACTTTTGTTGGTGTCACCAGTCTCTTTGTGGTTCTTTCCTTCACTATTTTGCTCCCATACCATAAGAAAATATTATTTCTCTTATTCCAACTGTCTTTAGATAGCTTATCTCACTTTTTTTCAGTCTGAATCCAAGTTTTAATCCAACATGTCTATATTTTGCCTACTCAAATGTTCACTAAGGAGACAAAACCAATCTCTGTTCAACTTGTCAGTACCATAATGCTACCTTTTTTTTAATCCTGGCTGTTTTCTTGAAGGTAAGTAACACAGTCCACACAGACTTCTTTAACTCCTGTTTGCCCCATGTACACACACACACACACACACACACACACACACACACAACCTCCTCCTCCAGTCTGAGTATTTATTGTAAGCCTATTGGGTGAAAAAACTAATCACTGTTAAGATATGAGATAGATAAAATATGATGTCTACTTTTAATTATAATCTTATGTTAGCTTATCATATAATGAAGCTAGTTCCTCTCAATAAGTCCCCTACATCCACCTGAAAGAATTTGAGTCCTCTATATACCACTTCTTTATAACATTTGACTTTTTAACCAAATGCAGAAATACCTGGGAGAGCTTTTAGAATTTGAAACCAACTCATTCACCAATGCCAAATTGTGTATTGTCTTTATCATTGTACAGTATTTTACTTGCATTGATAATGCATGTATAATTTGTTCTTTAAAATACATATACAGTGGTACTTTAGTTTAGAAACTTAATTTGTTTTACAGTTTTAGGGAAGATAGCCACATTTGTATTTGCGTGGGAAAGAAGACCGTGGTAGTATTTGTAACTTAATGCAGAATTTGCAAATGGAAGCAAAATGTCGTTGAATGCTTTTGTTTCAGAACCAAACTTTTTGCCAACTGAAATGTTTATGGACTGAAGTTATCTTATGCAAATAGACACAGTGTAAATATGTTTTTAGCAACATATTTTCACTGAACAATAAAATGTCATTGAAAGGACATTTCTAATGGAACAGAACAGCATTTTAATTTTTGTTTTTTTATGAAATTATAATTTTCATTTCTGTGATTACTAGGAAGGTTGAATTTTTAGCGTATTTATTAGCTAATTTTATTTCTTAAATTGTAGACATTGCTCATCTTTCTACTTTAGTAGGCTTTTGGTAAATAAGTATTCTTGACACTATTTTGTTATGTGATATAAATATTTCCTCTCATTATACTGCTTAATTTTACTTTGGCTTATAATGTCTTTGTTTTTAGAAACAATAATTTTGCAGGTCCACATTTATCAATCTATTCCTTGATGTGTTTCTGAACTTGAGAATTTGGATTTGAATCCCTCTCTGCCGTTTACTTACTCTGAGACCTTGGGCAGTTTACATAACCTCTCGAAACTCATATCCTCAGCTGTTAAATGAGAATCATAACAGTGTCTGCCTCATAGGTTGCTGGAAGGAGCTGGATTTAAATACCTATAAAACACCAACCATTGAGTGAACACCATCAAGTGATTTCTATTATTAAGTAAGCCTTCTGCAACTCATAGTCAGCATGATACTCTTATGTACTATCATAATCATTTTATTTTAAAATTTGAGTCTTAATCCCACTTGGAATTTATTTGATATGTAATATTTGTATGTGAGATCTATATAGTTTAATGTAAGATCATGAACTGTTTCTACATCATTTATCAATATATTTTCTCCCTTGATTTGATACAGCATTTCTCTCATCGATAATTTTTCATGTCACCATGAACCTGTTTTTAGCATCTTTTCTGCCCAGTTGTCTATTTTGTCACTAATATTATATGGTTTTAATCATTGTAAATTTGTGTTTTTATAGGTTATCTGTAAGATTCATCCCTTCCTCCTTTTCCAGAATTATCTTATTCTTTATCTTTTTCTTTCATTATATTTTCTCTATTAAATGACAGTTGCTTAAATTTCATTTAAAAATTATGTTGATATTTTGGGGGGATCACACTGAATATGTAGTTTTTTTTTTTAAAGATCACATTTGTAGCCCTGAATTTTCTCATCAATGAATTGGATAGAATTTTCTGTTTTGAATCTTTTATGTTCTTTTAATAAGTTTTTATAATTTTCCCATGAAGCTGTTTAATGTTTTGTTAAATCTGTTCCTGTATAGCATATACTTGGGATACTTGTCAGTGGGATCCTTTTTCCCTTATTTATTTAGACTTGTTTTTTGCTACTGTATTGGAATGCAGTTGGTTTTATGTGTCTTGTAATTAGCTAACTTTCTAAACTTTGTCACTTTCTTATTGTTGGGACTCAATACTGAACACCAGCAAAATAATGAAAGAGATTTATTTTAGCTCATAATTTTAGTCCATAGTGGGCCAGTTCCAAGGCAGGAAGTCATTGTAAAAGGGCTTTGGTAGAGAAAAGGTGCTCACATTCATGACAACCAAGAAGCAGAGGGTGAAGGGAGAAAGCAAAGAGCAAAATTCACCTGACCAGGTCGAGGGCCCAGCAACCTAGCTCCTCAGGTGTATGTCCCTTCTTCGGGTTTCGCTTTGACCGACCTCCTGCTGTCTTATTTAGCTGTGACACCTCCACAGGCCAGTCACCTTCCATAAAACCCACCTCTGAGCACATGGTGCTCTCGGGGGACATCTGGATGTGAACCAAAACACTTTCCTAGTATTCTTTTGTTTTTCAATTTTTATTTTTTATTAGTACATGTTCATAATACGTAGTGACCACATTTTGTAGGGAGTTGGTTACATGCATCTAACACACCTTAATTCTTGTTTCATGCCCTTTCCCTAGCCTTCCTCCCCTTGCCTCCATCTCTCAGTTCCCTTCCCTTTTGCAAAAGGTCTGCCTCCTTATTTCTTAGTATCTTAGTAGTTTGTCAGTTTGAGTCTCTTTATTTTTTAAAAAGCAGTTAATATCTTTTGAGAATTCTGATCATTTTGTCTCCTTCCAATTTTTATATCATTTTCTTCCTCTTGCTTTATTGAAATCATCTAAGGCCATCTAAGGTTTACTGGGGTGAGTAAACCAGGTACTGCAAGTGTCCGAGACATCTCTAGCTTATTTCTGGTTTTAATGAACACTTACACAGTTGTACCAACAGATTTAATATTTGCTGTAGGTTTGCAGTAGATATTTCAGTAGGCCTCTCTTTATTACACCATGCTCTTACATTTCAGGATTCTGTAGACTTAATAAATTACCTTTTTAAAAATCTTTTTATTTTGTATAATAAATTAACAGGAGAATAACAATAGTCAATACATAAAATATTGTTATATTTAAAGAAGTTGATGAGGGTACAAAATGTGGGTATAAAAAGTTCTCCAATTGGTATTAATACAAAACTTCCTTTTTAATGAACTAAGAGATACTAATAGTATAGCTTACTTGTGTTTTTTCTTTTCCTTACTGTCCTTTTCCCTTTCATCCATCCTAGTTCTTTTTTCCTTTGAATAATTTTTTTTCCTATTTCACAATATCTATTGTACATTTCAGAATTTATTTACTATTTCAGTTTCTCACACCAAGGAGCTAATATGATGTTTACACATGTAAGTCTGCTTTTTACTTATGAGTATGATCTCATTACATACATTTACATATTAAAGTCTCAAGTTTATCCTTCTTTATGATTGAGTAGTATTCCATTGTGTAAAAAATACTACCTTTTTATCCATTCCTCAGTTGATGGGCATTTGGTTGTTTCCAAGATTTAGCTATTATAAATCATGCTGCTATAAACATGGATGCGCTTAAATCTCTGTGGTATTATGTTTAATTTCTTCTGGGAACATCCTCAGAAGGAGAATAGCTAGGTCAAATGGGACCTCTAGTCCTAGTTTGTTGTTGTTGTTTTGTTTTGTTTTTTGAGGAATCCCACACTGATTTCCAGAGTAGTTACACACTCTACACTCCCACCAATAGTGAAGAAGGGTTTCTTTTTCCCTGCAGCCCCTCCAACACTTGTTACTGGTTGATTTCTTGGTGATAGCCATTCTTTCTGGGGTGAGATGGAATCTCAGTGTTGCTTTAATTTGCATCTGTCGAATGACCAATGAGGTTGAACATTTTTTCATATATTTACTTGCCATTTGTATTTCGTCTGTAAAGCATGTATTCTTCTCAAATGCCCATTTTTGGATTGAGTCTTAGAATTTGGGAGAAAGGTCTGATTTTTTTCAAATCTTTACCTTTAATTTTTTTTTTTGTTTGTTTGTTTGTTTTTTTTTTTTGTACTGGGGATCAAACTCACAATCTTTCACTTGCCAGGGCAGACACTTATGCTGCTAAGCTAAACTCCTGGCCCTATGTGTTCCAGATAGTAGTTCTTTGAGGAACAATTGGCTAGAAATTTTTCCCACTCTGTGAGTTATCTATTCATTTTGTTGTTGATTTCTTTAGCTATACAAAAGCTTTTTAATAAGATGAGATCCCAGTTGGTGATTCTTTGAAGTATTTTCCTGTGCAGTCTGATTTTGTTCATGAGCTCTACCTATTCCTTTGTCTTCAAAATTTTTACCAACTTTCTCTTCTATTTTGATATTTAGATGTTTGCTCCATTTTGACTAATTTAGTGCATGGTGCTAGGCATGGGTCTAATTTTAGGCTTTGGCCTATAGAGAGCAAGTTTTTCCAGCACCATTTATTAAAGAGGCTTGCCTTTCATCCAGTGAAGTGTTGACCTCTTTGTCAAAGATAAGGTGGCTGAGTATATTTGTAGTTGTGTCTGCATTTTCTAGTGTGTTCTACTGATCCTTAGGTTTGTTTTTGTTTGTTTGTTTTTGGTTGGTTGGTTTGTTTGTTGTTTTGCCAGTACAAGGCTGATTTTATCAAAGTAGCTTTGTGGTATAATTTCAAGCTAGGGATTGTGATGCCTCCTGCCTACCATTGTTGCCTAGGATTGCCTTTGCTTCTAGGTCCCTTGTGCTTCCAGATGAATTTTAGGAATTTGTTCTCTAGTTCTGTGAAGTATGCTAATGGTGTTTTGATCAGGATTGAATTAAATCTGTTGAACAATTACAGGAGTATGGCCATTTTCACTATGTTGATTCTTCCTATCCATAAGTAGGGGCTATCTTTCCATTTTATATATCTTCAATCTCCTTTTTTTCAGAGTACTGTAATTTTCAACATATAGATCCTTTACTTCCTTTGTTAGATTGATTCCTAAGTTTGTGGTTTGTGGTGTTTTTTTTTTTTGTATGCTATTATGAAGGGTATTATTTTCCTATTTTCTCTTTCAATGAGTTTGTTGTTTGTGTACAAGAATGATGTTGATTTTTGATAGAGTTTTGGGAGTCTTTTATGTAGCATATCATGTCATCTGCAAATAATGATAATTTAACCTCTTATCTTCCTATCCTTATTCCTTTTATTTCTCTCTCTTGTCTAATTGCTCTGGCTAATGTTTCCAATGCTAAATTGAATAGGAGATGTGATAGTGGACATCCTTTTCTTATTTCTGATTTTAGAGCGAAAGTTTTCAGTTTTTGTCCATTTAGTATGATGTTGGCTGTTGGTTTGTTGTAGATGGCTTCTATCAGATTGAGATAAAGACCATGTATTATGATTTTCTGTAGGTTTTTTTTTATCATGAGTAAGTATTGGACTTTGTGAAAACCTTTTTCTGGATCTATTGAGATGATCATGTGGTTTTTGTCTTTGGCTCTGTTGATATGATGTACAACATTTATTGGTTTGAGGTTTGGTTTTTTTTTTTTTTTGATTTGTTTTTATTAGGGATCAAACGCACAATCTTGTGCTTGCCAGGCAGGCACTTATACCACTAAGGTAAATCCCTGGCCAACATTTACTGGTTTGTAGATATTGATTTATTGGTTTGTGTCTCCATTCCTTGGATGAATCCCACTTGATCATGATGTATAATCTTCTTGATCATTTGCTGCATTCTGTTTGCTAGTATCTTATGGAAGAGTTTTACATCTGTGTTCATTAGGAAGATTGACCTATAGTTGTCTTTTTGGTTGGATCTTTCTTTGGTTTTGGTATCAGAGTAATACTTGTCTCCAGGAATGAAATCAGGAGTACTACCTCCCTTTCAGTTTCATTAAAGAGTTTGAAGAGTATTGGTATTAAATCTTCTCTGAATTTCTTGTAGAATTCAGCCATGAATCCATCAGGACCTGGGCTTTTCTTTGTTGGTAAGTTTTTAATTACATTTTCAATTTCATTGACTTATACTGGGTTATTCAGAATTTTTTTTAGCTTCTTGATTCAGCTTTGGTAATTCATACATATCTAGGAATCTGTCCATTTCTTCTGTGTTTTCCGTCCTATGAGGTTTTCAAAGGAGGTATTGATAATCTTCTGAATTTCCATAGGATATATAGTGATTTTATACTTTCATCCTCATTGCATGAATTTGAATCTCTTCCCTTTTTTATAAGATTGTCTAAGGGTTTATTAATTTTATTCTAAGAATCAACTCCTTAATTCTTTTCTTACATTCAATTGCATTAATTTCAGTTCTGATCTTTGTAATTTCCTCCCTTCTCTGGGCTTTGGGCTTGACTTCTTCTGTAGCTTGAGGTGTAAATTAGATTGTTTATTTGTGTTCATTCTGTCCTGACATAACAGTTCACCACTATAAATTTCTCTCTTAGTACTACTTTCATTGTGTCCTACAGGTTCCATTGTATTATGTCTGCATTTTCATTTAATTGTAGATATTGTTTAATTTCTTCTTTAATTTCTCTGTGACCCATTAGTTATTCAGAAGGCTATTTTAATTTCCACGTGTTTATGGAGTTTTATGGTTTTTTTTGCTATTAATTTCCAGTTTCGTTGCACTATGCTCAGATAGTAAATATGGAATAATTTCAGTTCTTTTGCATTTACTTAAGCATCTTCTATCAGCTAGTATAAGGTCTGTTTTAGGGAACAACCCATGCACAGCTGAGAAGAATGCATATTCTGATGTTGTTGGGTGGAATATTCTGTTAACATGTACTAAGTCCGTTTGTTCACAGGTTTGGTTCAGTTCTGTTACTTCTTTTCTGATTTTTTTGTCTGGTTGATCCATCCATTTATGACAATGGGATAGTAACATCTACCATTACAATTGTATTATTGCTCATTTGATTTTTCATGTCTGTTGATATTTGTCTTATATAGTTGGGTACTACCATATTTGATGCTTCCATAGTTATGATTATTATCTCTTCTCAAAGGTTTTCCCTAACCTGTATGACATTCTTTATCTCTTTTGGTCATTCTTTGTTTGAAGTTCACATTGTCTGCAAACATAATAGCTACCCTGCTTTTTTCTAGGTTCCTGTTGCATGGAGTATTGTTTTGATGTTTAGTCTATGAGTTTCTTTTTGAGTTAAATGTGTTTCTTATGTACAGCATATTGTTTCATCTTGTTTCTTGATCCATCTGCCAACCCATTTCTTTTGATTGGAGTGTTGGGGCTATTTATACTGATGGTTATAACTGATATGTGTTAGCATATCTTTGTTGTGTTATTTTTCTGTTGTTGGTTCCCTACTTTTCTCTTCTGTTTAATTGCTTGCCCTGCCTGATGGTTTCTTTCTGTTGTTATTCTTGGAATTGTTGTCATTTTTATCTCTAGAATATCTTTCAGTACCCTTTGTATAGTGTTGGAGGTCATGAATATCTTCAGTTGTTCTTTGTCATGGAAATATTGTCTTTTTCCACTAATTTTGAAAGATAGTTTTTCAGGATACATCAATCTGGTTTGGAAGTTGTTTTCTTTCAGGTTTTGAAATACTTCAAATTTGCTCTTGATTTGAGGCTTTGTGTCAAAAATTTGCCTTGATTCTGATAGGCTTTTCTTATAGGTGATCTGTTTCCTCTCTGTAACAGCCTTTAATATTCTATTCTTATGCTGAATTTCTGAGATCTTGTTTATTATATGTCTGGGTGAAGATTTATTTTGTAAACCAATTACTTCTAAAAGTTTCTGTCAGTCTTCTGTATTTGTAAAGTAGAAGTTCTAGTATATGTATAATTTGTCATTGGTTAAATTTTTATGAGTGTAGGATTTTAAATTTACTGCTTTTGTTTCTTAGTTTTCAACATTACTGGATCCAATTCTATTATTTCTTTTTTTCCTTTTTAATATATTCTTTCCTTGTATATTTTGTCATTTAATCCCCTGTCACCAGGCCCTCATTTATTCTGGATAACTATCTTCCTGCAGCATGCATTCTACACTGCAAACAAATGGCAGTGGAGATTCTAAGCTGCATTTATTTGAGTGACTTACTGTGAGGTCATTTTAGTTCAGTGTGCTGTGTAGCTTTCCAAGAATAATTTAATGACATTTCTGCAGAAGCTGGATTCTTAGGCAAAAACCATTGAATATCATATATATTAAACTTTTAGCAGCAACAGTAGTAAAGGAATATAAACATACTTGTTTACCTTCTTCAGGATTGATGTTTATTCCAGAAATGTTTACACATCCTCAGAGGTAAAAGATAGCTCTGTCATGGTCCCAGGGCCTCAGGAATGAGGCCTGACAAATTCTCAACAAGATTCTTTGGGAGAAGCTGTGTTAGCGTTGGTTAACCTTAACAGCTTTCTGTTTTCTGTACTCAACCTTTCCTGTTTTTAGTTTATTTTTGGAGCCTCAGAATTCAGTGGTTGAGGCTCTGAAAAGCCTCTAAAGGAGATGCTGCTATTTGCGTTATGAGTTCTTGAAAATTCCCTCAGGTGGAAAGTCCTTAATTAGTGAGAAAAGTACATTTTGCTACGTAAGTTTATGATGTAGGGTGTACTGGAGAAATGTCTTAGTTCACAGAAAACTGTTTCAAAGGCCCCTGGAACTAATAGCTATTCTTTGCATTTCCATCGTTCCTATTGTTGCTTAAGGATTTTGAAGACAATTTCATTCAGCTACTTTCCTAAAGTTCCTTGTGCTCATTAGCCAAGGCAGCTAATTAGGGTTTGAAACTCTGTTAGTCTAAAGAATACACAAGTCACATGCAGCTATTGAGCAATCAACATTGTTCAGATACAGTAGGTATCATTATATGAAGCTAATTTGACAGTCTTGAAGCTCTGTGCCCAAATTGTGGTTTTTCCCATGGAAACTTAGTTCAATTGTTCTTTCTGAAGTACTGAGGACCTACTTAAAGGAGTTAATAATGAGTCTTCTAAATGTTTTGATGGAAATATTCCATTTATTGTGTTTTTGTTCAATCTATGTTGATTGTTACAGAATTCTGTTTAACTTGTTCATTTTACCTAGATTCTCAATAGAGATTGCTCTAAACATCAATTCATGTTAATTTAAGTCCAAAAGTGAGATTTTTACAGGTTTAGTTATTCTCCTAGTTAAGATTGGGGCAGAATCTGTCCCAGTGGTCACTTGCTGTGCTGTATTTCGGCATAGCAAAAAAAAAGCCGTGTCAGAAGATCACTGTCCCAGACCCACAAGTATAAAACTGTTGAGGCATTGAACACAGTTCAACTTCCTAGACAGGCATTTGACAGCTTTCTTAGAGACCCCACCTGCATTTTTTTCCTGATGCCTCCTGTCTCTCTCCACAGATTTATATGCTCCCTTCTAAGCTCATTGAGCTCTTTACCAAGCATATCCCCCACCCGCCTGGGGCCTTTGCCACTTGTGTCCTCTCCTCACTGCAAGCCTCCTGTGCCTCACGGCCAGATCACAGACTACTACTCCCAAGTTTTCAACTATTCCAGCACACACAAGCTTCTTCCTGTGAGGTTTCTCCACTTCGTGTGGAATTTCAATCCATAGCTGTTTCCAGAAAAATAATTTTAAGTGGATTTTTCGGAATACCTCTGTTTTAATACATAGACTCAAGAATTCTTTTCAATTTGAATATATGGACTTTTTTATACTCTTAAAAGGATATGCTTTTATGTTTCCCTTTCAGCCCTTTCATTCTGATGCCCAAGTATTTTACCTGGCACCTAGTGGATATTTATACTTATTTGTTGCACAAATAAATGGAGTTCTCTGCATGTGGGAGAAAATACTTGAATTTTGAAATACATGAGAATAAGTTCTTAGCATATTGCCAAGTGGACTCAAGTTGGTTATTTGTTTGCTTGAATTCATTTGTGTTGGTCTGCTTGATTTTGCTTAGAAGAGAGATTAGTTTACAGCTGTCTTGAGCCAGGCACTCTGCTGAGATCCCTTAGGTGTTTAGTATTGATCTGGTATGTATGCATTTGTGGCTACTGCATAATTTAATTTGTAGTGCACAAAAACGTCTATAAAATAATGTAACTGATCTTTAACCAACATACTAGTACTTTCCTACTCAGATCACTGTTACTGCCTTCAAATTAGTCATCTTTTGAGACTATTCTTTATTCATCCCACTATAGTCACACTTCAGAGATCTTTACAAGGTAAATGTATGAAGTATAACTAGAGGATATGGTCAAGGAGAGGTAAAGGGGACAACAGGGTAGGAAGGTACAAATTGGCTATTAATATTTTGCTCCATTCATCAATTAATTACTGTGCATGTCATAGGGATTTTATCTCATACTAAGATATTAATTGTGATTGGAAAATTTGACTGTATTTTTAAGTCTGGCTTAGAAATATCTGCCCTTGCATTTCAGTATCACATTACTTTCCATGGAGAATGGAAACTACATTAGAGATATGAGTAATTGAAAAAAAAATTAAATTTAATGTAGCAATAGTAGGAAAAGCTACCTAAATATTGCATAATGGTTATGAATGTGTAGTTTCTTTGTCTTGTTCAGATTGTTTAAATGCAATTTGATTCCATTCATTCATTGCTTTTAAAATTCTAATTTACTATTCATAACAATTCACATTTGTTAGCTCTGTTCCTAGACATGTTCTCCCTAGCTGGATATCTTTACCTTTCTTATATAAGTAAGATATTGTAGTCTGATATAGTCAGACAGACCTTAACTTCCGTTTTCCTGCTTCTCAGTAACTGTGATGCTAAAGTTATTCTGTACTATCTCTTTTACATGATGTAAATAGTATCTATATTACAAAAATGGATGAAAATTAATTGTGTAAATGTATTTAAGAGCACTTTACACATTGGTACTACATAATAAATAGTCAAAAAATGCCTTTCCTTTTGTTGTTGGTTTGTGTATGTTTTTATAACAGTGTGTGCTATGTTGCTTTACCCTTTTAGTTTGCCTATATTTAATATAGTGTCATCCATGATTCTTTAGTATATGATACTTAACATAATAAATAGTAGATACAGTTTATTTACACTTATCAAGTACATGCAAATTTAATACAATATATTGTGGATACTTGTGATGTTTAAGGAACATACTTTCAAAAATATTAATAGAAATTATTCTGACTACTAGCTTGGCCTGCCATCTAGTTTCCAAGAAAAGGTCAAAATATACATTTAGATCCAAAGAATTTAACCAGATTTGCTAACCTCCTTGAGGGAAAAAAAAAAATTGAACAAGAAAGGTTTGCTGTAGTCATACAGTCTGCCTCTCTTCCTTTTCAGCTCCTTTGGGCATCACATTAGATTGGTTCCCAACACAATCATGCCCTTATATTCCTGCTGAGTTTGACTGCAGTCCCATACTTCATTCTCAAGAAATGTTGGCCAAAGGCACATATGCACAAAGGTAGACACAGAAATTATCATGGGAGGCTGCAGCTGCATATGGCAAGTGAGGCCTACAGAAAATGCGAAACATATAGAATTTATTAAAAGACAAGTCTCCACCTCCAGAAGTATGATGTGAAATTCCATTATGAAAATAATTCCAGATGGACAAAGACTTAAAAATGATCTTTTAATGTAGGGGAATTATAGTCATCCATACATCGAAAGAGATGAGATATGCACATGTATGTACACTGTGACCATATGCTCAGGTTTCCTATTACTTGCTATATTTAACAAGAACTGACTGTAATTATAGGTATTTACTGTGTTTTAAAGTTTTTTCAAAGAATAAGCAAATTATATATTATACCACAAATAATAAATATTAGCGTGAAGTCTTCCAATATCTAATTTTAAGTTTACTCTTAAGAAATAAAAGTAGATTGTATGAGAAATACAAGCAAAATAATTAATCATAATGATACTATACAGAATCTTGAATCTATCAAAAGCACTTTAAAATATGTCGGATATTTTGTCAACAGAAAATCTTTAATAGACACAGAATAGACAGGCTTTTTTATAGTTATGAAAGATTTAGGGTTAATGATTAATTAAAAGTTATTTGCTGGGATATTTAACCCGCACAATTAATAGCTGCACATTAAATTGAAATATTGTTCATCTACTCTAAATTTTTTAGACTATACCGCAGTAATTATAAAATTACTACACCCTTTTAATTTAAGTCTTATGAAGGATCATGGCAAAAATATAACTTGGGACTTCAATCATTTCCCCCCTCAAAAAAAAAAAAAAAAACCCGCAAAAGCTGCCCAGTTTGAGTTGGAAGTAAAAAGTTAGGAATCTTATTTACTAATGAATTTACTTTAATCCCTCTTTTCTTCCCTCAGATTTCTTCCTTTAGCCTTCTTCTCCTATCCTTCAGTCCTGGGAATTGGTGGACCCAGAGGTACATCTGCAGCATTAGAAGCTCTTTTTAATTATTATGTTTTTTTGTTAGTACATGTTTGCAATACATAATGATTACATTCCTCATGGGAGGTTGGTACACATACATAACACATTGTAAGTCTTTTTTCATTCCTTTCTCCTCCCCACCTTCCTCCCTCTGCCTTTTGGTCTCTTTCACTTTTGAGAAAAATCTGTCTCCCTGCTTCCCATTACCTGTTTTTTTATTTTGCTCTTTGTTTATATTTTGGACTCCTCATATAAGAGAAACCATATGATATTTAAGCTGTGTGTGATTTATTTTAGTTAACATTATGATCTCAAAGTGCATCTACTTTGCTCAAGATGGCTCAAGTTTTGTGCTGGCATGCCATTCCTAGAGTGAAAAGTGTAGCATAAATTCAGCATTATATTTTTCAGAGTGATAATGCGTAAGCATTGAAATTTTTGCTGCTTTGTACCTTTAATCCTTTAGCAAAGTTGTTTAGGGAAAATATACTTTTTTGTTATTATGTTTGATTATTGGCATGGATAAATATTCCATTCAGGGACCACCTTATAGTCCTGACTTACTAGTGAGTAGATATGACTTATCTTCTAAAAGCTTGAGTTATGCTGTGTTTATTGGTGTTTTTCTCTGGACTAGTTATGGTTTAGACCAAGAATAACCCCAAAACTGTTGGTGCTCAGAGGTGAGCATTTTGGACCATTGTTGGATCATGGAGTGCTATATTCATAGGTGGATTCATCCACTAATGAGGTCAGTGGCTAAAAGGGCTGTTAGGAGATGGGTTCTAGAAGGATGTACAGTGTCTTCCTCCCCAGCTTCTCCCTTGTCTCTGTACTTCCTGACTACTAGTATGTGAGCAGATTCCTTCCATGCTAGGTCCTTCCACCATGCTGTTTTTGCTTTGAATCTGACTAACCATGGACTGAAAATATGAACCAAGATAAACTTCTCCTTCAAGTTGCAGGTGTCAGGTATTTTTGTCTGTGATGAGGAAATTAAGACAGGTTCAAACCATAAATGAAACTATGTAAGGAAAGAAGGATTTTTCATCTTTTAAGTATGCTTTCTATGAATAGAAATTGGAGAGTAGTAACTAATAGAAGCTTCTTTTCAGGGTAGGCTAAGTTGAAGTGGAGCAAGACTACAGGCAGAAAATTAGTTATACTGGATTGTTGGTCGATGAGGATCCAGATTACAGAAGAAGCAGTGAAAGGGACAAACTAAGGAGACTGAGGAGCTATTTAGGAGAGAGAGTCAATAATGAGTTACTAATTAAATATGAAAACTGAGACAAAGAGGAATAGAGTTTAACTATTCTAATTTCCTATGTAGATCACATGCATTTATAGTCTTTAGCTTCTAAATTCTTTCGAAAATGACCTAAGGAATTCTGCCTTTCTGAGACATTTACGTAATTCAGACAGTCCTTCAACTCATTAGGTAGTCCAGGCTAGCCCCTGAACTCATAGCAGTCCTCCTATCTCAGCCTCCCAAGGGTTAGGATTACAGGGTCACACCATCATAGCTGACCAAGGTATTTCTTTTTAAACAAAGTATATATGGGGAAAAAATGATAAGCAGTAAGGCATGCACCACGATGCCTAGCTAGGGGCTTTAAAAAAAAAAAAAAATATATATATATATATATATATATGAAAGAAAGATAAGCAAGGTTAAGAACTACACAAATAAAAAAATGCAGAAAATATAAACTCCAAATAACTGATAAATGAAGCCTGGTTATATTATATAATACATGATTCAGCAGTGAGAACATGGACATAGTGATATTAAGTATCTTCAATTTATTTATTCTCCTTGCCACATTGAAATGTGGACAAGGATGTTCTTTTTACTCATATTTTATTCTGTTATTTTAAATGCAATAATATTATTCAGATTTACCTGAATTTCAACAATCCTTTAATAGTTTATTTCTCAATGTTATTGACTCTCTTTAAATTCATACTATTTAAACAAAGGAAGAAATCTTGAGGGACACTTGTATTAACATAAAATGAATGTCCTCATCCAGGAAAGCACATCCAGCAATTCTTTAATTATAGCCATAAATCTCCCAATAGCGTACTGACTCCGGGGAAGGTAGGAATGTATATGGAGAGTTTGAATTTCACATCCTAACGCCCTAAGGAAGAGATCTTCAAGACACAAAGCATCCTGATGATCTTCCATATCATGTGCCACATTGCCTTCAAACACAGGAGACTGCCAGGAATGAAAGAGAGAAAAAGAAAATGCCAGGATTCAATACAAAATGACCCAAACAGTTTTGTTATTAAATAACATACAACTTTTCCCACACAGAATAGTAAGAGGGGTTAAAATGATGAAAGTAACAGATTTTTAGTGAGGATATTAACCCAAAGATTCCTGAGTAGTTGCTGTGGACAGCTCTGTTTCATATTCACATTTTCATAGTTCAGACAGATATCTGATCCCTGGCAAGCAAAGAAGAAAGAATTTGAAAGGAACAAACCAAATCATTTATAGTGGCTATAATCTACCATTTTATTTGAAGGCAACATTTGTAGAGGTATGAAAGTGAGGGAGGAAGTGAGGCCAGTAGAACAACAGTGAAACTCATATATTTGTATCCATAAAAACAGCCTATGAAGGTGTGAGAAAATAAGTTGCTACAGAATAATGCAGTCATTTCTTGAAAAATTATACATCCTAAGCAATCAAAGAAAAAAGATATGGCTTGCAGACATTAAAAGCAAGACACTTATTGAGAGGAAAAAAATCAGGTCAGATTTATGCTTCCCCACAGCAAAACTGAAATGCCTGTTTATAAGACGGTGAAGGTAAAAATAAATACAACCCCCAAATTGAATATTTAGACATACAACTCCATGACCATAAATGTAACGGTCTTTATCAAGCATGTCAAAACTTAGGCAATACCTGATGGGTCATCCTTAAAAAAAATGTCTTTAAAAGATGTCATCTGGCTGTTCAAAATAAAACCTTTACCACAGCAGCAGTCCTACAGCAGCATTTTCCGAACTACGTAGTGTGATGTGGTTTATGTCCCAATCAATGGTGGCAATGACCTAAGATTCTGAAGCCTGTCCATCCCAGGAAAAATTCCTTAAAGAGACTCTTGTCTCCCAAGATGACTGGGTGTCAGATTCTTAAGTCATTCCTGGTGGAACTGAGATAAGTTAGTTCATTAGGTAAGATTGTGACACATGCACATCCCTAGCTAGCTTGGAGGAGTTAGGGAACTTTTGATGGCAGTGTACAAACTGCATTACAGAAAAAGGAGAATTGAGGATTTGTTACCAGAAAGTGGAAATGGATGCCAGGCAGATAAAACCAGGGTCTCACATTTTCACCTCATTTTAAACTTGCAATAAAATAATCTTCTTTTCCACTCAGTATGTACTCAAGGAATTAGCTGATTTATTTTCTTTATCAGATCTGTTCCTTCATTCCTTTCAAAGTAATTACAGGCTTCTTCTTTCCTGTCTCATGACACTGATTATTAGCTAAGGCTAATTCATCAGCTGGATATAGGTGAAACACCTTTAGCTATCTTTCAGGAAAAGCTTAGTAAATTATTAGTCATTCTCCAATCCAAGAAATGTTCTTTCCATAAGTAAAAGTTTATTAGATACCGTGAGAGGTCTTCAAGTTCAACCATTTTCTGTTCCAGCTATAATTAGAAACTAGACAAATTGTATCAACTCCTAGGAAAAAAATCTACACACATACTCTTTAATAAATCCAATTTACTCTATTTGCTTGGTATTAACAACGGTTAATATAATGTTCAAATTCCCTTCCTTCTTTGTTGAAAAGAACTGCATCAGGGCAGCCAGTACACACAAATGGATAGTTAATTACTCGGCACAGAGGCCTATGTGATTCATCACTGCAATGTGGAAATGAATGTTGCCAATTGTCAGCATTTTCCGAACTACGTAGTGTGATGTGGTTTATGTCCCAATCAATGGTGGGCAATGCTCCAGAAAGAAAATACTACCTAGGTTTCAGGGATTCATTAGACTGATCAGTCTTTCATCAGTAATTTCAAAGTGGATATGTATCAAAATCACTTGGTGACAAAAAAGAAAGAAAAAAGGAAACAAGAAAAGTACAAGAAAAAGAACACACATCTTTACCCAAACCACTGGGTCAGAAAGTCCTGGTGTAGGTCAGGGATAGACTTGTAGTTTTGGAGACATGAAATTTATAGAATTTATAATATTTCTTTAAGAAAAGGAATACCAGTGTGTATTGGTTTTTCAGATTTTATAGAAGAATTACCATGTGAACACATTTCTAGGACCTAGGTCATAATATAAAGTCCCATGTAAGTGACAAATACTAAAGCTCAGTCTTCATTATCTTCAATAATGTGGGTCAGAGCTTACAGATAAATATATGCTTGTATGTCTGTGTTATTGCTTATATCTAGATGTCTCACCCAAAGCCTCATATACTTATAGGTAGAGCTTTTGGGAAGTAAATCTGTGGGATAAAGCATTGAGATAAATGCATGCTTATATCTAGATGAAACTCCAAAGCCTCATGCACTTATTATAGTTGAGTCTTTTGGGATGTGACTGGATCTAGGGTATGTTAGTATGGCTTAATGGTGTATGATAACTCAGTTAGTTCACTGAGTGGTTCAGCATAGTTCTGAGTGTGGATAATGGGAGGCACCCCCCCCATGTGGGTGGTACTGAACAGAATAAAGGAAAAAAGTAGGCTCACCACTTGCTGCTTTTTGCTTGCCCTCCATGGACTGTTCCTCTTCTGCCATACCCCACTATCATACTTCCCTGTCTTGGAGTCAGTTGGCTATGAACTGCAACCTCTACAAATTATGAGCTAAAATAAACCTTTCTTTTTTTTTTTTTTAATTTTAGAAATAACAACAACAAAAATGATGATACAGAATTTCAAGACAAAATAATAGAAAACTAACACTAATTAATATATTGAATATTGTTATCTTCAAAGTAATTGTTCAGATTACGAGATTTAGGCCTGAAAAAATGATCAAACAATCAAAACAGTGAAAGCACAAACTGTTGTTTTTGATGAACTAGCAAAGAATAGTAGTATAGTTATCTATCTTGTATACATATGTGTATAATGTTTTCCCTTCTTTCTTGTCTCCTTTCCTCTGTCCCAGTCATTCATTCCTTTCGAGCACTTTTTTTCTCTTTCATTCTCACAATATTGTTCCAGCAACAAGAAAATAACTAACACATTCTGTGTATGTGTATGTGTATGTGTATGTGTATGTGTATGTGTGTGTGTGTATGTGTGAACACTGCTCTATGTGCATGATTTAAGCTCCCAAGTGAGACGATCCAGAACTGGGACTCTCACTTATGTAGCATCTGTGCTGCTTATTCTCTGCACCTCAATCTTCCTTTCATTTTCTTTCCTTCTTTACTTCCTCTTTTACTCTATTTCCTGTTCTTCCTCACATGCATACATGCACACACATACACACAAGCACACACCCTAATTTTAAAAATTAAGCCCTAGCTCCACTGATAATACTTATAAGCCTCACTGCTGGATTTGGGGTTTCAAATAATTGCTGAACTTTCTGATAGATAGACAGTATTAATTGGTAAACTGGTAGTTGACAGAGTGGACATAAAAAATTTTTTTAAATTTTTAAATAACATAGAAATTTTGTGTTATCTACAATTTAATCCAGTTCTCTGATAAGCCATACAAATTCAAATTTAAATGCTTTGAACTTCATATTTTTTTCTTTTACCTTTGTTGTGGCAAAAGTGCCCGTAGGCACTTTTAAGCCAAACTACATTCCAGATAACAGCCCCTGAATTACAGCTACTCTGATTATACTTAGAAATAATTGAGCTATATTTTTGTGCTTGGTTTTAGTTTTTAAATAACTTTATATTTTTTTAAGTTCATTTACATGGTTGAAGTGCTGAATATTAGTGCCAATAAATGGAGCCTTAAGGAGCACTGGATTAGAAAAAAACTTACTGAAAGACATGTCTTTGTTGTACTTTGATAAAATTAAGTGATCTGCTTAGTCACAGTTTCCTAAAAACTGCTTTTTAGTTTGTGAAAAAATATGCCTAGTATTGAAAAATTGATGTATTGCCTATAATCTCCTTAAACATGATTACAGTCATTATGAATGACATACTGAAATTACTCAAAAAGTATCTTGTAGCATACAAGAATGAATGTAGACTCTAGAGAATAAACAAGATCTCTTCTTTAGTTTCATCTAAATGCTTATAATTGAAATACTTAACATTTATATATTTAAATGAATATAACATATTAAATGCAAAAAAAAGCCTCTGTGCTACACAATGATGATACAAAGATGAATAAGGGTGGTCTTTGTCCCTCTCTGTGAAGTTTATATCAGTAGAAGAAACAAGTATATTGTTTCTGATACAAGGACACTCAGATGCACAAGAATACAAAACAGCAACAGGTAGGATCACACACTAGAAATTTCTTTTAAATCTAAATGGTAGAAAAAATTTTTTTATATTCCTAATACCTCTCTTTTTCTTATTCCACATCCGATCCATCAGCAAATGCTGTTGCTTCTGCTTTTACACTCTATTCAGAGTTCAGTCCATTTTTCTCTATCTCAGTCACTGGTCCTGGTTCAATCCACTATCACTTCTTAGTTTGGTAGTTACAATGGCCTTCTTATTAGTTTCTCTGCTTCGTTACTTATTCTTTTACATTCTACTCTATCCAAACCCTGAGTAGTTCTTTGAAAATTTCAGTTCAATTGTATCATATGCTAGAGTTGTCCATGTAAAATACCTTCCCTTAGATATCTATATGGCTTCCTCACCTGTCCCTCAAGGTTTTTAGTCAAATGTGCCTTTCTTTGTGAGGTGTTCCTTGGTCACCCTATTAAAATTCCAATCCTAGCCCTGTTCTCTGCTTGTTTTTCTCCAAAATATTATTGCCATCTGACAAATTATACATTCTACTTCTTTGTATCTAAAATATAAGCTCTATAAAGGTAGTCAAGGCTAGACCTCTTTAGTAGGTAGTCAATATTTATTGAGTAAAAAACAAAAACAAAGAATGTATTCAAACTGTTGTTATCCCCACAGGCTCTTCCCAGTTTCTCTGGTTTTCATTGCTTCTATATCAGGGTATTTTTACAAAGTCCGTTAGTCACCCTGGCAACGTGTATTTTTCACCTACTTTTGTGTCTAAGTCATGGTCAGTGAAATCACATCCTGCTCTGCAGCATATATGATCAGATAAATTTTTCTGTCTAACATCAGCTTGAAACTGATATTCTATATTTAGAGTGGTCTGGAAAAATCAGCCTAGAAAGGTAGACAAGGCAGATCTATGACAAAGACATGAATGTACTTTCCCATACCTGTAAACTTAACATATTTAAACCCAGAAATCATATTTCAGAAAGAAAAGAAATCTAATAATGTCAGGATTTTGAAAAGGATGCATAATTCTTTGCTAAGTAATATATGTGTTTATGCAGGCTGAAATAAAAAAGAATCATTGAACCAGGGACTTTAGGTTCTCTGCTAATGTTAAAGTAGTGAAACTTTCTTTCTTCCTCATCTTGAATTCCAAATTTAATAAGAGAATTGTCAGGAGAACTCAACATTCCTCTCAAAGGGCTAGCAATCACCAAACACCGCACCACTCAAAACCAGAGCACCACTCAAACCAGATTCCTGTAAATGCAGGTTAATTCTAAATACACCCCTTGTTTATTACATTTTTGGAGGTCACATATATGGAAATAACTTCTACATACCCAATCAGATATGTATCTTTCTGCTTGTAAAATAAAAAATAAATAGAGGATTAAGGATTATCCTTGTCATGATGCATTAAATGACCTTTTAAAAAAAGTTCTGCACTTGAACTTATTTTTTCACAAGTTGTTTATCTCAAAGGAAGGAAAACAGATGCAGCCTATAAATAATGCTTGCATTTCTGCTTCAGGGTGTGAAGGGCAGGAGAGACTTTCCCCAGAAAGGTCAAGGGCCACAGCCAGCTTTCTCTCTTTGTGAATCAGACAATATTTCTGTGGTGCTAGTCTGAACTCATTAAGCAGAGCTATGTAAAATGAATGACCCAGCAAGCAGCATCTCAAAAATTCTGGCACAATTCAGAGTTTTCAGTCTTTAATATTATCCATCACTGTTAGGAACTCATTTGTGTTGTATGTATTTTTCACTTGATTTTTCAGAGTTTTGAAGTTTCTTAAATCAAACTCCATAGTCTTTGAAATTTTCACAAATAACTGAGGATTTGAAAAGTTTGCTACACTTTTATTCTCTTTCCTGAATTTTATTTTCCTGTTTTAAGTGTTATGTTTCTCAGGATAGAATGCTTATTTTATGGATATTTTCCTTTAAATTGCATGGAAAATTATCTGGCTTTTTCTTTTTTTATTTTAAAAATAGTAAAATACAACAGAACAAGACAAAACAAAGCCAATGAAGAAAATGCAGTGAAATTGGTACAGAAGTTCAGAGCAGGATACTAAGATAACAATAATAGCTACCATGGTATATCCTATTATCTTCACAATAGTTGTTCATTCAAGCAGGTATAGCAAAATCGAACTAAAACCAGAACACTAGAAAAACCAATCAAAACATAATATTGAATAGAGCAACACAATTAATCAGAACAAAGCAAAATAGTGAAAACAATATTGGCCTTCAAAGACAAAATAGAAGGAAATCCCATATTTGCTTTATTGTATACTGTCATCCTTCCAAAGGATGCTCAGACCTCTGGTGAGCATAATCAACCAAACAATACAAGAATTTAGTTGCTTTATGTACCTTAGTTGCTGTCAACTCCAGCTGACCTTAAAACCATCCAGTTGCGAAGAGGAAGATAGGTAGAGGGGAAACGCAAGACATTTGATTCTCAGCCCACGCGCAGGTAGGCTCACGGGAGACACTGACTTATTCTCTCCCTGGCTTGCCCATGGCTCACCCTGCTTGCCAGGAAGTCTGGCTCGTTGCTTTCTTGGTTGGTCCCCCAAGTTGCAGCATGGCTGATTCTCAGGAGATACTATCTGTTTTGTTAAAAGCTGTTGTAGTCTAGTAATCAAAACTTATCTGTAAGCCTTGGTTTCTTCATTCATTTGATATCTACTGGTACTTCCAAGGAAATAGACTTCCAAGGAAGTATGATACCTTGGAAAAATTCACCGTGTCCCTCTAAGGAAATGAAAATTAAAACCCAATTCACACCCATAAAACTGCCTGTAATTATACATACACATTACCGTGCACTAGAAAACAATATAGAGAAACTAGAACCCTCAGGAGTTAGTGGGAATATAAAATGATGTGGTTATTTTGACAGTTAAACACACTTAACACATGATTAAGAAATTCCATTCTATGTATTTACCTAAGGAAATGAAAACATCCACATCATGTATGCTAGTTTTCACAACAGCATTGTTATTGTAACTCCAAAGGAAAAACCACTGAGATGCCCATGAGTAGAATGGAATGCTACAAAGCCTTGAAAATGAACTGGACACTAGTAGCACACACAGTAGAAGTGTATCTCACAAACATAAGAACTAAAAATGCCGAAGATTGTTTGGTGTTTGACTCTATTTATATAAATTAAACAACAGAAATGGTAATCTGTATGATCAGAAGTCAGGATAATAGTTATCCTTATTCTGGGAATAGTAGTAGTCACTACAGTGGGGACATCAGAAGTACTGGGCATGCTGTTTTTCTCAATACAGATACTGTTACACAGCTGTGTTAGCTACATTAAAAGTCATCATTGTACCACAAAGATATGTGCAACCTTTTACATGTATTCTATACTTCCAGAAGTTTTATTAAGCCTGAAAAGTTGGCAATGCTTGATTTTCAAAGATTTGGCGATCCAAGATAACATGCATCCACATTCACTACTCTAGATTTTACAATTTAGAAAGGAAGACAGACATATTGATAAGCAATTCAAAGATGAAACAAACTGTAAGTGTTTCATTGGAAGATTACTGTAGTAAAGGAGAATATTTCTAAACAAAACACCGAGGAAAAATATTTTAGAGGGTGGTCAGTTTCTGATTTCATAATAGCAAGAAGACTCTAATATTACCAAATTTAGTAATATAGCAAGATACAATACTGACACAAAAAAGATCAATAGCATTCCTATGTACTAATAACCCACTGAGAAAAAAATTAAGGAAAATTACCATTCACACTAGCACCAAGGAAATTTAAATACTTTGGAACTAGCCTAATTAAGTGAAAGTCTGCTAAAACAAAAATTACAATATTCTGAAAAAGAAAATTGAAGAAGACATCAGGAAATGGAAAGATACGCTCCCTTCTAGATAAGCAGAACCAATATAGACAAAATGGCCACATTTCCAAAATTGATATACAGATTTAACATTATCCCAATAAAAATTCCAACTACATTCTTCACAGAACTAGAAAAAAGAATCCTAAAATTTATATAGAACCAGAAGAGACACACACTAGCAAAAGCAGTCCTGTGTAAAAAGAACAAAAGAGTAAGCATCAGGATCTGGGATTGGAAGTTATATTACAAAGCCACTGTGAGTACTGCAATGAAAACAGTCCTGAAGATCAGTGGTATAGGATAGAGAATGCAGAAGCAACCTCAAGTACATTCAACTATTTCATTTTTGACAAAGGGGCAAAAAAATACACAGTGAAGGAAAGATTACCTCTTTAATGAATGGTATTGGGAAAAATGACTATCTACATGCAGAAGATTATATCTAGACCCATGTCTCATACCATGCACTAAACTAAAATCAACATGGATCAAAGAACTAGATATTAAAAGAAACATGAACACAAGATAGGTAAAATTTTTGAAGTCATAGGCTTAAGCAAGGACTTTCAGAACAGAAATCCAGTTGTACAGGAAATAGTTCTGAAAGTCAACAAATAGGATGACATCGTATATTCTGTACAGCAAAAGAAACAACCAACAGAGTGAAAAGGCAACGTACAGAATTGGGGAAGAATATTTGGCAGCAGGTCCTCAGACAGAGACTCATTTCTAGAATATGAATATAACAAAAAAATTAGACCTCTCCAAAATAAAAGAAAGATCCAGTCAAAAATAGGGAAGCAAAATAGATATAAGTGAAGAAGTAAAAGTGGGAAATAAATACATGAAGAAATGCTCAACATCTCTGGGGGGGGGGTCATTACAGAAATGCAAATTAAAACAACACTGAGATTCCATTTTATCCCAGAAAAAATGGCCATCATCATTAAATCAATAATAGCAAATTCTGGAGAGACTGCAGGAATAAAGAACTCTTCCATACTGCTGTTGAGAATGTAAACTATGGAAATCAGTGTGGAGATCCCTCAAAAACTAAAACTAAAATTACACTTAACCCAACTATTCCCTCCTGAGTATCTTACTAAAAAAGTTGAAGACATTATAATGCAGAGACACATGCATACTCATGTTTAAAGCAGCACAGTTCATAATAGCTAAATCTTGAGAGTGGCCCACACATCCATAAACAGGTGAATGAATAGAGAAGATGTGGTTATTTACACATAATGGAGTACTACTTTGCTGTTAAGAAAAATAAATTTGAATCATTTGTAGGAAATTGGAAGTACCTCGAGACCATAATGTTAAGCAAAATAAGTCAGACACACAAGCTTAAATATCATATAGTTCCTCTTATCTGAGAAAGCTAAAGTAAAAATGCAGGGCAAAATAAAGAATAGTAAAAACGAGGGAGACAAATTGTTCTCAAAGCAGGAGGGAATCAAGAGATGGAGGAGGAGGAAAAGGATAACATGAATAAAAAGAACTGAGATATATCTTTTCTATAAATTGTACCAAAACATCTACTTCCGTTTTTTTTTTCAATTCCTTTAAAGAAATTTGGTGGCCTCCCAAAAAACTGGAAAGAGAAAAAATAAAGTAGAAAAGGTAAACAGATGAGAAAATGCTAGATCATAAACAAGTAACTACTATTTGAGAGGCCAAGTTGTTCTAAAGTATCAGAACACATAGGCTACTTAGTCTTTAAAAGTGAGCTCTTTTGTTTTTAGCTGATTAACTTTGCCCCACTTGTAGGTCATTCTGTTCCAGTGATTCTCAGCCCTCTGTTGCACATCAGGATCCCAGAAGCATTTATATCTTTTGCTGAATCAGAATCTTGGGGTGGAGGAGGGATGGTGCTTGGGCATCTGTCCTTGGCAGGGAAGCCTGTGACTCTCCTGAACAGACAGGGTGAGCTGTAATCCCTGTGGGCTGCAGGGAGCCTTCCCAGGGACCATCAACACAACAACAAATATCTCTGCAAGTATTATTTCTTTGTTTTTTAGAGGTTCTGTGACTTCTACAAAGAAGAACACTTTTTATACTTATCTCTTTGTAACTATGCCAGAAAACTTATTTGCAAGTGTCTTTCATCCAAGTGTTACATGAAAGATGTTAGTCCTGCTGTTAAATTTTAGCCCTAATTCTTTCAATCACCACAGCATTTCTTCTGATTGTTTTATAAATACCTAGATCCAAAGCAGAAGATAGAACTAGAAAGGACAAACTAGCACATGTAGGTTACCTGTTAATGCGCTTGTATGACCTATCTTCCTCCAAAAGAAAAATGTCTTTTTATTCCTAACATTTATGTATCAGGTCTTTCATTGGGAAAATTGTTTTCACTTAGAAAATTTTAGTTCTCTATGTAGTTCATTTACCTTATCTATTATTATTTTATTCATTTTTTTAACTCTTCATTGTGAAATTGTAGAAAAGTTGCAAAAATAGTACAGTTCATATACAGTCCCAGTTACTGGTAATATTAACAAATTATATAATTATAGTGCAATTAGAAAAGGCAGGGAACTAATATTGAAACAATAAGGTTAACTAAGCTGCAAATTTATGCAAATTTCACTAGTTTTTCTTTAATTTCTTTATCTGTTCCAGGATCCAATCCAGAGATCTACATTGTGTTTAGCTGTCGTATTGTCTTAGTCTCCTTCAGTTTGTGACAAGTTGCTTGTTCTTTTTCTTTAAATTCCTTTTAACTTTTTGATAACATGAATTAATTTGTAGAATATTTCTCATATTGAGTTTTTATGATGTTATGAGTAGACTGAGTGTATTTATTTTTGCAGGAATACTGCAGAAATGATCAAGGGATACATGACATTTATATGTGTTATTTACATGTTGCTGTTGACCCCACTCATTTAGCCAGGGTGATATTTGATGAGTTTAGGGTGCAAGGCTGTAATTTTTCCTTTGCAATTGATAAAGATCTTTGGCATTACTACATTCCTCCTCCAACTTTCACCAATGACTTTGAGTATTCATTGGTAGGTCATACCTATAGCAATTGTTACTGTACTCTTTGCTGGATGTTGCTTAAATATTTTGTTCAGTGATTAATTGGAATTGTTTTGTAAGGAAGCGCTTGTCCCTCCTTGCTCATTTTTACTTATATATTTATTTATTTATACCAGTATGACCTTATGGATTATTTTTAATTTATAAGTATCATCCGATTCAGTCATTTATTTTGCTGTTCAGGTTGTTTAGCTTTGACCATTAGCAGGGCCTTCTGACTGGATCCTGAATCCTTCTTACAATTCCTGCCATTCTTTTTAAAACACTTGTTTTTCTGTCATAAGTAAGATATTTCAGACTATGTGTTTTCCCTGACCCATATGTGTGTGCACATATACAGTGAAAACCATGCATTCATAACAAAACTCAATTCCAATTCATTACTGTAGGTTCACTAAGATATAACTCCTCTTATATTTTTTTCATTAACATTGAAAAGACTGTCATCATTTACAATCATAGATTACATATAAAGTAGCTACTGAAATGCTAGCTCATACCCCTACATAAATAGATTTGCTGACTAGAGTACAGTATTTGTTTACAGCTCTTCTAGTTTTCTCCTTAAAATGTTTAGTCAAAATTATGTTCCTTGGCAATTTGAATTAATTATTGATTCTATCCCTTTCAGGATACATTTCCAATACAATTTAATTAATTTATTACTGTATATACTTCTCTTTGGGTTCCCTCACATTTTTATTTTGGGAAGTATGTCAATGATTATTATGGTTCAGAATGTCAAAGCTATATAAAAAGATATATTTTAAGAAGTGTCTTTCCCTCCTCAACCTCTCAATCCCACTTTGTGGGGTATCTTCTTTCTTTGCCTTTTCCGCCAGTCCTTATAGTTAAACGATCTTCTGTAGTTTCTGGTTTATCTCTTTAGTAATACTTTTGCATGAATGAACAAATTAATATAAAATATTATATTCCCTCTTGTCTTATATTTATATAATACCATATAAACTCTTTTGTATTTTGTTTTTCACTTAGTAATTTGGAAGAAATCATTCCAAATTAGTTTTTACTAATCTCCCTTTTTCATTTTTTACAGCTTCATATTGTTAAAGTGTGTGAGTATAGCATAGCTTATTTCGCCACTTTCCTTTGATTGGAATTTAGGCAATTTCTATTACTTTGCAATATACCAGGTAGTCTAATAAATAAACTTGGGTTTATGTAGTTCTAATTATTAAAGCTGTATCTTCAAGGCAGATCTTACAAGTGGGATTTCTTTGTTAAAATTAAGTGTGCATGTGAATCTTTGAGCCACTTTTCAACTGTATGCTTACATAAATGCCTATTAGTAGCTTAGTGTGTATCCTTCATCAGCATATAAGGAACTGAATGACTTAATTTACATAAGTTTTTGAATTTAACTTTCTTTATTAATTGCACTTAGCACATAAACATTACAAGTGCTTTGGAAGTAAGAATTAGTCTTGCATAATTAATGTATCCTTTTTCAAGGCTCAATAAATACCATTGTAAAGTGTCAATAGGTCCTAATGATGGTAGTAATCATACATCTGCAGCCCTACCATCCAGGTGCAGTCTACAACTTCACAATCGTCAGTAGGAAGTAGATAGGCAAGAACTCTAGCAGTGACGTAATGATTAAGTACTCTTATCCTTCCAGAGCTTTTTTATTTTTCAAAACTCTTCCTTTTGATTTCATATTTACTGTACCACTAGGAAGGGGGCTGGGGAAATATTAATAAATCATAGTGAAAAGTCCCTTACATGTATCATTGTCCAGGTAAAAAAGCCGAGACTTAGAGAAGTTAAATGTCATTTTGATGTCAGACATCTTTTTTTTTTTTTTTTTTTTTTTTTTTTTTTTTTTTTGTCTTTTTCCTTTTCATCGGTACCAGGGATCGAACTCACGACTGCCTGCTTGCAAGGCAGGCGCTTATGCCGCTGAGCTAAATCCCCAGCCCTATGTCAGACATCTTAATAGCATGATTAGAACTGAACTTGAAAATATATCCTGCTATATTGTCTCATAGCCAGCTCAAGAATAACAGTGAAAAATGTCTCCAAAGGCACTAAATATTCAAAGAAAGATAAATTAGTATTTCATATACATTTTATAAACAAAGTATTTCATGGGTTCTCTGCTATAGTTATAATGTAAATTCTTAGCGACCTTTAACCTGTAATTTTAATTCCTAAATAGTGATACAAAAAATATGTTCTGAACATGACAACCTTCACTGCAACACTGTAAACCTCATGGCACAAGAAGAACTGGCACTGGAGCCAAGCAATCTCAGTTTCCACACTGGTTCTGCCTCTTTATTAGATGTTAGCTCTTTCATCTCAAGTTTTCTTCTCTTAAGTGGGTATTGTTCTATGGGGCCATTGTAAGTATTACAAATAATTACATTGGGCATATCTGTGCTCACCCATCCCAAAGCTAAACGTTTTTCTATCTGATAGTACTTAGTCTAATTCCTTCTCAACACTTGTCACAACTTAGAATTAGATTTACTTTTATGTTTATTCATTTATCATCTATTTGTTCTTCTAGAATATAGGCATTGTGACATTAAATACTGCTTATTTTTGTTATTCTCTATCCCTTTTGCCTACCCAGTATAATTAGTCATTGAATAAATATTTCTGGAATGAATCATGCACATAATCTTGAACTTGTTTTTATTTCACTCCCTTAGAATGATTTACAGCATCCTAGTCCTTTCTCATCTCTCTGCCTTTACACTTGCTATTTCCATTGTCCATTATACTTGCCCTTGCTGCTTTGTTTTTCTGGAGAGTTCTAGCTCACAGTTGAATATGTAACCTGGCTATTTTGTAAGGGCATCCTTGAAGCTCCTCCCCTGTCGAATTAGAGGTTATAATCATTGGTGTATTCAGTTAATATTTTCAGAAACCACTCTGCATCAAGCATGTGCTGGTTTCTGGACACAAGAACAAGAGCTGTTATTTTAATGTGAAAGATGGGCCATATAAAATATGTAAATAAGGGCTGGGGATTTAGCTCAGCGGCATAAGCGCCTGCCTTGCAAGCAGACAGTCATGAGTTTGATCCCTGGTACCGATAAAAAAAAAAAGTATGTAAATGGATAATAACATCCTTAGTTCTAATGTTGGGATGAGGAGCTGACCTTTGATTTGAAATCTAAGTGGTGAAAAGAAATTTAATTTAAAAAAGGAAGAGATGCAGAATCAGTTTTTTGTTTTGTTTTGTTTTGTTTTGTTTTGTTTTGTTTTTATTGTGACCGTTTACTGACTAGTATCTTTTTGCCCAGCTCCACTTCTCCGTCCTCCCCTCCAGCTCCGCTTACCTGGATGTTAAGCTCCATAAATCTCCATATTCTCAGTACCCATTGAAGGCTCTGTGTCTCACACTACAGTTCCAGTCTGGCAAGTGAAACCTATTAGAATTGTTAGGCGTCTGGCCCCAGGTTTCTCATTCATTATTTCAGATGTGCAGCCTGGGCTGGGAGCTGCCTCCCAATTTAAAATCCACTCACATGCTTGCTGTGTTGTGACAAGGAAATTATTCAATCTTTGCATGACTCAGTTTCCTGATCTTTAGGGTGGAAATACCAGTAAGACTTCATATAGTTATTATGAGAGTTAAATCAGATAATGTACCTGAAATTCTTAGCCCAAGGTCCAACACATGGAAAATAGTCAATAAGTTGTTGCCAGAAATGGTTTAGTGCTCATGAGGTACTTATTGAATACATAAATGAGTTAAGGAGTAGTAGTTTAATTCCACTAAAAAATAGAGGTAGGTCGAAACAAAAACCAAATACCCTAATCCCTCTTCAGTTGTTTTATTTATTGTGTATTTTAATTTGAACAAGAAAGGAAAAAGAAAATACCAAACCCCCTGGTTTTAACATCTAGATTCTGGTACTACTGATACTTTATTTGCTTATAGAGCAGACTTTGAAAGTTCCTCATATCAGTTGATTCCCCTGTTTCTAGATAGTTCAGGACTTTCATGTTCCAGTCTTAAATCTCAATAAAAACTGTACACAATCTACCAACATTCTCCTGAAATGTATATTTGGTCATCTTTTAAAACTCAAGATTTGAATGATTTTTACTGAAAGTGATTTCTGTTACGTTTTTCCTACTTCATTAATTGTAGATCTTCAGGATATCATAATTAGTAAAAGTTATGACAATGCCAAGTGGCTCAACAATTTTCTTAGGTTAGAAACCTAAGGAATATTGTTCTATTGCATGCAAATATTATTCAAAACATATCAGCAAACCATTAATAGTTGGAAAATTGTACCATGTCCCTCCCCACCTAAAAAATTTTAAATGCTAACACAGCATGAACAAAAATGAAAGCATTAGCAAAATAGAGGCATGAGGAACTTAAAAAATAAATTCTTTCTATATCGTATTTTTACTGGAAAGCTCCAGGATCATGATTGTTGTTTTTATAAACATTAAATATCTGACTGCTTCGCAGCAGTTAGATACTGGAATGCATGTATATGAGTTTTCTAGTAAGAAAAAAATTTTTGAGCTAATTAGCAAAGAGAGTTTGGTAAATAATCTTTTCTGTGGGTCATTTTTATTTATGTAAGTAATTCATTCTGTTCTTCTCAATCCAGTCAATACACTTTAGAAAATATTGTCCACCTTTAACTTTACAGAAATGAGCTTATGCTCTCTTAGAATAAGAAATAATTAGCAACAATATTTCTTTTTTAATACTTGTGGAATGTTTTTCAAGGGTTTTGTTCATATACTAATGCACCATAAACTTATTCTTGCTGGAGGTATTGAAATCTATTTTTATGTTTCTTAAATGTAGACATATGCACACCTATCAAATGAGAAATCGCTGAAAAAGACTTACATCCTGATGGGGTGACAGATTGGGAAGCTCGTGCGGCATGAGTAGTGTACATCAGAGATTATGGGAAAATCTCCAGCACTTTAGTAGTCATGCAGTGCTGAACAGCCAAGAACACCAGACATACTGCCATAGTACTGATGGCAGGCTTCATTTTATTTTAGTAGAAGGAAGATCTCTGATATAGTAAGGAAATTTACCCTAACAAATGAATTCCCTTTCCTGCACTATAGCATGGCATCATTTAAATCCAACTATATGCATAATATACTCAACTCCTAAGAGCCAAAAAAAAAAAAAAACACAACCAATATGAAAAATAGTATATACTCTTACATTTTACAGATCATAAACAGATGGAAAAAATTATGCATATTGGTAAATTCAGTATAATACACCTCAAAATGGTATTTACATAGATTTTTCTTTTAAAATATTGTTCAAATTACTTTGGATAAACTTTAGTCAATACTTAGAGTTTTTGTGATGTTACATCTGTGATTCATTTTAATTTATTCCTGTTGCAAACATGGATGGTTGAAAGTATAGGTAACCTTATAATGAGTAAAAGTGCTAGAAGGTTGTGTCTAGTGAAAGAGAAATTAGGGAATGATTATTCATTTTATAAAACGGTTTGTCATACGACAGTCTTTCCTGAAGCATTTCAAATTTAATTTAGTTCATAAAACGCTCATTTACACACAGCATTTGAGGGACAAATTTAGTGAAGAAATGAGAGAAACCATCATAATAAAATAGATACCTTACACTGTTAACATTTATGCTCTTTCTCTGTCCTTCTCTTCTTGCAGCATTGATAGCCATTGGGCGATACAGCATGACAATAGAGACCGTGGATGTGGGGTGGTGTAAAGAAATTACTGATCAAGGAGCCACCCTGATTGCACAAAGCAGCAAATCTCTGAGATATCTGGGGCTGATGAGATGCGATAAAGTAAGCACTGTCTATCAAGTTGTTTTCTACATATCAGTATACTCATGGAGAGCTTGATACAGTATTTTCTTTCCATTCCTTTCCCTGACTCACTCACTCTCTCTTTCTCTCTCTCTCTCTCTATACATATATGTGTGTGTGTGTGTATATTTATTTATTTATTTATGTATTTATTTATTTATTGTTGGCCTGGTTTTCTAATCTGATATTATTTTTCATTTCTCTGCTCAATAATGAATTTTGCGCTTAAGCATAATGAAAAGGCAAATATATACACAGTCAACTTAGATTTTGGCATAGTTATAATTCCATGGACCAAAGTTAAAAAGATTGCATGGCAAATTGCAAGATCTAACAGTAAAATTCTATTCAGTTTTCCAAATTTCCTGCAACAATAAGGTGGAAAGACTAATATAATTTTTTTTCTTAAGTGAGTAATTTTGATGCTCAGCGTCTATGTCTTCCTGACATAGGGGCCAAGAAAAGGCTGTTGAGGGAGATGTGTGGGAATTTGTGTTTCTACATGTCAGATGCGACTCTTATCACATAAAAATTCCTGTGATCCCAGAGGTTCCAGTGAAGGTCTGAAGAACTGGCCAGGAGTGTGAGCATAAGTTTGGGAAATGATGTTTTATATAACATGGAAAATAAATATTGAATACCAGACACTAGACAGTTGTTTTACACTTTGTGATGTTCGTGCTTTCCCTGTAACAAATCTAATTAATAGTTACTCACTAGTTGTGTCATCTTGGGCAACACTCATTTCTCCATTTGTAAAATGAGGCTGACACTAGTACCTATCCTGTAAAATTGTGAGCATGAAATGAATTAACTTATGCAAAGCACTTAGAATAATGTTCAACATGCATAAAATAAACTGTTTATTGGTTATTCTTATCATTAATGCCATTGACCTGTTCTCTGATATTAGAATTTCCAAAAGAAAAAAATTATACAGCATGCTATTATGTTTTAAAAGAAAATGAAAATAATGGGAAAATTATAAATTGATTTTAGAAAAAATGACTTTATAATTTTTCCATCATCAGAATTCAAAATTAAGTTTATTATTGTCTCTACAAGAATATCAATTATTGTCCCTTCTGCACACTTTACCAAGGAGTACTAATGCCTCCATGGAACATTATGTATTTAGAATAAAGTTACTAACCATCTATTCAGGCAAAGAGATAAAGAAAGATTTGCAGTGCTAAAATTGGGCAAGTTGAACAAAAGACCATTCACACAAGTAGGAAAAAAAGAAAGTAAAATCAACTAACAGTAGAACAAGAAACAGAAGAAAGCTAGGATTAGTGCATAGAGAAGATCCATGGTCTGAATTTGTGATCATCTGTGCCAAAAAGACATTAAAGAGCAAAACTAATTTGGGCCTAAGACTAATCAGTAAGTAAAACTCATTAGTGGAAGTCCTTTCCCTGTTTCTGAATACCACGTGGAGCCAGTGGAAGGGCAGAAGCTCTTAGGAAATACACTGTTAACCCCTGCTTGAGAAATGTGTCAGTGGGCCCCCTGTACTGGAGCAGGATGAGACTGTAGGGTTTGTGTGTCCCTGCATTCATGTTCTGTGATCCTGTGACTCTGAGAAATACTAAGTTCAGGTGCATTTTCCTTCATATGCCATAAATTTCATTTAGGCCCATTTATTTTGGAATCTATACTTTACAAAACCATTTTTGTAGAGCTATACTTTACAAGAATCATTGTATTACAGAGATGTATACGTACCCGTGTTTATGCAGCACAACTTGCAATAGCTAGATTTTTTTTTTTTTTTTTTTTTTTTTTTTTTTTTGAGACAGAGTCTCACTATGCAGTTCATTCTGACCTTGGGCTCACTTTGTATCCCAGGCTGGTCTCAGACTTGTTGGTGATTGTCCTGCATCAGCTTCCCAAGTGCTAGTATTATAGAAGTAAGCCACCATGCCCTACTTTAATAGCTAGATTTTAGAAATAGCACGTGTCCATCAACAGATGAATGAATAAAGAAAACAGAGAGTACTACTGTACCACAAAGAAAGATAAACTCGAGGCATTTATAGGAAAATGGATGCAACTTGAGAACATAATGTTAAACGAAATGTCAGACACACAAGCTTTAAACATTGGATGTTTTCTCATGCAGAAATTCAAGTGTATATAATATATAGAGAAAAATAAAGTAGAAGATAGAAAAATAGAAAATAGGGAGATGTTCAAATTGTTCCCCAAATTATCTTTTCCATTATTTCAAAAATATTTTAAGATGCATGCTAATTTGATTCATTTATACTAGTCTTTTTGATCATTGAAAAGAAAGTTTCATCCTTTTATTTATGTGTTTCTTCTTTGTAAGGGTTGTTTCTCCTCTATGACTTTTCCATGATATATTAATCATCATTTTTCTCTATTTTGTTATGAAGTTTTGTTTTATTTTTCCGTAGAAGTAAGAATCTTTTTATCTGTATTAATATTCACTTGTGTTACATTAAAAGGAAAAAAACTGCCTTTTTCATCATGTCAGCTTGTGAGGAATAGCAAAATATTTTTCTTCCTTGTTGTGAGGAAAAGTGTTTTTCTTCTCCCTCTCCCCAAGTAAACAGAGAACAGATGAAAAACATTAAACTTATTCTTTGCAGCTGAAAGGAACATGTACTTGGATTATCAAATGATGTCTAAGCTAAACTGTAATAAATCTGGTTGGCTACAACATCACTGATTGCTAGGGAGGAATGCTCCAGTCATTCAACAAATTGTTTCCCATGCAGTTGTAAAGTTCGTGCAGTGAGAACCCCTTGTGTAAGTAGCTTTTCCAATTGCTGGTTGGATAAGCATGTTAGAAGGTTTTGAAGCTGATGCCACATAATCTCCCAAACTTTAGTGCATTGTAAAAACCAAGAGAAGAAAACGCTATGTGAGAGGCTTTGATGAAGTGCGGTGAGCTTATATTCTTAAAGGCTGTTCAAAGGCTTACTTGACCTTGGGAATTAGAGTTGACCCGAAATCACCTATCAACTTAGCTCACATTTATTTAGTGATTTAGTTTAAAAAAAAAGAATGCTTGTACATAATCAATAGGACTCTCTAATAAGAGCAATATGGAAACTCTGGTTTTCACAATTAAAAATGGTGACTTTGGTTATGGAAATTGTTTTCACAACTATAGTGAATTCTAGACTCTCTCTGGATAACATTTCTTCTGTGATGGTTTTCCTTGTTTCTTACAAGGCAGTTTGAATGGAAAACAAAACTGAAAAGGACAAAAAAAATTTATGTGTAAGCTGAAGGGCGAATGGAAGTGCAGTGTTTAAGGTTAATGAAAAATGTTGGGGTAAGAAGGTTGATGAGAAGGGAGGGAGCACAGGAGTACAGCACTGGCTCAGAAACCAGACCTCACTAGGAGCAGCCAGGCTAACTTGGGAAACCTCTGCAGTGTTTGTTAATACGAAGTTTGGAGACATAGGGCCTGAATTATGAGCAGTGAATAACATCATAAACGTAGCAATTCTCAAATGCCAAACCCTTGTGAAACGCAGTTGGATGGAGAAACGCTGGAGCTTTTAAAAGCTCCCTTTCACTTTCAAATTTTTTTAACTTCATGCAGAACTAATTTTATACACTGTTCATTTGATTTGAAAATGCCAGCGTCTGGGGTATCATTAAAGAGCGTTATTGAGGGAGCCACTCTTGGCAAGGCTTGATCTTGCTTAAATCCTTAGTTTTTATGTCCCTGCAGAGTTGTTGAGGAGGAGAAAGTGTGCTTTGATTTACTCAAAGCCACTCCTCCACATTGTCCTTGAGCAGCTAACTATCCTTTTCCTGAGAGCTTCTTCTCTTTGGCCAGTAGAGGCACTAGTTGGGCCATGGGCCTCCATTACTTAAGAAATAGACATAAATAGATTGTGAAAGTTCTACCCAACTATCCTATGACCAAAGCCTCCTGGAATTTCTTTGATTTCTAGTTGACATAAATTAGAATTACACAGGCGTGAAGAGTCGGCCCAAAAAAGATCAGAGAGGCCGCTGGAGGAGGAGAGCTGCCTCTGTGTGATCCTATTGATTATCTAGCTGCCTTTAGGCCAAGGGGCCTCAGTGGAGGCTATTATTGATCCACACCATGAAAATAATTGAATTAATTCATTTCTCATCAAATTGCTGTTGCCAAGACCTTCCTCCTTACCTGCTCCAATTCCCAAATTTCTTAGGCGAAGAGTAAAATAGATGATTTATTTTAATAAATATTAGTAGCTATATTCTTGAGGATATAAGAAATCCTGGTTTTCAATTGGAGTTCCTCATTTAAATGGTAGTGATATTTTATTTAATCAAACCGGTGGGAAGCTAACTAAGAAAGCAAGTAATACAAAGCAATCAGTTCTTTCAATTCAGAAATCTGCTTTACAACCTTAAAAGAGCGAGGGCCAAGTTTTTTACACCCCATTTAATGTAAAAATATTCAGGAAAATTTGACTACTGCATTTTTAGGAAATAATTATGGTAAGAGAAAGCTTCAACAACTTAAGTATTTCTGTGGGGAAAATGGAGTTTTTATCTGCTTATTTAGGAATTGTGAGCAGGAAAGCCCTATGGGGAAAATAATACAAGTCTCTGTAACTAATATTCTGAACTGACTGGAAAAATCAGTTTAAGGGAAAAATAATTTGTGGGTCACTGTGTCCAGGATTGTTTGGGTAGCAATTGAGCCATGAAACAAAAGTGTATAACTGCAGGGACTCCCCTCCTCCCTGCCACAATGCACAGCTGTTTTCAGATTGCCCTTAGCTAAAAGTTAAGCTTTAAAATTAATGCCATATCAAAGAAAATAAAGTGGAAAAAAGTGAAAAGAAAACATTTCGCTCTAATAATGCAGAAGTGGTCTAACTGTATTAGACTGTGCAGTCTTCTGTTGTGACTGACATAACCCACCATGCCATGTAGGCCCCAAAAAAGAGAGTATTGAAAAATGGCGAGAGTATAGCTGGGGCTCTAAAATCTGAACT